AACTTCATTTCTAACCCTTCACTTAAATATGTACCTACATACCTACTATACAATTACTCATGAAGATCGTCCTTAATCCTTTCTCGGCGTGCTTAGGTCGACTAGCAGCTGTGAATAGTAATTGAAACATTTTTCTATTTACAGACAATATTTATTTAACTAAAGATAGACACGCGCAAATAATTCATTTTCTCTTTAGTGATAGCAAAAAAGAAATCCTTGGCATCAAAAACTCCCAGAAACATATTTTGGGAGAGATGGTGGATAAAAAATATTTTTGGACTTGGACCACTGTGTGATCCTTGTTTACTACACCCATGGCTTAGTGAATCATGAGATTCACTCCATTCGGTACAAAAGAACTACGTCTCAATCTTAATTATTGACTCGGTTGCCACCCAATCGAGGAATAAGAGTAAGATACAGATTTTTTGTCACCAATGGAATGTAGTGGATTAAATGTTAATGAGTTAAAGTTCCGCACGGTTATTACGTACCTTGAAAACTGACATTAGGTCGATGTTTTTTACATAACTTAGCTTTTTTGACATAACGTAAGTTTTTTTACAATATGTTTACTTAGCACTAGCTGATGGACACTTGTCGTGAACTCGTTTTGTAGTTGTACGTGTTGCCTAAACGTCATAATGCTTCAGTTATCAATGTTTGGGTCTGATGTGATATAACATCTACTTCAGAGATGGCATTATTGGAGGTCTAAGCTGTAATTTGTATTCTGTAACTGGAAGGAAACGGCAGTGCTTAGGTGTATAGTGAGGATTTGTGTGCTAATAATATGTGTTTATGATAGTTCTATCGGTTTCTTGTATCAAATACACTTACTTGAGATTCAAAGCTAGAAATTAGTTGCGCATCCACTTAGTCTTATTCATTCTGGAAATTACATATGCTAGTTCGATGAATTTCAAAAATGCTAAGAAAAGAAAATCCCTGGTTGGTGAAGTATGTTAGCAGGTAAGAAAATATGCTACAGACAGGAATATTTATGAAAGTAAAAAGGCTAATTACGTTATTTTTTATTTCCAGTCATTTAAATTTTATAGAAATTCAGTTTGCGATGTCAATAGAAAATACAAATCAGCGCCTAGATGTGAGGCACTTCAAAAATGTTTGAACTGTGATGAGTCATTCCTAATTTTTCTGTGGCTGGTGGGGATTTCCCGTAATGCTCCTCAAAATTTTTGAAAACAAAAAAACGGGGAAAATAGTGATTTATAACTTTGAACATAACCCGTAGAGAAGGTCAACATGCAAATGACCCGTCGGAAACAGCTAATAGATATACTTCATTGACAGCATATTCACTAATAATTTTCTCACATGTGTAGCAAATATCACTGACTTTATACCCATACACACAATCATCCAGATGCGATCTTGCTAATCAACCAACTTTCTTTATTTCACATCTTCTCAGAGATAAACACTACAGTTGCTTTCTGCAACCAACAATGCGTGTAGTTGAGTAATTCCTCCATAGATGGAGGCTAATAGTGGTCATAGCGAGCAAACGTGGAATGAACTATTGCATCTTAAAAACTACCTAGTCTGCAAGATGATATTTCGTTGTTTTTTTTACGTTTTATAGGTTTTTTACCTAATAGCCGTGCCGAAATATCAACAGCTGTCAGAAGTTGGAATCATTCTCCAGGTTCCTCAAGGAATATCTCCTAGGAAGCAAGGCAAGGCAATGCTTAACTGTCACATCTTTGTGCTCACATCTACTACATAACTACGGGTCTCACAATTGTTATATGCTGATAGCTACGCAATTAATAATACAATGTTGCAACAGAAGATAACTTGCTTATCCCGATAGTATTAATAGAACTCGAGGCCTTTGTAAGCCGGTCTTTACCCTCAGGGGTGTTACGTAAAAAAACTAAAAAACGTCAAAAAACCGACAAATGCCATCTTGCAGACTAGGTAGTTCTCAGTGTGCAAATAGTTCATTCTATGTTTGCTCGCTATGATCGCTGTGAACCTCATCAAAAGCGTCCATCTATGGAGGACTGACTCAACGACAAGACACGCTCAAGCATGCATTTTTGGTTGCAGAAAACCAAGTAGTGCTTATCTCTGAGAACATGTGAAAGAAAGTTGTTTGAGTACTAAGAACACATCTGGATGATTATGTGTATTGGTCTGCACCTGTATAAAATCGGTGATATACTTTGCTGCCAATGAAGTATATCTATTAGATGCGCCAGACGGGTTATTTATATGTTTTTTGTGTTTTCAAAAACTACTATTAACATGTATTATTGTATTTGTATATAACTTGTAATTCGACAGTGTACACTGAATATAAATGCAATATGTGGTATGTAAGTATAAAATATAAGGTTCCATTTAAAGTTAATAACTTCACCAACCACGGATTTTCTTTATCTATCTCTCTCATATTTGGAATTCAGCAAATTTGCATATGTACTTTCCAGAAAGAATAAGAAAAAGTGGATGCGCAAGTAATTTCCAGCTTTGGGTACATCTCAACTGTATTTGAGACAAGAAACCAATGGAATTATGATCAATACAGATTATAGCACACAAATTCTCACTATGCACTATGCCGTTTTCTTCCAGCTATACTATACAACTTACAGGTTAGACCTCCAATAATGTTATCTCTGAAGCAGATGTTAGGTCACATCAAAGCCAAACATTGATAGCTGAGGCATCATGATGTTTAGCCAGTGTACAACAGCTAGTGTTAAGTTGACATCCTGTAGGAAAAGCTACGTTATGTCACGAAAAATCTATAAAATGTAAAAGAAATCGCCAAAATGTCACAGATACGTAATACCCGTGCCGATTAGACTCCGTTGTCATATTCTTTATTAACTTGTAATTTTGGTGGACTGTCCGTACAGTCCATAATAAAAAAATTTAGAAGGCTCGGATATTGATGAAATTTCCACACGAGGTTACTTACTATTCCAGGGACGAAAAAGCTGTGTAGTTTTTGAAAATCAGCCCAGTGGCGCTGATGCTACAGGGAAAAACAAAGAAAAAAATAATAGTTGATCAAACATTATTTTTAGACGTTTCAGAGGATCGTGATCATTTTCAGGGGTTTAAAATTGGCTGTTGTGGGAGGTGGTTAGAGTATATGTCGATTTTTTGGTGCTAGCAATTTATCGGTTTCCAGCTCCTGTAATTCTATGCACCTATGAGACATATTTCCTACATCATAGATTTCACCCTACATTTGCACTTAAAACTTGAATAACAGCGATATAATTTCAATATACGCGTGCTTGACAGCTCAGCGAGAGTACACCTACTTCCGGCGAATGCTGAGCGAGAACTGATTACTGAACGGTGATGCGTGTGTCCGTGTGTGCAACGCCGTCGTGCTGGGTTTGTTTGTGCCGTGGAAGGCATAGTTGCCACGTTGCTATGGGTCGATACTATCGGAAGCGCAGTAGGCTCACAATGTTGGCAAACCGGTGTGGACTATGAGATAGTTGTATGAGCCTGTTTGACTGACTTGATCCATTTAATTCTGTTGTTCTACATGTTCGTAGCCAAAGTTGTTCTAAAACTTGACACAATCATTTTTTCACAAAAATCCTTTTTTTTAAGGACGCAGAGACTCTTCTTTTAGTTGTAATCCACGATCACCTTTGGTTGCAAAAAGGTGGAAGGAAGGTGGAAGTTCATAGTGTAAATGATTAGATCACTAAATCATGGAGCACCTATTAAAACCCCCCTTTTTTAAAGTTTCACATTACGATATAATCTTATATTAAGTCTATACAAAGTGATATGATAAAACAAGGAACAAAACAGCAACTTTTTGGAAACAAAACAAAATGAAAACTTATCTCCACATTGCTAAGAGATATAAAAGTTTTGTTTCGTGCAGTTCACACCGAAAATTTTCAGAGTGAAAATATGTGGCGTTTTTATGCTGAAAGGCAGAAGCGCAAATATTTTATCATAATGTCTGCTGGTTATGTGTTTCTCCAGAGTTGTGACCGGGAAAATGAAAAACGCTTTTGGGTGAAACCATCATTACGTGAAAGAGATGATCGTGGTATTGACAAATTATTGACCGATTTGCTCAAAGATGATAGGGATTTCGAGGAGTATTGCGTTCTAGTTTCAGGAACTTTTTATGAATGTCCAGTGAAAACTTTGAAGAATCAATACAGCCGATCGGTCCTGAAATTTATAAAAAATAACAATTTCAGAAATGCTATTAACGTAGTTGAACGTTTGGCCGTAAAACTAAGATTTTTTCGACCGGAGACTCTTATCATAGCTTGACGTATCAGTCAAAAATATCAAAACAAGCAATATTGATAATAATACCGGAAACTTGTGATGCCCTAACTGAAGGCCTCAAAGAATATATTGAGGTAAGTTGTTGCCTGAAATTAAAACAAAACAGGGGCCTTTTGATCTTTACCGACTCGCGAAGGGAACGCCAAAAGTTGCCAGAAACAGAAACAAAACACGAATTGTTGACGAAATGTTGCCGATTTCTTACTTAATTATTGAAAAACATTGAGTTGATGCTTTGTTTCTGTTTTGTTGGTTTGGTGTAGACCCGCCAGGTTATGAGCTTTCCTTTTTTGTCGTTGAGAAATTTTGAATACTAAATCTTAGGAATAATCACAAGGAGGGTTGGAAAGTTGATTTCATGATTAAGAGTAAGCAGCTTTCTTTAAGAGAAAAATGAAGTCTATTTTTATTACTTTAAAAAATTCGCTGCTATCCTACTTGGTAACGTAGCCGAGACGAGAAACATTGTATGAGAACGTCCAAAAATGGAGAGGTTTGACATCTTGGTAGAATGGTAGAGGTTTAATACCTTTAATCGAATTTCTTCTTCGGTGTGAAATAATCACAGGACTACAAAATTGTTTACTCTTGAATTATCTTATCGAAATAATTTCTAAAACCGTTTTAACAAATTGTGTACTAATCTTTCCATATCAAAAATCAGTCTAGCTGTCAAGTCTCGTATTATGAACCACTTCCACTTTTTGAGGGAATTCTTATATAGTCTCAGTTATTATTCACTCTGAGATAGCTTTGATAATATCAATGTACTTGAGATAAAAAAAATGTATAAAAAGGAACAAGCGTGTAAAAAAACGTATGTAGTACTTCCTGCTCTAAAAGGATGAATTCTGTGTTATGTGGTGTGATCGTCGCGCTCATGCCAGCGTTAGTTTTCACATCAGACGTTGCAGATTTCAGCGAGGATGTCTTAGCCCACGAGTGTGGTAGGTACATTTTTCAATATGATTTTAAAACCTGGACTGTTTTCTCTAATTTCGACTGCACAACAAATTGTTACTGATATTTAACTAGATTGTTGAAAAGATAATAAGCTACAGAATTTTTCTAAGTATAGATAGATTTAAAAAAACGAGGGTATTTTAATCGAAATTTGAATTTTAAGCTATTTATTGACCCACCAATTTTTGACGGACGGTTATACAGCCGATTTCTTGAAGTGTTTTTTGAATTCAAATGGACTTTTCCAAATAAAAGAGTTGTTAGCAAGGACAAAATGAATCTGTAGAGTACAAAACCAGAACAAAATATTGCTCTCTATATGTGTAATTTGTCGATTGTGGAATTTTGAAATATTTCAAGATAATTAGCTGTTATTCTACCGTAATGGATATTCGTGGAGAAGACAATAAGTCTTGAAGAAAAGGGAGCTGCATATATACCAAGCCAGTTAACAGGAATATAGTTGCAATATATTTGCCTTTTTGACAAAAAAGCTCTATCGAAAAACATTTTTTTTCGAAACTAACAATTTTCATCTGCTTATTGAGTTAATTGCATCAAAATTAGTCACCAATATCCTAGACCTATGGTTGGGGTAAGGTAAAAAGTGCTCTTAAAGTCTTGCAAAGTATCGATATTCCGAGTAGGTACCCTTGATCACAAATTATATAGATGTATGAACAAGTCGTTGTATTTGCGTTTAAATGAAATCGACCATTTTCTTCCTCCGACAATGCATACAGGGTGCGCCGAACTTGAAGTGATAGGTAATATGGACTGAGACCTTTCCATATCTGAAAATATACTAAGTGACATATAAATCCGAATACCCAGTTTAAATGGTTTTATTTTAATAAAATTTTGTATAAGTACTTAATGAAGCATAATAAGTAAATGATAAAAATTTCAAAATGATTGCACTGCTTTAAAGCCCTTTGACCTTTAATAATGTGTGGATGCACCCTGATGTGCTACGCATTCTCCAACGCGCCTAGGCATGCTTTTGATCAGATGGTCAATGTCCTCCTGTGGTATCTCATTCCAGACAACCACCAACTCCTCTCGAAGTGCTTCTAGAGTCTGAAGAGGACGTTGCAAATTGAGCAATCTCCTACCATCATATCCCACACGTGCTCAATTGGGGATAAGTCGGGAGATCTTGGTGGCCATGGTAACAATGTGACATCATTATGTTGAAAGAAGTCTATTGTGACTCTTGCAACATGTGGTCGGGCATTATCTTGTTGGAAAGTTGGATCTGCCAGGGTGTCAAGATAGGGTAAAAGATGGGGTTCTAGAACTTCGTGGATATAACGCTGCGCGTTCATGATACCTTTGATGAAGATTAAAGGTGACCTGGAACCATAAGCTATAGCACCCCAAACCATAACTCCAACAGTGTGATGAACATGTCTTTCAACAAAAAACTGTGGATTCCTCCTTTCACCACGTCGCCTTCTAACCCTGGCACGACCATCGTGCATGCCTAAACAAAATCGAGACTCGTCACTAAAGACAATACTGTTCCATTCCTGATCCCAGAGTGACCGTTGTCTGCACCACTCAAGGTGATTACGTCGGTGTTCTCGAGTTAAAGGGAGGACCCAGTGTGGCCGGTATGAAAACAAGCCAAAACTTCTCATTCGTCGGTAAACACTTCTCATGCCAATAGGTCTTCCGTGTTCTGCAAACCATTCATTTGCAATGGACCTGGTAGTGGAGAAACGGTCCCTTAAGGCCAATAATCTTAGGCGGCGATCTTCACGGTCTGTTGTTCTACGGCGGCGTCCAGTGCCCCTTGCTCTTTGCGTACGGCCTTCTCGAAGCCATGCCTGACAACACCTAACCACAGTGTCTACACTTCTTTGCACTCTAACTTCAATTGCCCGAAAAGAAAGTCCAGCTTTCCGAAGTCCCACTATACGGCCCCTATCAAACTCACTAAGTTGACGAAATCGTACAGGTCTCCGTACTCTAGGCATCGTAGCCGATCGTAAAGGATGTCAAGAACCAAAATCCGCCAACGTTGATTCTTTACTGCGGCTGGAATATTCATTTTTAGAGCGTTAGTGAATTAAAAAAAAAGCAGTATAAAAACCGGAATGTCCAACTGTAAGGCTGAAAATTTTTTCACTTGTTACTTACAGTAAGATAAATACATTCACCAACTTTTATTAAAATAAAACCATTTAAACTGGGTGTTCGGATTTATATGTCACTTAGTATATAATGTTTTTACGGCTATACACTGAGATTTATCTAAACAAGTGGAATCTTCAATATCATATACCTAAGGCGCTATTTAGCTGATTTTTTTTTCACTTTTTTGTTTTTTATTAACATCAACACCTTCTAAACTGAATATTGACATATGTGACACAAAACTCAAAATTTCAAGGGTTATTAATTTGGTTTCATCGACATAGTACAAAATAATCCTTAAAATTGAACAGATGGAAACTGAAAATTCCAGCGTCGGATTCAGTTTATTTTATTTCCTTGCATTTTACTAAGTGCAACGCCCCGTAAGTTACAATTTGAATTTATTAGTTCGTAGAAAAAAGCAAAATATATGATGTAAATTAAAGGAAAAAATAATGTCATGCACCCTATTTACTTATTTCGGTATTTTCTTAAATGGTTTAATTTTACCAACGAATACTGTACTATGAGTTCTGCTTGAAATTGAAACGGTATTTATTACGCAATTCGTCTAAATTTGACCTCCCGAACCAACTTAAAACCAAGTTAAAAATCCGCAAAATTGGTCACAGATCATACTACCTACAATTTCACTATTTTCAATCAAGTACGGAATAGCCTGATGTATAACATTCATATAGGTTTTCATAAGAAACACGACATTTTTCTGGGATCAAACCTAACTTTAAAGTCGCATAGTTTTGTAATTCTTTACTGAATTCTGGCATGTATAACATCAACGGTATCATATCGTCGATCTCCGCACGTACAGGCGTAAATGACAAAAAAATCTAATATCGAGTTACGCCGTAATTTCACATATTTTTTTGGAGTGTCTCACCTCACGAAGTCACGTAACTGTATATCAGTTCGCTGCTTGGAAATAAAATTCTTAAAAAATTGCATTAGTGATAAAATTCCGAAACCAATTTTCATGTACCGCCTTAAATAGATTTATGCCTCTGCGTTAAAAGTGGTTTTCTGTATTTGACCGGTAATTATACAGCACGCACAGGCGCATGTGTCTCTAATAATATGTAAACATACCCTATATTGTTGTGAATGTCAGCTTAAACAAAATGTTTATTTTTCTTGTAATTCACCTTTTGTTTGTACTTATAATATTATGAAGACAATAAAACAATTTTTATTTTTGAAACAGTATCTTCGATACTTTGATACCCATGTCCAGTTTTAAATTGTTGACGTAACTATACAATAAAAGAAACAAGAGTCGTCACGAAGTGGCGTAAATGCACAACAAATTTTTTTTCAACTCATTTTACTTTTACAAAATTAAACCATCGCAGAACAAAGTTCTACATAATTTTAGTCTTAAAAAAGAACAGCACCGTGCACACTAAAAAATTAGTATGTCATTTTCAATCTTACTTATTGCTGATTTTCGTTTTCTAGCTCTCCTGTAAAATTTATAAAATGTTAGTTGCGCCGGTACGACCGACGATATACAATCAGAATGGACAGATTCGTTTTCAACTAGGATCGACTGATATGACTGCTCATATGCCTACATAGCCGGGCCGATATAAATTGGGTTAAAATAGCGTTTAATATTATTGAAGTAAGAAATGCAGTACATAGAAATACATTTAGTTTCTTCAATCGCAGTTTAGTAACTCCTTTTTGTTACATATCTAAAACTTACCCACCATTATCAGACTTGGATTTTTGAAAAAAGGAAAAAGACAAACGAATAAATAGATAACTAAGCAAAACTATGGCAAACTGGAGCTATCAAAAACATTGTGGTTAAGAACATTGAAAATGTAATTTGAACAGATTATTGGGAGGAGGGGGGTGGTGCGAACCGAAACGCGATGAGCATCGTGAAAAGGGGGACAAATCAACCAACCGAGCATGCTCTGATGTTGGCAAGCCAGTCTCTATCATCCCCCCCCCCCAAAAAGCGACGGGGCCGGCTTATTGAGGGGTCCATATTGACTCACCAGTCGATGCCTGGAAACCGCAACCTAACAAAAAATTTTTTTTATTAAACAACTAGGCGCCAACCTTCTGCCAGCCCAGTACAGCTTGCAAGAAAAATTGATTATCCATACTGAGAAAATAGTTTAACTAGGCCAGTTAAAATTTTAATTAGGCCAATTAGAAAATTTAATTAACTATGTGATAGCTAATAAGTTTAATTAACTTAATTAAACTCTGATTTCTAAGACAGTACACTTGAATCTATGAAACTGGCTTAATCAAACCAAAACACGATCGTTTAATTAAATTTGTTAAGCCGTTTTCTCAAATTGGTTAACCCAATTTATTTAAAATCAATATACCATCAAAAGGAGTTTGTCTGCACCAAGTAAAACAATTAAAGTACATTTATTAAATTTATTTAATTAGTTTAGGTAAAAATGTTTGTCTAGTTTTAATGAATTATTTTATTTAAATGTAATAGATTATTTGGACAATATTTGGAACTTAAAAAACAAATTGCATTTTACTGAATGATATATATAACAACTATGCTCTGACAAAACTTAGAAACCAAAAAAATTGGAGATCTTAATATTGATAGTTAATGTTTTCAAATCAAAATAAAAACTCAAGAATTTTATAATCCTAACAAAATTCAATACCTATTTTTTATTTTCATTGATTGTGAACTTAATATATACCTATGGGATCAAGTTTTACAAACTATTTGTTTGTTTGTCCAGAAAGAGGTTATAATATATCACCATCAGTGAATGGTTGTTTAAAATTCAGAAAATAGGGAAAGATACCTGGGATTGAATCAGGTCACTTGATCATGTGTACAAAACTTGTACTTTTATTTCTATAATAATAAAACAATATTGAACTCACCTACTTTCAACGCAGTTACACATATAAATAATACAAAGTCTACACCAACAGGAGGCTCCACTTCCTAAATACAGGGTGCTTCAAATTCGACCCTCACCATTGGACTCTTGGAAACTGTAAGAGATACAAAGTCTCTTAATTGGAGTCTAAGTTGCGTATTTAGATAATCGACAAAACGCCGCTTAAGAAGTTTTCGGAATTCGAAGTACTTTTGGAGAGAGACGGAAGTAACCGATTTCTCCCAAAATGGTTTTAATTTTTTCCAGACTTTTTTTTGTAAGGGGTTTCATAATAAATAGCACATTAGCATTTCCGCCATATTGGATTTTTGCGGAGATGAATAGAGTTTTTAATTGTGAGTTTAAAAATGTGTAACATGTCATACATTGACACTGCTAAATGTTAGTTATTTCAGAGAAACAGATGTTCCTAGGTAGACCTTGAAATTATCAGATTTCATTTGTTTCGTATGTCAAACCAGACCTCTAATTGAATATAGCAACAGACTGAGAAGAAGAGAAATGAGTCGAGTAGTGAACAATGTACAGAGACTCTTTTCTTTGCCTACAAAATAACGGACTGCTTATTTATGATTAAGTATTATTTATTATTGGATTATTGCCATAAATAAAATTTTCCATTTGGGGTTCAGGTTTCCTTTAATTATAATTTCCATCCAACAACAAATTCATCGCCAACTAAGGAAATACGTCACCAGATTTAGGACTGAAAAGTCAATTTGAATGTACAAACTTCCTATATAGCGTTCGTATGACAAAAAGTTGGTGATGAAGAAAAAGAAGAAATGTCGAATTGAAAATTTGACTACGCTATATTGTAGAGGACCATAAGTATCAATGACAACATTCAATTTATTTCGAAATGGCATCTCAAATAAAGTCAGGAAAAAATAAAAGTGATTTGATAATGATGATGATAAATCTGGTATGGAAAACAAATGACTATCCGATAATTTCAAGGTCTACCTAGGAAATTCTGCTTTTTTAAATAAGTTCAGCCTGGTATGATGTACATGTACATATTATACATTTTTGGAAGCAGAATTAAAAACTCTATTCATCTGTGCCAAAATTCAATATCGTGCAAACAAGAAAAAATGAGTTGTTGCTGGAGGCCGAGAGACCAAACGTCATTCTGAAATTCTAAGTATGCCTTCTTGAGGAGGAAAAGAAGTGGCAATGTTAATGTGCAATTCATTTTGAAATCGCACTACAATTAATGTCAGGAAAAATATTTAAGGATTTTGGGAAATCCGTTTCTTTTTCGCCTTTCTTCAAAAGTACTTTGAATTTCTAAACTTTATAAGCGGCACTTTATTGTTCACCTAAATACGCAACTTTACTCCTATTTAAGCGACTTTGTATGTTTACCACATGTTTGGTATAAATGCCCTCCATTGACCTAAATATGGCTGCATAAATAAAATTTCAAAATTCTTCCCATTCCGTCACGTTAGCAGTGACTCCTCTATACACAGTGTTTCATTTGGAGCGCGAAGTTTTCTAACTATAGTTATGGGTCACTATCACTAAACGCCTTATGCTCCAGTATTTCACTTGATCACTATAATTGATCCACTTCACAACAACGGCAACATTCGAACATGAAGTTCCTCGGAAAAATCACAAACAAAAATGAGTTCAGAGCGCGTCACCAGTACTGCATCTGACGTATGCTGTCGATCATTCACGAATGAAGGGCCGAGTCTTACTGAGTCCGCTATTCAAATAAGTTTAACTGTCTTTATTAAAATATTTAATTGTTTTAAATGTTCCTCTGCTACATAAACTAAATTACATAAACTAGTTAAGCAGTTTAAAAAGACAAGTACATAGTTTGCTATTCAAGCAAATTAGTTCAATTACTTTCAATTAAACTGTTTCCAGAAAATTCAGTTTAATTAAACCGAATGATGTACTCATAGTAGGTAATTAAAAAATGTATTACGTATAATGAAAATTTTCCAGAACTACTGTTTAATTGACCACGTTTTTCCCATATGGGAAGGGGACAGCTGAAAGGCGGTGAACAACTTTGTTTGAAATGAAAAACGACAAAAGCCCCCAAAAAAGACGCGAAAACCCACCCAGAAATATCATAACACATAGTTATGCAATACTGCATTAACCGGTGTGTTAAGACAACAGTTCCGGGTGGGTTTTTGCGATTTTTCATGGGCTTTTGGCATCTTAGGGACGATGGACAAGAGAAAATGGCAGATAGTCTAAAACTCGTTTGTCGATTTGAGGGGCTGGACGTTCTTTCTTGAGAGCGGGAATGTCTACCCCAAGGCGGCCGTGGGCTATGCCGATTTTGCGTGGTGACTTCGCGCAATCTCAGCATATGATAATGGAGAGAAAAAAATGCCGTCAAGTAAATTGACTCTGTGCTCGCCACGCTACGCTGTCATCACTTCGTCAAGGATTATGTTTGTATAACATAACATTTAATGATCTTCCTCGTCCCCCTGAGAGAAATTGCTACAGGTGCACAATATGATGGTTGCGATGGCCAATCCCGCGTGAATGACGATATTGGCCTTCACCATGTACAGTCCACAATGCGCACAGTATTGTGGAAGCGATTCCTGACTTTGGCGCACGACCACCGATCACGACGCTTGTCCATCCGCACGTATCGACACCCGTCTGTAGAAGATATTCCTAAGTTTCAAGAGTAAATGTACGGGAACATCTATGATGAGTGAAATATGCCTAATATGGGCGTATACTTGGGTACTGGGTTTGGATATACCAATCGAGAAATATCCACCCATCCCTCAATTCTTAACCCCTACAAAAATTTATCCGAAAGTTTGATCGATTTTAACTTTTTAACATTGTGTTAACATTTCTTCGAAATCCGAGAGGTACTTCTCAAGGTATAGGTGGTTATGAGATTAGCGGAAAGACCGACAGACAGACAGATAGACTGAAACGAGTGACATGGTTTTTCGTAATCTAAATGTCATATAATATCCAAAAGCATAGCATCTCATTTTCGAAAACTTTCGCCACTACGCCAGTAGGTGTGAGAAGTAAAAATGGTACAAGACCTTGCAGAATTTCAGATCCTTACCTTGATATGTTTAGAAAATAATTAGGAGGGGAAGACCTTTCTGAAAAGCACTGTATATTGTAATTCCATTGTTATTTTTTACGCAAAGACAGATATCTCAAAAATGGTTAGGCATATGATGATTTGCACGAAATGTATTTAAAATCTCTCGTGTATAATCCAAAAATTGAATAATATACACGGTATACAGTAGACGTGGGAAGTAAAAACAAAAAAACGAACTGTCACCTCGAAGATAGATTAATAAAATGAGTTGTCATTGTACCAAAGATCACCTTTCTGACTGAACCGTTTACAGTAAAGAAGATTCTGTCAATACATACGGTTTTATTGGCAGACAAGCATGTATTATTGTCAGATTGAAAGTATGTCATATTGAAGCGGATAAAAGTAGCAACGTTAACGTGCGTTATTCTGAAATAACATCTATGTATAATGAAGTAACGAAAAAATAAAAACGAATCTGTGAAAATTCAGTTTTCCGTGTCTCTCCAGAAATACATACATACTTAGAATTGCGAAATTTTCCAAGGGCCATTTTCTTACTGAATGCGCAAATTTGCCCTCATTAGGCGACTTCGTATCTTTTAGTTCCCGATGGTGAGCGTCGAATTTGAACCATCCAGTATAATCTGGATGAACAAAAATCAAATGAGCATCTGCAAAGAGGCGGAGCATAGAGATCATCCCTCGGAGACATCATACATACCAAAAACACATATGTTCTTTTTTTTCTAGTCCCACGACCAGTGCAAAATCTCAAACTAACCCCAAACAACACCATAACCTGGAATCCGCCTGAAGATGCTGAAACCTGCACGATAAAAAAATACCTACTCTTCATCTCTAAAGGAGACTACAACTACGTGCTGGAGACATTATCTACAGCCAGGTCGGTATCAGTTGCATTTTTGGAACATTGTACCCTCTATAATTTCACTGTGGTCGCTGTTTCCACTCAAGACGTTGAAGGATGGCAGAGCACGTTGAACATCAAAACGCAAATGCCAGGTGGTAGGTAGCATGCATCATACTTTCTGTATTTTCTTTTGATTATTATTTCCATTAATACCATAGACACATATTTTATTCACGGAAATGCCTATATCTTTTTTTAATTAAATATTTAAGACTGCATTGCGAATGACGTTGACATACTATCTGATTGTAAGATTACAAAGTATGGGTTATTTTTATAACTATAAATTACATTGAAAAGCAGTCATGTTGACAATCAATTTAGGAACAATCGCCTGCCATTTTAAATCGGTCTGACCAATAAACAAGGGTTAGCTGGTCACGTCACAAGATGAATATTATGACGTCACGCCAATAGCGTTTTAAATTTACCGCGTATTTTTCTATTTTTATTAACTAACACTCGTAATTATACAGGGTTATCCAAATTAAGTGTCCACCATTAGTAACTTTGTTATTAGTGAAAATACAAAGTTGTTTGAATTAGCAAACTAGTAGCATTTTTAACGCTGGTAAAATGAGAAATAAAAAAAACAATTGAGAGTCGTTATTTTGATTTGTTTCAGTAAAATAACATTTTTTTAAATGGAAACCCCTGTATATTATATTTTTTTCTGTTAAAGCATCAAATTTTAAACAAAAAAGCGTACAATAACTTTTCTCCTAGGTTACAAATTGTTGAAGTTATGGCCTCCAATCTGAAACAATTAAATTGTATCGACAAACTTTATTTTCAACATCAACTTATAATCTTACAAAATACAATAACAATTTTTTTTAAAGAAGATGCTCGAAAACACCACCTTGTTCTTCAATACATTTTTGGGCACGTTTTTCAACTGCTCGAACTGTCTTAAGTATGGTCCTACCATCTATCTGGGTTATCTTTTCCCTAACTGCAGTCTTTAACGCGTCAAGGTTATCGTACCTTCGCTTGTAAATTTGGTTCTTTAAGTAACCCCACAAGAAGTAATCAAGTGGGTTTAGATCTGGTGATCTGGGAGGCCACTGTATTGGGCCATTTGTTCCTATCCACTGATCATTAAAAGTAGTACTTAGAAAATGATAAGTACCTCTGGAGTTGTGGGCAGGTGCGCCATCTTGCTGAAAATGCAGATGATGTCTACTTATAAGATCCAATTCGTCTAAGAAATTAGTCAGAATTTCTGACATAAATTCCACATATCTTTCACCAGTTAGGGTTCCCTCATAAAAGAACGGGCCAACAATTTTTGAACCAATTATACCGCACCAAACGTTGAAACTGAAACGGACTTGTGGGCCTCTTGGATGTACTAACAAAAGATTTTCTCTTGACCAATAATCGTGGTTTTTTCTATTAAACATTCCAGAATTTGAAAAATTTGATTCATCTGTCCATAAAAGGTAACGAAAGTTATTTACATTTTGGCGACAGAAGCTAAGATACCAATGGCAAAAAACAAGTGTTCTCTCTGGATCCCCTGCCAAAAGCGTTTGAACTGGTCGGTACTTATACGGAATAAATTTGTATTTTTTTAAAATCCTTTGAACAGTACCATAACTGAAATTAGAGTCCTTGAGAATATCTGCTATTGAATTCTCACGATAAGCTTCAAAATATCCAATAACTGCAATTTCCGTGGCTTCGCTTATTATGAATTCTTTTTTTGCCCTTGTTTTAGCAAAAACATTTTCGTTGCCCCTAAATTTTCGATAAAGTCTCAGAAAATATCGTTCATACGGTTGAATGCGAGCGGGATATAATTCACTGTAGTATTCTCTTGCTCTCAAGGAGGATTTTCTGCACACTAAATAGCATTCTAACATATCACACTTTTCTTCATGGGAGAACATTTTTCTTTAAATTAATGACACAATAAAGCTTATAAACAAGTATTTACACTAATGTTTGACATTATTTGATTTTATCATTGTTTTCCAAAGCCTTCTAGTTGCGAGTATGTCCAGTTTAACAATTTGTCGCTTATCTTAATGCTGTCAAATCGCGAACGCCATGTTGTTTTCATAGCCGTCTTAATATTATAATACTGCAAATAATTAAAAATATTTATCGTTATTTTGACTTTATTTTTGACTTTAGCGGAAAAGTCATTATGAACTTTTTTGTTTAAAATTTGATGCTTTAACAGAAAAAAATATAATATACAGGGGTTTCCATTTAAAAAATGTTATTTTACTGAAAAAAAATCAAAATAACGACTCTCAATTGTTTTTTTATTTCTCATTTTTACCAGCGTTAAAATGCTACTTGTTTGCTAATTCAAACAACTTTGTATTTTCACTAATAACAAAGTTACTAATGGTGGACACTTAATTTGGATAACCCTGTATAGCGCTTAAGTATAAAAGAGGGTTCAAGATGTTATTCTGTAGCAAAATAGAATGTAAATAAAAGTAATTGAGCTATATTTGAATCACACGCATATTCTCTAGTGACCCGTCTAAATCCTGTCATTTCCAGAAGGTTTGTATCAGATTGAAGAGCCGCGACCTCGTAACCTTGTATCGATTGTGTCGTCACTTTCGGAAGCAAGTATAAGTAAACCTATTAAAAATATAAATTTTCATTATGTTTCAAACTCCAACTATCATTCGCCTTCTATCCCCTATTTTGCGGGGGTCACTATTTGCTACTTTGTTGATAAGAATATTGTTATAATAGGGTGATTCACAAGTCGTCACCAAAAATGAAACATCATACACAGGATCGTATGTTAAGGGGGTATTCTACGTAACATTTTTTCCTCGAAGGCTTCATTAAAAAGATACGGGGTGTTGAAGTTTAAAATAAAACAAATTTTTTTAATATCTTCAAAACCGTCAACTGGAGAGAACTGAAATTTGGTATGTGGTTTTACCTTTTTTTACCTATTATCCACACTCAAAAGTCTTTACTTAAAACTAACGTGCACCAGTGGCGGAGATACAGGGGATAAGTGACACTATTTTTTCCAAATAAAAATTGTACGCCACTTTTTTTTACGCAGCTTTTCGAATTTTACCTTCAATTTGCTACAAATGATTACTCATGTGTTTTTTCCTAGAGTGCACTGTTTTAGTAAAAATAAAAATAAAACAAATCAATCATGAAAAGCCCAGATACAATTAGTTTTAAAATAAAATAGGAGGCCTTGATGCCAACTTGACGCTTCTTGGGAGATAGTTTGTCAAAGTTATATGTTATAGGGTTGTTATCGTTGCTACTACCTTTTTTTGTAAAAGCGAAGTCAAAAGTTTCTTTTTTCTATTTTTGAGAGTTGTAAAATGGAATTTAGCAATGATGAGTACGCCGATATTACTTTTGTGTAGGGGTTCTGTAATGGAAATGCTTTCGCGGCTTCTCGGAAGTATCAACGCGGATTTTCTAACAGACGCCAACCTACCCCAAAGGTTTTTACGCGTTCATTTCTAAAACTTCAGCAAAATGGAATTTCCCGGAGTTAGAGGCCATGGTGTCAGGCATACTGGGCGTGATTAATTTGGCGTTGGATGATCCTAGTACAAGTACTAGGCGGATTGCAGTCCAGTTACCATGTTACCAAAGTCTTGCGTGGAGAATTTTAAATCGGGAAGTTTTACATCCTTACCGTCGGCACAATATGCAATGTCTGCAACCCGGCGACGAAGTGCAATGGCAAAATTTTTGTGAGTGAGTGAGAGACGTATTCTTTATACGCTAACAAGAGATGCATAAGCGTCTCTGGCGCCTGTCGACGCTCTGCAGTTGGCATCGGGTACATGCACCGATAACCCTACTACGGTATATCAAGGTATTAAATACACCATCTTAACAAGCCATAACGAATCCCTTAGTCTCAGACTTTTACCCACTAGACCTTAGGAATGAGAAGGTTTGCCTTTATAGTTCGGTCAGTTATTACCGGTATATCTCACAAAATTGTGTTGTCATTATGATTTGTTACTTTGTCTGGGACGTGGTCATAGTATTCAGGAGAGACCTGCATACCCAGTTCTTTACAGATCACCCAATGAATATAGCTACCAAATCTATTGTGTCTATGTGTGTATTCGATGGGTGCCAGTACTTACCAACCCGCAACTATATGACATGTGTTCTTCTCCTTGGTTGCATAGTCTACATGTACTTTGGCTGATTCAGGATTTCTTTCTGATAGAATCTTGTCCTGAGGCCTTGCTCTTGGGCAGCGACCAGGAGGCTTTCGGTCTCTCCCTTGAGCTCTGAGCTATGTAACCATGCCATGGTTGCTTCTTTGTCTATGTATGGTCTTTCTAGATTACGAATGAATTGGCTGTGCAAGGGCCTGTTTTTCAGTATCTCTTTTTTTTCTTTTTCGATGTGACGCTTGATCTGATGTTTATCAAATTTATCAAGTACACTGTCCTGAAGACACCCTCTTGATTTTTGCAGCTTTCGTTTGTATCGAATATTTATTTTTAACTTCATCGTGGTGTCTAACAGCCCTTATGAGTATATCACTGCAGTTTGATAAATAGGTGGCCAGCTCAATCGTCTCGGACATGTAAGCAGACTCTAAGTCTATTAGACCTCTCCCACCCTCACGTCGCTTTATGTATAGCCTGTGTACGTCTGCCCTGGGGTGACGTTTACTAGACATCGTGAGGATCTTTCTCGTTTTCTGTCCATCCTCTCTATGTCCGTTGTTAGCCAGTCAATGATGGCAAAACTGTACGTCACGACTGGGATCGCTAGTGCATTGATTGACGTGATCTTTTTTTTAGCACTAAGTTTAGTTTCCAGGATTTGCCGTATTTTGCGATAATATTCTCTTTACAAACCTTTGCCTTCATCGCCTCATTATCAATACCATGCTTTTCTTCTATACCAAGATATTTGTATGACTCTCCTGTATCTAAAATTTTTATTATTGTGGTACAAATTTGTAGATGACGGTAGCGCATTTGTCTAAGCCGAAATCCCTTTTAATAGTATCACTAAAGGCCTTGACAATACTGAAACATTGCAATAGTTGGTTCTGATCTTTGGCAAATAGCTTGCGATCGTCCATGTACAGGAGGTGGCTGACTGTGGTTGTTTGATCAACCTTGAATCCTATACCTTGACTCTTCAGCATGTTTGTGAGGGGTATCAGGGATAGGTAAAACAGCAATGGTGACAGGGAGTCGCATTGGACTACCGACCTACAATTGATCTCTACATCCTCTAGAAGCTTTTCGACACCCTTTCTGTTCTTCAAGTCGGATCTCGTTCTCCATCACGTAAGTGTAGATTCTGGATGTCAGTATGTTATTCATAGTTGGTAAACAGGTAATGGGTCTGTAGTTTGTTGGATCCTGAGTGTTTTTGCCTTTTGATTGGAGGCATGTCATACCACAAGTTAGCCACGGTGGTATTAGTTCAGGAGTTTCTATTTCCTCAATAATCGCTATCGCCAGGTCTACATGCAATAACGTTAGCACGTTAGCTGTTTTTGCCAGAAGTTAGGTATCATGTCAGGCCCCGGCGACTTCCAGTTTATAGTACGACTGATTGCGTCTTTAACTTCATCAGTTGTTACTTCTGCCCATACCATTGGTGCTAGTTTCCTGTTTTTCCTCCACTCTGTTTCTATCTACGCAGCATGGTCATGTGCTACTTCTTTCTCCAATATACTTCTCCAAAAGGTCTCTACTTCTGACTTAGTTCGTGGGCTCTTAACTTCATTATTGTTACTATTCAGTTGGCGATAGAACCGTTTAGCGTCTTGATTGAACAGTCTATTCTGATGGTAGTGATTGCTTCTTTTTGTGTATCTTTTTAGTCTTTGCGATTTTGCCAAGAGCTGCATTTAATGGTTTCTTCAAGTTCATATATGCATGCTCATGTCATATCTATATAACCTTCTCAAATATTGAACCTTTTTCTTCACTCTGTGGGAGGTGTCACCTTTCTTGAATACGGGTAGCAGAGCAAGGGTTTTACGATGAGCTTCTATCTTACTTGGTAGTCTAACTTGCCAGGACGTGCTGTTGAGCCTTTAGCATACTCCTTCTCCTTTATTTCACCGGCAATCACACTAGCTATTGAGTTTGAAAAATGATTAATGTCTGTTAGATTGAGATCCTTGCCGCAACTCTGTAGTTTAATTAATCCTTGGTAGATTATTGCGCTTCTCAATTTCCAGATGTTTGACTTCTTGCCATCGTTGTGGTATACTAGCTTTCATTCCTGTTATCTCAAATCCACTATCATCTGATTCGGGCGTTATATGTTCATCTGTCTCTCGCATAGGTGCTGTATGGCTAAGTTCTTGGTTAACACGCGATTTGATACGTTCAAGTTATAAGTCGGTCAATTTGTTTTGATTCATGATGTAACGCCTTTGATTGGCGAGCGTATTTGCATTTATATTGGGAAATATACTTGGGATTCTCTCTCTCTCTCCATATTCTGTATGTTCCCTTAGTAACACTACCCTCCACTTTTGTGTAGCTGGAGTAATAGTAGCACCATATTATGTCCTCATATTGCTCCCTAGTCCACTGTTGCCTCTGTTTTCTTATTAGAGCTGTAGACGTAGATGTATCACCAGATAGGCGAGGTTGAGACATGGTCTGAGTTTGGTTACTACTTACTCTTGGAGCTTTCGATTTTTGTGCATCTGTTATGTCATTTCCGTTTCCATTGCCATTGCTTTTGCAGGTATATCTTCAAGACGGTTCCGACCCGGGTCCTGCTGCCCCTGCCTGCCTTGATGACTTTTATTTCTTGTACGAATCATATTATCACCAATTGGGGGTTGTGCAGTTTATAGCTCTGCCAAGCGAGTCTCCGATTGCATTATTATTATTATTATTATTATTATTATTATTATTATCATCATTATTATTATTATTACTACTACTATTACTTCCTTGATGGTAGGGAGAGGTATGTCATGCTGAATCACTGTCATTGGGAACGCAGTATGGTGCGTAGACAATCATTCTCTGGAATCACTTAAGGATGGCAATGTTGTTCTTGCTTGATGTGCCTCATAACCGGATGGCATATGTCCAAATTAATTTCGACAAAAAGAGTTACATGTCGCTATAGTTGTAAACGATCTCCATACTATTTCTAGGCCAAACATTATTGACTGTACGAAACGTTACCCTGCTGGAGCAGGGACAAACCGTAGTAGCGAACTGGAGTTTAGACGAAAACCTGCAGAGTTGTGTCCATTTCTACCGCTTGGTCTACTGGGACGATTTTAGTGAAGTACCAAAGGATGTTTATATGACGAACACGTCTTACACGATCCCTAATGTGGTTCCTTGTAGCAAATACAATGTGAAGGTATCTGCCTGGACCAGCCCGACTCAAGAAGGACCTGTTGCTACTGCGGCTTACACTACAATTGCAAAACGTAAGTCAAAGTTTCAGATGCTATCGCTTTAAAGTGAAGCAGTTACAGGGAGGAACTTGAAGCCCTGTTGGGATTTCAACTATATTTATAAGATTTTTAATCGTTATTAATACCGCAATGTATGCACCCGTTATCCTCGCATATTTTAAAATTACTTGAATATATACATTGTCCCATAACCTCGTGCCATGACAAACATATTTTTTTTTAAATAGAACACCCCATAGAGCTTCTAAAAACAAAAAGTTTGATATCATATAACATATGGTTTCTATTATCAATGGTCTGAAAAAATGCCCAGCTCGCAGGTCCGTCTTTTTTTAAGACATTAAGATAAATCTTAGTTCACAAAAATTTATTATCAACGTTTTTTAGCTGATCTGGAAAAGTGCTGCAATTCTTTCTATTTACATTCTTTTTGTATATTTCTGCATCGTTAAATAGTTTTTTCGGTAGACTATTTTTAATGTGAGGTTTATATAGCTTTTTCCCAAATATTTTTGAGTTATTGCTATTAATTTCCAGAAAAACCAAATCATCTTGTATTTAAACATGAAACCAAATCTTATACCAAAATAATAGCTTTCATTGACACAACAAAAATAATAGCTTGAGGCAATAATTAATGGTTTGAATATATTACCTTGGTGCAAAGCGCCTGTTCAAATTATCTTTGAGTCTAAAAGGATTTGTCTAGGTATCCGCTTAAACGACTGGCTTATACGATGTGTCATGTTCTCAGGTGTTGTAGGTTTCACCTGGTAAACCTCTCTTCTTGGATGGCCTCAGAAAAAAAATCGAGAAGCTTCAGATCGGGAGATCTTGCTGGCCAGTTGGTCGGTACGACAGTCCCTATCCAACTATTAGGGCGCCAGTGGTCTAGATACTCCCGCAGGGCTATTATGTAAAGAACCTATAAAACGTCAAAAAGCCGGCGTCAACTTGCTGCCTATATAGTTCCTAGTGTGCAAATAGTACATTCCGCATTTGCTCTCTATGAGCGCTGTGAGCGTCATCCAAAAGTCCGTCTATGGAGGAGTGACTCCACGATACGTCACTCTCAATGACGGTGCGGCAAGTTGCAAGTCAGTTCCCCATCATGCTTTGTTGGTTGCAGAATGCCACATCACAGAAAAATGAGGAATGACGCATCACATACAAAACATTTTCGCACTACCTCACATTTAAGCGCTGATTTGTATTTTCTACTTGACATCGTAACATACATTTCTATAAAATTCAAATGACTGGAAATAAGACTTAATATAAAATGTAATAACTTTTTTACGTTTCATAAATATTCCTGTAAGTACTATATACTTTCTCACCTGTTAGTTATAATATACTTCACCAACCAGAAATTTCTTATTCGTATTGCTTTATTTCTTGAAATTAAGCAAATTTATGAGAAAACGTAGGTACTTTTTGAGTTTTGAGATACTCTATATAAATAGAAAGATATTTTAGCATTTCTTTCAGATCATCTTTTGTGAATGAAATTATCCAAACGAGTTACTAGCCACCTGATTGCTACGTCCCGATTTTCCCCGCACTCACTAGCGGAGTGATAACAGTGACAATCCTAAACATCTAAATATTTTTAAAAATGGTGAAACTGCGAGCAGTCATAGTTTTGGCCATTTTTTTCATACATTTCACTAAATATCTAAACAATTGACAATCGAAATCATATGTTATATTTATGATATCAAACTTCTTGTTTGTACAAGCTCTATCCAAATATGCAGTAAAATATAAAAAATAATACATGTTTTCTATGGAATGTTATATGTATATATCGAAATAATTATAAAAAGCAATAGTAACATATCAAGGTTACCACGAAAACAGATTTTTAATCTTTTCCGGTTTGTTCATGAAACTATTTTTCATTTTTGTTAGGACACCCTGTATAGTGCAGGTCAAAGGTTTTCCCTTCTATATTTCCATGGGTACAAGAGAGAGAGAGAGACAGAGAGAGAAAGAGAAGCGTGTCAGAAAGAGTGCGTCATTAGCACGCTCCCTGGAAAAGATGTGGGGGAGGGCACAGAGCGTGGCTGTATTCCACTCCCACCCTCGTTTCCATTTTTTATATCATATTGTTTCATAAACTGCAATAAAAACAAAAATATAAGACATTGCGGTTTGGAGTTTATTGTGCTTTTATAACCTGTCAGAGCACATGTTCGTCCAACCCCGGATTTAGGATTTCGTCTAGGGGGGGGGGGGGGGGGCGCAAACGATGTTTGGGGCTGGTAATTTTTTAACCTCAGTGGAACTCCTATAATTTATCCTATTATTGCTCCTTAAATCCATTGTGTACTATCTGGTCAATGCCAGCTTGAAAAAAAATGCTCAGTAATCCTCAGAAAGGCAATATTTTATTATATGAGTACAAAAGAAGTACGTGTCATTTATAATTAACTAGTGTAATAATATCTACTAAAGATTAAAACATTGCTCTGTTAATCGAAAAAAAAAACATTCTTATCAACAGGTGATAAAAATAGCAATAGGTATAGTCAAATATTTTTTGAAATTCAATATAGATGTTACAGTTATTCTTCAGACTTTCGTTGTCGAACTTAGATTTATGGCGTAGTTGATGTTTACCCAGTTTTCGAATCGCTGTTGATCACATGTAAAAATGTTGCAAATCTTTGGAAAAAACTATACCCGTTGGATTGTAATTATTTTGATAATGTATGTTTGTACGAAACAAGTACAGGAATGTACATATTCATGTTTAGTGTTACAAGCTCTGTGATTGAAACGAATTCAATATAGCAACATAAATAGAAACAAACGCGGGATCATCGGTCGACGCATTTTCTGGTCAGGCCACAGGCGCACCGCTAAACAAAATCTCATAAATGACTATTTCCAATTTAGGCGTTCATCTAGCATATACTCTAATCATATATCATATTAGCAAATTTTCCCGAAATAGTTGTAAAGTCCAGTTTTACTGGTGCAGGTTGTTCAATGGGGTATTTTAAACATGGACGCATAAAATCGGAACATCAATTTTTGTGGGAAAACTGTTTATTTGACAACAAACAGTGAGTAAACGTGTTTTTTTTTGGGATTCAATCGAAAGTGTTGACAGAAACGAAAAAACTTTCCATATAAGATTTTTAAGTATTTATGAGACCTACAAAATGAGATAACGCGTACAAAGGTCCGACTAATAGCAAAAATGTTATGGCCGAAAAACCAGGCAAAATGCAGGTTTTGGCACTTGTTGGTAATGCGACGATAATTTCACGCAACTAGTTGAAATTCTTCAAATCCGTAGGATTCAAACTTCCAAATACCAGCAGCAAAATTGGAGTATATTGGTCAAGTAGCTTTTTGAGAATTTCTAATTGCTTATCGCAAAACACCTGTTTTCCGGCCATCACTACTAGTTTATTGAGCAATATACAGGATTAGTTCAAAGAGCATTTAATAGCAAAATGCACGTGCCACCTTGCCGATATGAATCACAACCCTTTTCGAAAGATAAATGTTATTTTTATGCGAAAAACAATGGTTACCTTTTTTCTTCTAAGCAAATTCAAACATTTCGAATTTGTGAGTAATTGAACAAATGCGCTACGATATTCGAAATTCATACGTTACTATACACATTTTAAAACAAAGCGGGTGTGTCTATCATCTTTACTCTCAAATACGAAATGTTTGAATTTGTTTAGAAGAAAAAACGTAACCCATCCTTTTTTGTATAAAAATAACATTTATCTTCCGGTATGGTTTGCGATTAATATCGGCAAGTTAAAATAGTGTATTTTACTATAAAATGCCCTTTGAAATAACCCTGTATATTGCTCAATAAACCAGTAGTGATGGCCGAAATACGGGTGTTTTGGGATAAACAATTAGAAATTCTCAAAAACTACTTGACCAATTTTGTTGTGGTTATTAAGAAGTACGAACCCCACGAATTTGAAGACTCAAATATCTGCGAGAAACCATCGTCGCATTACCAATATGTGCCAAAACCAGCAGTTTGCCTCGGTTTTCGGCCATAAGTTTTTTGCTATTAGTCGGATCTTTTTACGTGTGGTCTCATTTTGTAGGTTTCATAAATACCTAAAAATTTATGCAGAGTTTCTTCGTTCCTGCCAATACTTTCGATTGAATCCCAAAAAATACGTTTTCTCATTCTTTGTTGTTGAATAAAAAGTCTCCCACAAAAATTGGTGTATCCATTTTATGCGTCCATGTTTTGAATACCCCCTTGAACAACTAGCAGCAATAAAACCAGACTTGACTTCATCGAATATGATTAGACTAATAGTGCTTCGATGCAACACCAACCCCGAACAAACTCAGTTAAGCTTCACAAACTTTTCAAATTACTAATGAGGAACAAACAGAACATAAATCAGTTTGTAAGTGCAATCTGTATCGCTAATATATTGCTCAGACTTAGATTTGTCACAAGTCACAATACTCGAATATACGTATAAATCGTAAGAATTGTGCTGTCGAAGAGAGACAGCGTTTGGTATACCAAAGGATATAAAAAATCGCAATGTTCGGTTTCTATAGCTACAACTTATAGTTAGTATGCCTCTGTCGCTATGATGTGTCAGAAAGCAACACAGTGGTGTTAGATTACAAAAGCAAGTGTCAGACGCCTAGGTGGGCGCGCGCCCCCTCTAAATTCGCCAATATATTCGTCACAGGGCTAGAGGCCAGTGTCGTGCGAATAGTGGTGTTCAAGGTAAATAGTAAATTGTCATATTTTTTAGTGTCCGACTGAACTTTCCGTTTCGGTTTCGGCCAGTTTTGGTCCATAATCAAAGTTTCGGTTTAGTTTCGGTTTCGAGAAAAAATTCGCCGATACTGCAACCGAAACCGAAACTGTTTTCTCAATTACAAATCGTTGAGGAACTTCAGTTCATGCTCAATTTCAGGCAGAATGTTCAAAAGAGTTTGTTTGTACAAAATAAATTTCCTAAAATATGTCAGAGTGGAATCTTTTGGAGAAAGTTTTTGTTTTTGGCCTTTGAATAATTCTTCTAGAAAACTTCAATTTATCAGCTCAAGATACCGAAATCATCATTGAAATATCATGGTCGACAAAATCCATTGTTGAAGACTAAAAGTGAATTATTTGATCTTTAACTTTAAATATTTGTCGTTTGAGTTAAGCACAGTTTACAAAATTTAAACGAGGTATAAATACAGGGTGTTCAAGAAAAATAGATACTCTGATTACAAACTTTATTATAAAAAGTCACAAAAAAATATGGATGCGAACAAGAAGATAACTCCTAAAGCTTATGCTCGAAGTGTTCACCATCCGCTCGAAGACAGGCTCCTACCCTTCTCTGCATATTGCGGAACACTTTATGTAAGACTGCTGGTGTTATTGCGTCAATAGCCTCTGTAATACGCGCTTGTAGGGTTGGGATTGACGTGGGTGGTTTCTGGAAAACCCAGTCTTTGATGTAGCCCTATAAATAAAGATCTGGAGGCGACAAATCAGGGCTACGTGGTGGCCACAATGTTGGCGAAATAATGCGGTCTCCAAAAAATTCAGTTAGGAAATTCATTGTCGAAACTCGGTGTGAGCTGTGGCCCCATCCTGCTGAAACCAGCAATAACGTTCCTCCGGCTTCAAAGACGCAATAAACAATTCAAGGATTTGTTGATATCGCACCGCAGTGATGGTTTCAGTAAAGAAGGGTCCAACAACTCGTGCGCGCGATACAGCGCACCATATCCCAATCTTTCCACATAGGCATGAGGATTTCAACTTCCCCACAGACGGTAATTCTGTGCATTTACATATCTGTCTAAATGCACCCAAGCCTCATCAGAGAAGAAGACCGTATCCAACTGAGCCATACCTTGGCGCACAAAAGAATTAAACCAGTGACAAAATTGTGTCCGATGAGTGTAGTCTGGAGGTTTCAATTCTTGTCGTACCTCAATTCGATAGGGATACAGCTTCAATTCATGAAGCTATGTACACTGCCAACAGACATTTCAGATTTCATGCATACGCGCCAATTTTTGCACCGAGAGGCGAGGGTTAGCTGTAACTGCTTGGCGCACCACTTCGATCTTTTCTGGCGTTTTTACACTGCGCTGACGGCCACTCCCCTTTCGTCTCACCAGTGTATGTTCATTCTGAAAACGGTCGACCACTCGCTTTATCGTTGTGTTGTGCAAGCTTCGTTGATCACCGAACTTCTCCTGATACCGTTCCCGCACGAACACGATCGAAAATAATGTTCCACAATAAAACTCGCTTCTGCTGCAGATAAATCCATCGTGCCTACCACGACCGCCCTAACTCATATACTGACGACACTGTTACCGTTTGCTTCCAACTTCGAAACTTGCGGCACACGTTTATGAAGGTACAGTGTTGCTGTAGCCGCGATTCGCATTTCTCAATGTTTTATTTCACTTCTTTATAAGCTTACGAAGTTAGAGTATCTATTTTTCTTGAACACCCTGTACTTGTACAATAAAAATCTTCAAACTAAACTAGGTTTCCATCTGCACTAACATTAAATAAATGGTATTGATGCAACATGCAGTAAGTTGTTATTTTTGTGTTATTTTTTTTGCTAAATGTTGGAAACAAAAAGACATTATTTACAGAAATAAATGTAAGTGCTATATTAGTTTTCTTTAATCAAGTGTTGATAATATTTGATAAATATATTATTACGTATTTTTAGCGGTTTTATTGCAATGAATTTTTGTCTGATTTTAGTGTTGCAAAATGTAATCTGTGAGTGTTTCAGGGCTATAAAATGGGACAAGGTTCGTTCTCTTAGCGATAAATTAACCTGAAAAAAAAGAAGTTATGATTCTTAACCCTATTTTTCGCAATTCAAAAATTGAATCGGAACATTTTTTCCTAGCACGACCAGAATTCTCGTAGAACAACTCCTTTCACACGTTTTCGCCAAATAATTTGCCTACTTTCAGATTCCCCAAAACATTTTGCTATATTTCTTAGACTAAAAGGAAAAACTTTGCCTATACTGCATATACATCAGGATCCTTAAAAATGTTCTCACAGAAATCATTGACGTATTAAATGATTCTCTTTTTACGGCAAACTTTCCATTAACGTAGTGAATGTGTCTTTGTGTGCTTAGTTATTTTAAGGCGATAGACACGGTCTTTAAAAAATCGTGAGGCGTTGAACGGCCTAATTTGAGTAAGAAGCTGTGTCGCTTTTGGATGCTCCCGGATCCCAGCATCTGACTGGCATCGAGTTTTTAATCTGCGCAGCCTCTGTGGTGACTAAAAATATAAAGAACACACTTTCAACATCTAGTATCTTCACTGACATTGGTTAATAGCTTCTGCTCAACCACATTCCCAACCTCCACGGATTTTTTTCCTTGCCCGACCCATATTCTCGTAGAGCGACCCTTTCCACACGTTTTCGTCTAATAATTTGTCCACTTACAATTTATCCCAAACATTTTGCTATATTTCTTAGACTAAAAGGAAGAACGACTTCAGCTTGCACTGTGTACACAGGGGTTCTTAAAAATTTTCTCACAGAAATCATAGAAGTATTAAACGACTCTCTTATTAGTGCAAAATTCCCATTCACGTGTCCCGTTTTTACAACTGAATGAAACTTTGTGCGCTTAGATATTTTGGGTCGCTAAACTCAAACATGGTCGTTAAAAAATCGTGAGGCGTTATATGGCCTAATTTAAAGTAGAAGATGTGTCGCTTTTGGGTCCTGGGTTCCAGCATTTGTCTGACATCGAGTTTAGAATCACTCTGTGGTGATTTAAAAAACATATTTCACATCTAGTATCTTCACAAAACTATCGGATCTTATTCTTTTTTTTTTCATTAGCTTCTGCTCAACCACATATTTTCAACCTTGTGGTAGACAAACATGCTGCCGAGATGGTCTGGCACCTACCCGAATATCATTGCAATAGGTGCCCAATCAGCAAAGTAATCGTAGATGCCACTCCTCAATTCAAACTGACTATACCCTACCAAGATTCTCCATTGAGGCCGGATGTGGTCATCAATCTCACCAGTAAGTACACTCTACGTTTGACGTTTTTCACCTCCTTTGTCAAAACTGGCGAGGAAGTATTGTAATCGCAAAAAATTCCGAAATTGAGATTTTATGTTTTTTGGAAGTAATATGACATGTACATCACGAAAAAATATATCATTCATTTCAGTCGGTCTGTCGGTTTGTCGGTGTCTTTCTGTCTATCTGAGCGTCTGCCTATATGTCGCTAATTTTATAACCATGTATAAATTGAGAATTATCGCTCGAATTTTGATGGAATGTTCACTCAAAGTTACTACTATGCCAAGGATGGAAAAGCTTTGGAGTTTTAGAAAATACGTATAGTGACGAAACTGAAGACAAAAGCATGAAAAAAAATAAAAATTTAGCGGGTCCTGCTCATTTTCGGAAAAGTTTTTGTATGGGTTGAAACTTGCGGGTCGGGGGCTGTTGGGGGTAGGGGGCTGTAAATGTAACGTCTGTAGTATTAGTCAAAGATGTTCTGATCATTAAGAAGCTGATCCCGATACCAATGGGTAAATTAAATGTAAAAAGTATTATGTGATGCTGCATCGTCGTGGAGCCAACTACCAACTGTGCAATGGGTAACAAACTCCAACTGGTCTGTGATGGTGTCGATACTGGCACTAGCAATATTTGGATATTAGGAGTACACCACTTTAGCGTTTTGCGATACTTTTGTAAATAATGACTCTACACATATATTTTTCTGAATTTTATGATCTCTAAATGTACGACCCATTTCGCCTAACCTTTAAACTGTGTTACTCCGTCTGTGATGGTTATCTGAATATTTCGTCAAGTCGATTGACTCGGTACTTATGACCCATTGATATACAACAGAAACGAGCTGAAAACCGACATAAATTAGAAACTCGGACTTATGTGATGCAGCTATCTTTAACCGACAGAAAACTTGTGAACTGAAGTTAGAATATTATCGCAAGTGTAATACTTCCATCGTTTAGGTAGGCGTAGATCTTGAAAATTGATTCAGAAGTGGCGGAAATAAAACAGCTGGAATATAAAATTACAACGTTCCAGAGATTCCTGTTAATTTTCATACATTTCTGGATGGGATGACAATTGTAGGCTGGAAGTTGTAAGCGGCAAATGGTTGTAAATTATTGTTGCATATTTGGTTTCAGTGAATATTTTCCCTACATTGACATGGAAACGGAATATGATGATAGATTTGCTTTATATAGTTTGATATGCAGAAGTCGAAGATTCATCGTACCTAAGTGGAACTACTTAATCACGATTCGATTTCACCTTTTAAAACGATTTTACTCATCCCTTTTCTGTGAAACCTCTAACGAAAATACAGGAAGAATAGAGTCAATCTACTTGGCGCCATTTTTTATTTGAAGCTATGAGATGTTCGTTGTAACCTTTGTGAAAGAGCTAGTCGAGGAGGCTCTCTGTATTTTGTGCTATGCACGCTTTTGTCAATCGAGACGCAACATAAATATGTACAAGTATTTAGGAGGGTCATTTCTTAAGTAAGAACCGTTTTTTAATTTTCTCATTTTTCAACATATTCACCATAAAGTAAATATTTATACATTTGTCAAGTCGTGACACCAGCTTTTGGATCCGGTCGTCAAAAGACACTGCCGCCTGACCGATAAATCAGTAGTAACTGTTTCTTCCAACCTATCATCGTTTTCCAAGTGTTTTCTACCAAGAAATACCTTAAGTTTTGGAAAAGACGAAAGAGTGCTAGATCAGGGCTGCATGGCGGTTGACCCAGTAACTCCCAACGACACTTGTCAAGTTGCGTCTGTGTTCTTGCTGCAACGTGAGGGCGAGCGTTTTCCTAGAGCATCAAGCCCCGCCGGCGGCGAATACCGCAGCTAGCTCTCGACAAGCTGTGAATGTGTGAATTTAAGCAGGATGAACTTTGAGGAACTTTCATGCATTGAAAAACCTACTTACTGAACGCGCTCCACAATGGGCAGATTTTCTGACTGACATAGCGACAAACCAAGCAATTTAACCACACAACCAACACCATCAGACGTGGTTGAACGGACGTCACGTGACAGGATGCGAGGGCACGATACGCAATCGGTTCTTACTTTAAAAATGTACATCTTCAAATTCGCCCATAGGTATTTCTCTCGGAAGGGCAATAAGTGATTGCCAGACAGAGAACATATAAATCAAATTCAAGCGGATAACCAAATGAAAATGGTATTTACCATTTTGGGTGACATCATGAATCAGCTGTTATATGTCACAGTTATCACCGCAAAATTGTGGTATTTACCCAACTCATGAGTAGTTTTATATTTCTGGTTATTATTTGACATGTGACAAGTTAGAATTTTGCCGGGTATTGGATATTGTTATTGATTTCAGCTTCATTTTTGGGAAACTTGATACAGGCTGACTTCAGTGTTAGCATAAAGTGGAGCACCTTATTAGTTTTACTCATTACTGTTGTTGGGAAAACTTTCAATTTAGTTCCTATGTTTCACAAAGTATCCTGTGTAGCCATATACCACAAGAATATTAAAATAGGGCCATTTAACTCACTGGATGATGTCCACCTGTATACGGTTTTGCTAATATTTTTTTTCATCATTTCTGCTAAATCAATAAATGTTTTTTTTGACATGCGGAAAACTTTTGTGAATTGAAAGTTATCATAGCTACAAAACCATGGTTCCATCATTAAACATTTTTTTATGAAAAAAAAAAACATTTCTCCCATGAATATTATGAAAGGTTTCTTATTTAAACTTTCCATACACCGTTGTAGACAAAAAAAGCACCAATTATTAAGTGATAATTTACGCACTCTCCTAAAATAAACAACTTCCAACAAAACCGCGGTTAAAACCAACGCGTTCAAGCGATTCGTGTAACTGACGTCATCAACCCGTGTGTCATCTTGAACCATATTATAACCGCGGCACATAACACAGAAATTTTGGTTATTCGCTTGGATTTGATTAAGGTTAAGGCGTAAGGACTTGTATGCTGTCAGAATACTGTCTTCCGCGAGTTTTGAAGTCTTAAAGCAGTAGACGAGGGAAGATGTTCAAACAACCTCCTATGACATTTACCAGGCAAAAAGTTGGCGGAGCAGCTCGTCCTTGCGTACTACGACGTCTATGCGGGTCCCACACGATGTTGTTTACAACGTTCGACACCCCACAATTGGCAGGTGTGTCTCCTACACGATGGGATGAACTTTCTAGTCTCGGACTTCGACGCATGGTGGCGCCAACGTCTATTATCGGTGTCAGTGTCGCGCTTGAGCCTTTAGAACCGAAGGAAAAATTATACAAAATGAACGTTGAAACAATTTTTTCGAGCGCCGAAATATAATTTCAGATCTGTCTTCAGCGGCCAAAGCTTAAGTCTGTCAGAAGCCTCAGAAATGTCGAAAATCGAAGTTTGACCGTTTTCTGTTTTTTTTCGACGATAACTCCGCCGCCACTTAACCGATTTTCAAAAACTGCAGAGCTTTTTCATCATTTTCATAGTAGTCTAGTAACCTAGGGTCAAAATTTCATCAAAATCCTGATAGTACTTTCAGAGTTATCATTTATTTAATCGTTTTCGTAGTTATAGAGATTATAAGGAAACAACTGTAAGCACTTGATAATTTATAATTCACTAAAATACATATCCATAACTCACCTGCGCAACGTACAAAATATTAGCAATATGAAAAAAGTGTTGTTATGACAGTTTATGCTTTATATGTATACTAATTTAATTTATTCTCCTCAAAAGTTAGTTAAGGAACATACATTATTATGAATAGGTAGGCATTCAAATCAAAATACTTCCCACATACCTCTACTTCACCACAATGACAGCAAACAAGTAAATAATGTTTTTTGCCGCTACTGGTTCTAACCTAAAACCATCAAAAACACGACATCTCGGATGGGACCGTAACGAACCATGCTTCCAACGTTGTAACGTGCTATGTGGCGAACGTTGGACACATGCAATCCCTCAGCGCTCTCCCACACGATGTGTCGAATGGCCATATGTCCAACGTTGTAAAGCATTCGCCACATCGTGTGGGACCAGTTTTACCCGGATTTCATACGCCAGAGGGATGCATACGCGCACAATAGGAGGTTATCATCATCATTCAACAACAATGATTTGAAATAAGCTAAGCCTAAAATACTGGTCAAAATTTTGTGGGGAACTTAACTTGATGACCTCAAAAACACCATTTTTAGTCGAGTTTTAAGGTATATATAAGATGGCCATGACATTTTTCAGACATGATATCAGTTATAGCTCAAAAACTGTCAATTTTAAATGAAGCTTACTGGAGACCTTTTTTGTCCAATATGCTAAAGAACCCTTACAAAGCTTTGACCAAAAAAAAAATGTTTTTTTAATTCATACAAACATGATTAAATGAAAATGCATCGGCTTACCGTCCGACAGCCTCTTAATAATTCATGTTGAGGGGCATCCAACTAACTTGATTATGAAAAAGTTGAGTTGGAAGATTTTTCCTATGGATTCGCGATTTTCGGCTCGTCAATTATAAACAAATTTATAGGAGACAAAATATGAAAAACCACAGTTATATTTCCTCTAAAAACACCCTTTATTAATGAACTTTTTCTTTTCCATAGATCTGACAGAAAGCACAGTGTACAAATGTGACGTGTACCTGCAGAACAACGCTGGCCTATCACCGCCAGTCCACGTTCTCATCCAGACACACTACGAACCTACCCCTCCTCCTCCTACATCTCCCACTCCTGCTCCTACACCCCCTACTCCACCCCCTACATCTCCCACTCCTGCTCCTACACCCCCTACACCAGCCCCTACGCCACCGCCTACACCAGCCCCTGCACCTCCAGCCCCGAACCCTCTTAATCCCCCTAGACCTTTGTCACCTCACTAAATTGCTATTCCAATTTTCATATGTAAAAAAACATTGTCCTGGATCTTGTAATATACTTTTTTGTACAGAACATTTTTTTTATTCCGCTACGTTCCCGATAAACATTTCAAGTTAAAATTACGTTAATTCGACCCCAAAATAGGTTGAAAATAGTGCATGATCAATTTAAAAAAGACAACTACGCGACAGGTAGAAGCAAATCCAGCGCGGATGGTCGGTAGAACAGGGAACGGCAGAACGGTCACTACAGATGATGCAGGCAGTTCGCCTGATGCCTCCAGTACCACTTCTAGGTGCGATTACGGAAACGCAGATGTCGTCGTTGGTGGATAACAGAATTTCTACGCAAAAGAAGTAATAATTTATTAAGGACAGTCTGTATGATCAATTCAGACATTTTACAAGAATGGCCAAGGCTGACTTTGGATATCTTCTGCTTACGTTGGTAACACCAACGATAATGAAAAATGATACAGCTTCGAAAATCTATATCACCAAGAAAACGTTTAGCCATAAGCTTGCGTTTTTTGACAACTGGAGACTCCTACAGCAGCTTGCAGTATCTTTTCAGGATGTCAAAATCTTCATTTTGCTTTTATTACGAGACGAAATGATCCCATCAGAGTTTTAATTTTTTTTCTGTGCTTCGCAGGAATCGTGAAAGCCTTCAAGCCACTGACTATCTACACTTGTAATCACTTTATTTTCATCACAAATTACTTATACATTTATACTCAAGAATCCTTTTCTATTGACATATTCGTCACCGAAATCTGAAGGTTTCTTGATTTGGACATGAGTACAGTCTAATGCACCGATGACAGTAGGTGTAACAAATCGATTCCACCATTTTCTTCTTGCTTCTTCCATGTCCTCCAGGTCAGACGGGAACTTTATCCACTGATTGGGTTTTTCAAATACTTATTCTGTCAGCAACATAATCTATAGTTTTACATACTGTCGAATGGTGAACGCCGAAATCGTCAGCAATACCTGTTTGAAATCCAGTATCACAAACATACCGCAGAAATATTTATATTTTTTGCCATGAGGTAAGTGTACCTCCTCTGGTTTCATCCGTCTGCGGTAAAAAATGTTCTGATAGTCTATAGTTTCGCTTTCAAAACGAACGCAATAAAACCTTACATTTGCTAGGACTTATGCTTTTTCTTTCTATGTAGTTTTTAGTATTAGGAAGATTTATTAGGTTTGCTATTATTAAAATTATGCTTCTCTGATAAAAGTATGCGTTGGAGATAGGTACCTTAACAGGCATTAAGGCATTAAGTTTATTCTTACTGATTTTAAGGTATTCTTTTTATTGAACTAAAAAGAAGGAAGTACTGGAAAAATCTAAGTGAAGTCTTATGTTTCAACTGATTGAGTTTACTTAATACAAGTAGACGCTTCTTTACGAAGTAGTTACTGACTTTTTATTCAATGCTTATCAAGTAAATACTCAAATAACAGGAAGTATAAGCAAATACTTTTTTTATTCAATAGAATAGACCCATTATTTGGGCTTAAAGAATAAACTAATGCATATTTTTAATATGCATCTTAATTCAAGGAAGTGTTGTAACATACTGGCAACGCGGTAGATTGCAAGACCTTCTGAGTCACAGTTGCTAGGCAGCGTGGCGATGAGCTTCGCTATCTAAACGGCTGCTATCTCTTTCTTCCATATATGCCCTACACACTTCTCCCGCTTCTCTCTCGTACACATTGAACTCAGTCCCGTCAGCAAAATTTGGTCCTCACTGTATTTACTTCCAGCGTTTGATCTTTTTCCCAAAGTGGTAAATACAACCAAAGTAATTCAGAAGTCAATATTACAACATATTTCACGAGTATTCATCACAGTAGAATGACAGCTGATTATCTAGTAATATCTGAAAGTTCCCCATATCGACAGAGGACACATAATTGTGTCGGATCCGTGAACCACAGGTAGACAGATCCGAATTTTGTTTTGGTTTTCTGTACGCTATACGCTACAGATTAATTTTGTAATATTGCTAACAGCTTTTATTTAGAAAAGTGTTTTGCATACAAAAAACAAAACGCCACAAACAAGTTTTACTAGATTTATACCCGATCCACTATTGCCAATGTTGCAGACGAACACAAAAATGTTACTTGCTGATCAGCTGTTCACCTCAGTAGACGTCAAAGCGAGACGGATATACTCCTTAAATAGGGTATAGGTCGATCAGGCATTAATTACGAAAGATATAAACGACTATTTAGGTCATCTTGTGGCAAGATTGTAGGAATTTTGTCCTATAAAATCACACGAGTCTGGCATGAATACATGTCGCTCGCTCTGTCTTGCTCATACATGCAGTTGGTGTTGGAAGCCTATTTGTTATGGCTCCTCTTCACAATCGGGGATTACAAACGATTACGCGCCAGCACGATCGTATAGAGGGCATACTGGGCTGTACGTGGCGGTACTCGCCGATCATCATCTATGATCGCCTTCGACCCGTGAATTGTCAGTTTTTCGGACACGCATAAAAGGGAATTCTTTCAGTTGTGATTCATTCTCACAGACTTTATGAGATGTTGATTCCTCCATGGATAAGAAACATTGTAGGTATGACAAGTGCAATTGCATTGTTGATGTCAGAGATGCTTTTTCACAAATCATGATGGGGCTCTGGATTGTGTAGAGTGTCAGGCTAGAAGTATGTATAATGTGTGTATGTGAAGATCATAATTACTAATGACCATATCGTTATTTCAGGAGTAGGAGTAAACAGCAAAATAGGGTTGCAGCATTTAGCAAAATCAGATAAACATTATGATAAAATTCCATAATTAATTACAAATGGGAAGATACAAGTAAATTGTGACTCATCAAGGGAATCACTTTTCTATTAAACAAATCTCAAACACCCCAAAGGAATAGTTTAGCGGAAAAGAGCCATTATTTTTAAAATGGTAGGCATACCCTATTTCAAGAGTATCCATCGCAGTAGAATGACAGCCGATCATCTAGTAATATATCAAAATTCCCCATATCGGCACAGGACACATAATTCTGACGGATCCGTGGACGTCAGGTAGTCAGAGCCGTATTTTGTTTTGGTTTTTTGTACGCTACATATTCATTTTGTACTTTCTAACAGCTCGTTTATTTAGAAAAGTTCATCTGAATACCAAAAACAAAACGCCAGAAACAAGTTTTACGAGATTTACAGCCGATTCATTATTGCCAACGTCGCAGCCTATCACAAAAATGTCACTTGCTGATCAGCTGTTCACCTCAGTAGACGTCAAAGCGTGATGGATACTGGTGTAAATAAGGTATACCTCAAAGTCAGACTAGGTTAAGCCCTAATAAGTACTTTTACGATAATTGCTTTGCAGTCATAATACACTTATCATCACAGGTAGATAGATGCTACAAGTAGCAAATTAAAATTCACAACATTATCATGAACCTAAAATGTAAGACTCATTTTAGGAAAAAATTAACTTAACCTAACCTGGCTCTGGTACGGAATTTGATTTGTATTTAAACTGCTGGGAATAACTTTTGGACTTAAATTGCTATCGATAATCTAGACTCCATCTACTGTGCATACTAAAAAAATACATCAGTGGCATCATCATCAATGTCTTTGAGGCTCACTATCGATACAGTGAGTCTCAAAGAACAATATGTTGTATTTATTAAATGTGTTGCACCATATAGTAATGTTGTAGCATGTGGTATCTAAAAAAATGTGAGGAAACCTATATTATATACACCTGTTCCAATGTTTGTTAATTGAATTGGAACCTTAACCTAAAAGGGAAAAGCCATTAAAACTGTGGTATAGGAAAGGAAAACATTTTCTGATTGAGAAAGAAATATCAAAAACTGAACAGGTTTGATATTTGAAACAATCATATGAAAAGCAGAGTTTGCTAGTTATTTTAGACACAGTAAGAAAATAGAAATCTTTGTCTCAAAAGTTTGCATTTATCACTTATAGTATTAGTAGCTGCAATTTAGTGTGTTTCCTAATTGAATGTCCATATCTAAAGGGGTGGTATCAGGTACCATTTTAAGATGATAACATCATATGATCGTATGTCCCAAGTATTTTAACTTTTGGCAAGAAAGGTAAAAAAATAAATCGTTGATTATGAATATCTGTAATACTACTTAATGAAATTTGGCAGATATACTAAGTGACATATAAATCCGAACACCCAGTTTAAATGGTTTTATTTTAATAAAAGTTGGTGAATGTATTTATCTTACTGTAAATAACAAGTGAAAACATTTTCAGCCTTATCAGTTGGACATTCCGGTTTTTACACTGCTTTTTTTTAATTCACTAACGCTCTAAAAATGAATATTTCAGCCGCAGTAAAGAATCAACGTTGGCGGATTTTGGTTCTTGACATCCTTTACGATCGGTTACGATGCCTAGAGTACGGAGACCTGTACGATTTCGTCAACTTAGTTTGATAGGGGCCGTATAGTGCGACTGCGGGAAGCTGGACTTTCTTTTCGGGCAATTGCAGAGCAAGGGGCACTGGACGCCGCCGTAGAACAACAGACCGTGAAGATCGCCGCCTAAGATTATTGGCCTTAAGGGACCGTTTCTCCACTACCAGATCCATTGCAAATGAATGGTTTGCAGAACACGGAAGACCTATTGGCATGCGAAGTGTTTACCGACGAATGAGAAGTTTTGGCTTGTTTTCATACCGGCCACACTGGGTCCTCCATTTAACTCGAGAACACCGACGTAATCGCCTTGAGTGGTGCAGACAACGGTCACTCTGGGATCAGGAATGGAACAGTACTGTCTTTAGTGACGAGTCTCGATTTTGTTTAGGCATGCTCGATGGTCGTGCCAGGGTTAGAAGGCGACGTGGTGAAAGGAGGAATCCACAGTTTTTTGTTGAAAGACGTGTTCATCACACTGTTGGAGTTATGGTTTGGGGTGCTATAGCTTATGGTTCCAGGTCACCTTTAATCTTCATCAGAGGTAACATGAACGCGCAGCGTTATATCTACGAAGTTCTAGAACCCCACCTTTTACCCTATCTTGACACCCTGGCAGATCCAACTTTCCAACAAGATAATGCCCGACCACATGTTGCAAGAGTCACAATAGACTTCTTTCAACATAATGATGTCACATTGTTACCATGGCCACCAAGATCTCCCGACTTATCCCGAATTGAGCACGTGTGGGATATGATGGGTAGGAGATTGCTCAATTTGCAACGTCCTCCTCAGACTCTAGAAGCACTTCGAGAGGAGTTGGTGGTTGCCTGGAATGAGATACCACAGGAGGACATTGACCACCTGATCAGAAGCATGCCTAGGCGCGTTGGAGAATGCGTAGCACATCAGGGTGCATCCACACATTATTAAAGGTCAAAGGGCTTTAAAGCAGTGCAATCATTTTGAAATTTTTATCATTTACTTATTATGCTTCATTAAGTACTTATACAAAATTTTATTAAAATAAAACCATTTAAACTGGGTGTTCGGATTTTATGCCAATGAGTTCACGGTTTTCATAAAAATGAAAACTTTCTCTTCGATCAAAGCAATATTATTAATATGGCAATACCACCATGTAGAGAATTTTTTTATTTTTTGGGTCGAGATCGTGGGTCGGACATAAAAAAATTGAATTCTTTTAGTCTGTCGCACGGTTTTCACTTGAAAAATAGAATCTATTTCTCGACATAGTCATACTAACAATATTAGGATCATGCACGTTTGTAAGCGAATACGGTGCATCGGAGTGAACAAAAATTAAGAAACCAAATTTGCTTAGAAATGACAGGAATTCAAGAGTAGTTTTTATTTTAAGAGAAATCAGTTCCGTCGTATCATTGTCTGCCAAAAATAGGCAAGTGAAATCGGTACGAACGTCGCTGGTGGAAATTAAAAGAAAATTCGTACAGTAAAAATATCTCTTGATTATACATACATATATGCCGAATTTTAATAAAGTAGTTACCCCCTTTCAATGCGGTCCTGTGTGTGATGTTTCATTTTTGGTCACGACTTGTGAATCACCTTGTATGAATACACATCCATTTGCATTAAATTGTTCATTTTAGATCATTAATGCCGGATATGGGATTTGAAGCTTGACAAATTTGTTCAATGTAGGGAATTATTAGTAACTACAACATTATTTGCAAGAAAATATGCTTCGGCATATGATTCATCTGTCTAAAATTTCTTAAACGTTAAATAAAAACATAACCTAACATCACAATTGACGGCAGAGTAGAAACCTAAAGCAGTCACACACGTTCCTTACTGAAAGATGCAAGATATTGTGATAAAGGAGGCAATAAATTATTGTCTGACGACACGGCCCTTAGTTTACCGTACTTCAGACGTCAAATTCCAAATAAAGGTACAACTAGGTCTTGGTTTTTATTGTTGGAAAACAATTTGACATTAAATAATTTTTCAATTTGATGTAGGTATGTATGCTGTATTTATTAGTTTCCCGTAGCTGGCGATATGTGTATGAATTATACTATATGCGTATTGCGGGTATGCGCTAGGATTTTTTTTTAAATTAGAGTCGTTGCCTAATCCAGAGAGACATGGAGGGAGACAGAGATGAACGTATCGGGATGCATTCATTAGTAGAGTATGATGTTTGATTTTGATAATTCTGATCTTTATAAACTACTTATTATACTAAGTGGTCCCGTATTGAGCTTGCTCCAAAGAAAAAAAAAGGTGGATTCTGATATTCTGACACGTGTCATACGTTCTCTATTACACAGTCCAAATACCACTACGATACTTCCGACCTGAACGCGCATGTGCATTTAAAACAAAATCTTGATAGCGGAGTCTCTCGGTAGTATATGAGATTGGTATGAATATAAATCTTAGGCCTCTTCGAGTTTAAATTTTTAGACATCTTCTAGATTTGAATATGACTGAAGAAATTGGCACTCCCAGGCAATCACACTGCAAATTAAAAGAACTAAGAACCAAATAGTCATCAAAGATCAATAATGGGGAGGTGGCAACCAAATTGCCTTGAAAGACTATTTGTTGGCCACTATAACTATGAAGAAATATTTGCAAGTAATTTTAACTTCAGTTAAGACACTTCTACTTAAAAGTTCGTAAAGTGTCAATGTCGAAATCTAGACGAACATTTACTGAAAGAATCTTTGTTGTAAGCTTACAAGAATTTTTTATTGGTCATTAATAAGATAATTTTTACTTACCAAAATATGCCCCAAAAAAGAACCTGACATTGAAGACGTATTTTAGGTTAATATTAGCTAATATAATAAAAAGGATATGTCTTCAAGGTCAAGAATTTTTCAAGTACTTTTTAGAGCTGTGTTTTTTTGTAGTTTTGAGCCAACCTGTTGGTCAAAGGTCTATTAGGGCCTTAATTTGGTACGTGGTTACCAATTTATGATAGAGGGTTCAACTCTTAAGATAATTCAACTTTTGGGGATGTCATTCAAGGATATAGTTACTTAAAGTTGACAAACATAGGTAACCTTTTCTTCGGTAGTAGTCCATTTTAGCAAAATGAAAGTTGGATATTGTGTTCGACTAATAATCTTGCGAAGTTGATTTCATCAGACTATATTCGTTAATTTTTTCGTTATCTACTACTCCAGCAAAACTAGCTGTTACCCGCGACTTAAATTATAGACAATAAAATTCAAGAATATCCTTATCTTTTATTAACTGTCACTACTGCCTTCACCTCCCCCCTCTTCAGCAACTAACTGCACCAAACTCCTTTCTGCAAAAGTATGTTTGATCACATCCCCGTTTCTCAAATCAAAAACAGTAAAATTGTGTGACTTGTTATCACCACCTAACGCAACCACAAATGGCGTATCAGGACAGAGTTCTAAGCAGTGAATGTTCCCCATTTTGTACTCTTTCTCTTGGACCAATCTGGGTTCTGCGCCTGTTTTGTAGTCCCAGGTTTTGACCATCTCGTCAGGAGAGGCTGTTACCATGAGACCAGGGCACCGATCACTGATAGCTAGACCAGTCACTTCTTTGCTGTGAGCTTCTATGATCCATAGTTGGCCTTTTCTGCAGTCAAAACACTGTACTGTACCTATAAAAATAAATCATATTTTTATACGTGGGTTGATCCATCCAGAAATAGGGTTCCCAAAGAGCTCCAGTCACAATGCAAGTTGTGAGTCAAAAGCCGGCAGCAGCACAGCGCGCAACTGTTCCCCACATTCCCCACTATCGATTCCTCCCGGCCGCGCATCGCTGCGGCGCTCAGCATTCATCATATAGGAAGCTTCCAAATTGTGATCCCGCAAAATGCAAGATTCGTTCCTCAAGTGGTTTGCTACATGCCAAAGGGACTCGAACCGTGGGTATTCGTCGTCAGTTGACAGAGGTGTATAGCGACAAGTCTGTGTACATTCAACATGACCGAAAGTGGTGCAGCTAGTTAAGAGCCGGTTGGCAGTAAGTCCACAATGAAGAACGGAGTGGACGGCTGTCAGTTTCAGAGACGATTATCGAGGTGTACTTCAAAACAGGAGGATAACAGTTAGAGCTCACATTTCCTGGGAGTTTACAATGTGATCATCCTGTTCCACTTCCCTTCCAATCCGCACTAAACTCTCTGCACAACTTTCGGATACGCTATGGACCAACGGGTGGAGTCCTTTAGGCGTGCAGAAAGCGAATTATGGAACGAATTTGGCACTTGGCGGTATTAACAGTGAAAACCTCCATTTCGGAGTGCTGCCGAGCCAAAAATGAGAGGCCAGCGAATCGCGGCCGGGGTGAATGAAAAGTGGGGTAACAGTCGCGCGTAGCGGTGTTGCCGATTTCACCTCGCACCTTCCAGTGTGGTTGGAGCTCTTTGAAAACCGTATTTCTTTCTCAACCCTCATATAAACTAATAAGTTGTTTATACAGGGTGTAAACATTATGGTAGTCATTATTGAAATGGGTAATAGGGTGGGGTCAAAACAAGTCAAAAAGTTCATGTGACCCATGGTCCAAAAGTCAATAGATTTTTGTCTAAATGGCTTTATAGTTTACAACTTTAAGTGCTTTATATCGACCACAATCACCACAATCTTACTAATTTTTATAATCTAATCTAAAACGTTTTTAAATTGAGTAATTAACAAATAAATGGCATCAAGTTTTTCTAAGTTAAGTCAAAATTTGTAGTCAGTCAGCAAGAAAGTTTCATTAAATTGAATATTTAAAACATACATGACAACAGCGCGTCGGTCATCATCACTCTTATTGAACCTGCAATCGATCGCAAACTGTAACAGTGGTTAGTAATACTAACTTAGTATGTTGTTTTGTTCGAGTACGTCGAACAAATTTTTAATGCGGCTGAAATAATGAATGGACAACTTCGAGGACCTACAGTAAGAAGAAACTGGGTTCGTCGTAATGAAGCTTGTACGGAAAGTGGAGGACGACACCTTCTTTGAATACAAGAAAAGTGCAGTGTGGGTTTTAAAAAGAAAAACAATGTATGTATCAAAATTGTGTTCCATATTTATAAGTGGATTTTTTTAATACGTTCAATAACCTTTCACACACCAGGTGAAGCGCTGAGACAGTTAGTGGTAAGTCCGTTTTTTAATTGTTTGCATTTTACGAGTACATTATCAAATTATGAAATAATACCTAAGAGCCAAATATAGCAAACTCCATCTTTATTTACACTGTGTTCCGTCGTGATTTGCGTCGGGCATTGCGGCGTTGTCACATTTTATTTTACTTTAAAGTCGCTTTTCTCTAAAAAAATGGCGTTTTGACTCCCATGTTATATGAAACTTCTTGCTTCTTTTAACCCCCTCTATCACCCATTTAAAAAATGACTATCATAACGTTTACACCCTGTATAAGCCTAGAAGTACGAATTGTGAGATGAGAACTTAATAAGAAGGTAATTAATTATGTTTGATCAAAGTCTACCGTTTAGTTCCAAAGATCATCCATATATTTATATTTGCTTTTATGAGAAACTTGATGTTTTCTTGTAATATTGGCCACTTTACATGCAATCGTACATGTGAAGTCCTATGCACTATTTCATAAAGTTCATAATCTAATAATCTATAAAAATATATATAGTATAAGTACATGATTTCACTGACGACTTAAAAAATGTGTTTTAGTATATTTATGTCATGTGGATTTTTTTCAAGTAAGAACCTATATTTGTTAGTCAAACTCGTAGAAAATTTAAATTTCCTTGAAGGGAATTATTCAGATTTCACAAATGATATGTTTTTAAAGGTTATGCATAAGTAATAATCCTATTAATCGTGAGGTCTTTATACCCAAAATACATATTTTGAGGGTAGTCTCAAAGCCTCAGAAAAACTCACCTTTACTAGTTCCAACTACAAATGCAAAAGGTTCTAATGGATTCCAATATAATCTTTCAGCCTCTCCATCTAGACTCCACTTTTGATGTGGTTCTGGAGTTCTGCAAACAAAGTGATCAGCTGGTTCAGATTATAAACTAAACCTTGGTGATTTATGAAGGGTTTCCAACAGGTGGGGTGTAGGGTGTATTGACGCGTAAGATATAGCCGGTATAAGTAGTCAGGGTCTCTCAGGGTAACCAATCCAGATGGCGGGAATCATCCTGCGAGAGGATTTTGACAGCGTCTGTTCCAAGATGGGCGGCTGACAAGGGGTAGACCGGCACGGGTATTAAGTATCTTGAAAAGTGACATTATGCCGATTTTTTTTTGATATTATGTATGGTTTTCTACAAGATGTTAACTTAGCACTAGCTGATAGACACGTTGTGAACGCGTTTTGTAGTTGTACGTGTTGCCTAAATGTCATGAGGCATCAGTTATCAAGGTTTGGCTCTGATGTGATGTAAAATCTGCTTCAGAGGTGGCATTGCTGGAGGTCTAAGCTGTAAGTTGTATGTGTTGATGATAATTCCATTGGATTCTTGTCTCAAATACACTTACTTGAGATTCAAAGCTAGAAATTAGTTGCGCATACACTTTTTCTTATCCATTCTGGAAATTACATATGCAAATTTGATGAATTTCAAAAATGCGAAATAAATATATTCACTGCACACTGCCGAATTACTTAATGCTAACAGTAATTACACACAACGCGGGCGCGGTGGTGATTTCCCGTAATTTTCCTCAAAGCTTTCCAAAACACCAATAAACGTAAAAAATCGTAATTTATAACTTTGAACATAACCTGTATTCAGAAAGGACGACATATAAATAACCCATCGGGCACAGCTAATAGATATACTTCATTGGCAGCATATTCAGTAATGATTTTCTCACACATCAAATATCACTGATTTTATACACATGCAGACCAATACACATAAACATCCAGATGCGATCTTGCTATTCAACCGTCTTCTCAGAGATAAAAACTACAGTCCACTCGGCTCCACAAAACATATGCAACCAACAATGCGTGTAGTTTAGTTGAGTGATTCCTCCATAGATCGACGTTCTCAACGATCCTAGAGAGCAAACGTGGAATGACTGTTTGCGTCGTAAAAACTACCTAGTCCGCAACATGACATCTTATAGGTTTTTTTGACGTTTTATAGGTTTTTTACATAATACCCGTGCGGGCTCCTTCAGCCGTGGCGAAGGCAGCCAGTCTAGCAACGCTGACCCGAACAAGACAGCCGGACCCCAACGGGCCAGTTTAGGTCTATTTAACATGATTAACTCGCAAAAAGAAGGTATTAGACAAGGGCCAGTCGACCGATGCGGTACCACACGATATCCTTTCCCTCGACTCGCTCCACTCTCGGAATGTCCGGGTGGAGGGTGGATTCGAGGGAACAACGTCGAAGATAAAATGTTTCACGAACATCTGCAGGATTAACAGCAACATTGATGCTGTTCATCACTACCTGCAATCCAATCGTCCCGACATGCTTTTCTTGAGTCTGCACCGATTAACCATCTGAGCTTCTCAAATTACGAGGTGCACTCCAATCTGAGAAAGAACGGGGGAGTTGTGGCTTTTGTCCACAGCAGTCTTTCCTGTTCCATACACGCTTTTTTGAAGTGAGATCGGAAAGACAGTCTGAGGCTTCGCCTCAACTCCAAAACATCTCCCAAGTTTATTTGCTGCCTTTATCGCTCTCCTTCAGACCAAAACTGGGATGACTTACTTCAATAACTCGCCGTCAAGATCGAATTCCTGTACATCAATCACCCCGCTTCAGAGGTAGTTCTCCTTGGTTATTTCAATGCCCATAATTAACTTTGGTTGGGCTCAAACAAGACCGATGCAGCAGGTCGTGCAGTTGAAGCGTTCGCTCTTACTCAGGGGCTGACCCAGCTGGTAACGAGCCCTACTTTTTTCTGCTTCTTCTGCTGGTTCGCTTTCTGAGACGCATCCTGTCCCCTACAGTACTACTGTGCTGTGGAGGTTAAGAACCCGTTGTGGCAGCAGAAACTCGCCCAGACCGCAACATTTGGCATTACGGACGTGCCGACTGGGAAGGGCTCAGAGACTTCTTCTCTACCTGACCTTGAAGAGATGTTTGTTTCGCTGATGCGGATGCGTCGGCTGTCTGTTCTTCGATAACTGAAATTATCCACGTCGGGATAAGGGAATACATCCCTCATACAGTGAAAGTGCCTAAACCAGGGTCCAACGGCTGGTTCAACAAATCTTGTGACACTGCTCTCCAGCAGAAGATCAAGGCACACAGAACCTTCTTACAAAACCCCACTTTAGAGAACAGACAAGCCGAGATCGAGTCCAGAATCAAATATAATGAAGTGGTTCGCAATGCCAAAGACCAGCGTGATATACAAGTTAGGCAACAGGTAATGTGGCAGCGTAATGACAACAATGGTCTTTTTGGACGCTGGCCAAGCAGATTGAAATGAACTTCTTGCACACTAGCCTTCCAGCACTTACGAGTCAGGATGGAACGATTGTAACACACTCAATGGCCAAGGCGGAAGTGCTTGCCAAGATCTTTGCTACCACCTCAACCATGGACGTCCCCCCCAACGCCCAAGTGCCGTCAAAAAGGTTCCCTACACTATGAGGGAAGTAACTTTCAGGCATAAGAGCGCGCGACATCAACAAAGCTTCGTGTCCGGACCCGATTCCTGCCATTGTACTGAAGAGGTGTGCAGCTTGCGTCTCTTCCAGATATCTTATGAATCCGGCACCTTCATACATCCAGAACTGACCGATATGACCGCTCTTTGGTCCCGAGGCTGTCGAGGTTGTAGAACAATCTACAAGAGGAAGCTTTTCCCAGTTCTACTAACCTGAGGCAGTTCAAAAGTCGGATGATCAAAATTTCTTTGGGATTCTCATAGCAGCCGCGGTGTCCCGGCATTTAGGCTTCTGCCTGCACGGCTGCTTTGGTATAAAAAAAGTCAAACCAGTGTTTATTATTTTTCTCTATACGCCCAAATTATAGATGTATAGTAAGAAAATGAAAAACAAAAATCCTTCGTCTTTATAATGAGACGGGCCATTATATAAATTATAGGCCCATATGTTCGTAAGTAAATTGGGTGTACCTATTTCCTATCCTTTCTTGTTTAAATCATAGTGTGTTTTCAAAAGATAAGCAACTGATTTAAATCATTGCAACCCCGCATCAAACTAACAATTTTGGAATATCATGGTTGTTTGTATTATCAGAATGTAAAAGTGTGGGAGTCATCATTTATAAATATCATGAAAACACCTTTAAAATTAACAGTTCTGCTAACTACAAATGAAGTCTTTCTACAAACAGGTGTTTCTTACCTACAATCAAAAATCCTAGCTGTACTATCACATCCCCCTGCAAGCAAAGTCTGAGACTCTAGCCTATGCCAATCTAGGCATTGAACCTTCTCTCCAAAAGCAGTAATTGTGGTATTAGGCACTTGTTTTTCCATATCCCATAACAAAATGCTATGGTCTGCAGAACCACTGGCTATAACATGGTCAAAAGTTTTATTCCACGCTAGTGCCAGCACTGCATCTGTATGTCCAATTCTTTCTTTATTCTTCTTCCTGCTACCTGAAATACATACATTACAAATAGAAGCAACACTTGCACACCTGTGATCTGGATAAAAATTTGATTCCTAGGTAAATCATAGCAAAGAATTTTATTTGCTATACTTTTATTGACAGTACTTAGAATATTTCACACCTTTAGTGTTTACGGGTATGTCAAGATTATCCAGTACTCTTAAGTTCCAAAGCACAAAACAGTATCATTTTGAGCATTATTGTTATTTTCATTTTCCCTACTTCCTGTTAAAATTTCCTTATTACTCCTTGTAGATTCTTACCAGATCTTCCTAAAGTAAAAGCAGGTTCCAAAACATTAACCAAATCAATATCCCAGACCTCAATAATAGGTGACAAAGAACCTACAGCACAGTAGTTCCCTTTTGGACTGTTCGGTTCATAGTTAAGCCATTCTAGACATAATGGGAAAGATGGAAGAAAAATATCATGATGGACATAGAATGATTCTTCTTCTTCATTGTAGATGTGGACCTCTAGTACACTTGCATCTTTTTCTACATGGCCCACCAAGATTAAGTTGTCTGTTGGCTTGATAATGTCATCTTCTTTTTCTGAGTCATCATCTGCATCTTCTTCTACTTCAGTAGCTAATGAGGTTATTCCTGAGAAAATTGATACAAACTATTTATCAAAAACAATGTTAAATACAGAGTGGTTAAATTATACTGTCCGATTTGTTTCTTCAAAACCCGATTTTACTAAAAGGAGATAAAAATTCCTGATCCAGATCAAAATGGACCAGTGAGAAGAGGTCTTTGTAGTAATGGATCAAATGAATATAGTCGATTTCCTCTAAGATACCTGTCGAACTAGCAAAAAATATACGATTTGTGTAAGAAGTGGGTCTAATTCCCATATTAAATCAAGACATTCTTTATAAATCACCTAGTTTAGCACATATGCATCGAAAATTGGCCAATTGGAGAGGACACTCCAATCCCTGCCTGAATTGTGGATCAAGTCTGATATAATGCCTAGATTGATATGTCATTAATTACTGAGCACTTTATTGAAAAGAACAGTGTATATTGCCTGAGCGATAGTTTTAGAAAATAGAATATATTTTTAAAAATGTATCAAGATGTCAGCGTGTGCGCAATATATATGCAAAGTATTGGCGAACATATTTTCAACAAAAGTATTTCAGTATGCATATAACCTATGTAGGTTATTTGCACTGTAGAGCTGCTGGAAAGCATTGTTGAAGAAATCATTTCATTTCATTAGGTATATTCTTTAATTCACCGGTTGATTCCATCACTGATGGATCCGGTGAACTCATGGTTGACAGCTGATGTGATGACGTTAGCAACTAGTTCCGCTGAATGGTTGTTAATAAAAAGATGCATTTTTAGCCTTCAGGTTGCTGTCATATGAGAAAACCTAACCCTTGTTTTATCGTAAATGGATACTTGTTAATTTGAACACCATATCATTTAAAATCATTATGGAAATGTACGCAGCAGTTGGTATTGTCGTGGAACGTTTGTTAAGCGATTCGAGTGATGATTCTGATGAAGAAGTTATCCAGCAGAGAGAATTTGCACTCCGAGAATCAATATAAGAACTATAAATCAGAAAACCAAGAAATTTTACGAGGCATTGATTTGAGATCATCGATGCTTCCTGAATAAGAACCATCAATATGGATTTTCTGAGAGCATTCCTGTATTCATACAGGAATAAAAACAGAACAAAATCAGAAAATCGACATTTTCGGACTTACGAGGTATTGATTTGAGATCGTCGATATGCATAATTGTGTTGAAAAAAAACATAAAATTTCACGCGACTTCTATGCTGCTAACTTCAATCTTTTCTTCTTCCATTTTTTCACACAAAACTGTAGTTGTCAAAAACTGATAAAATGTAGAGGTTAGAATATCGTGGATCAACCGAGCCCGAACGTCGGTGGATGCTGTTGGCACCAGTGGCATAACCACCATCAATATAGAGACAAGTTAGATGTACAACCGGTCGTTCCAGCGGAAATTAAAGGACGCAAACTTGGCTAACTGGGTGCACCGGTAGCTCAACCGGTGAATTAAAGAATATACCTATTCTGACATTAATAGCGAAACAGATTCAGTCAGCTATATCTTAGCATATAGTATCACCATAGTACCTATAACAGATTCTGCATTTTTATTATCATCTTCGTCATACTGTTCAAAATTATACTCATCTCCAGCTGCCTGGTCTGCATCCATAGGTTCTTCTTGAACATTCTTAGCTTCCTCTTCAAGTTTTTCCTTGTTTTCTTTTATGATTTTGGTCAATTCATCTCTCGTTAGTTTTACCTCGGTTGGTTTCTCACTTGCTACTCCCCGTCTGACCCATCGAATACATGGTACGAAGTTTATACTATTTTGGGAGCCTTCCTCCTCCATCGTTTAACATCCGAATATTACTCCAAATCGGAAAAACAATCAGATTAATTATTGCTGTTCCCACAAAACACTGCTGTTCCTATGTGACTATAGGATTAGGTTTAGGTTAGGGTTATGTCACGAAACATGTGCGATCGCGCACGACCGCTATACATTCACATTTGACATTTCGAGACAGTGATCATACATATACACTGATGTGATGTGATTATAAAACATAACTATTCATTTTACAAACTTTATTCGGAGAATTGCAGCTGCTGGGCGATGGCGTATCAGCGGTAATCTAAGACGTACGTGCTGTTTCAGACGATAAAGAAAAACCTCTAATTCACTTTTAAATTTGGTTTTGATTGGATGTGAACAGAAAGATCTCGTCATAAGTTAATCTGTATACTGGTTATTTTTGTTCGTGTGACTCTGCAAATATGTTGGGTTCATCAATTTATTTGTTCCCAAACATCCATTTTGAATTTTTTCCGATATTTATGTGAAAAACTTGATGCTTCACCTTACCATTGCAGTATTACGTATCTTCAAAAATCACAGCGCCACTGACGACATTAAATCGGTTCCATACTGGTCGTAATTAAAGGATGCAGATAGGGTTCAAGTAAAATTGACAAAGTACTTTGTGAATGAAGGGAAACTTGAATGGCAGGATAGAATGATCTAAATTGTTGTCTTCATTGTAAACATTAATTTTAAATAAAGCATTACGAACAACTGTACCTAATATTTTCTTTTTTCTTCAGTGTTACCAAATTGGCGAAAAATTAGGACCATTTCCTCCCAGGCGCTCCTTTTTGCGGTCTTATTTGAGTATAACGTGGAATGCATGTCTCAAATGGTTGGCCTCTTTTCAATTTCATCAATGAAAAGTTCGGTGATAAATTATTCTACTTCCATTTCACTAACTACCATACGTAAGAAATTATTTTTTTAAAAGACACAACTGGTATGTCGCCTGAACAGGCAATGGGAACGTCTAGTATTTCAATACGCTGACCGACGCGCGTATTGAGATTCTCCGCGTCAAGTGGCGTCGTACGGGGGTATGATTTCTCATGCCGTACGCGAGTCATCTGAACTAAATCTAAACGTGAGCGAACAGCAAGTATAGAGAGTAAACGTGGAATGAACTATTTTCACACTAAAAACTATCTAGTCTGCAAGATGGCCTTTGTTAGTTTTTTGTTGACTTTTTTGAGGTTATTTTACCCTGCATCAGGGTTATTATCTATATATAATCTCAAAAAGCCGATTAAATGTAAACTTGCTGAGTAAGTAGGCTAGTGTGCAAATAATTCATACCGCGCTTGCTACAGGTGAGCATGAAACGATCGATAGCTAGTTCCAATTTGAAGTCTTGTCATAGAGTCTTTTAAGAAAACCTACATAATTTCAAAAAACCGACAATGTCACTGTTCAAGTTTTTACATCGAAGCATCCGCGCAGAAGCTTAAATGCCACGACTGCTATGGGGATCCCAAGAAACTTTGTTAAATGATTAAGGTTGATATAACTGGAAAAACGTCGTCTCATAGATTGTTCCACAATATTGACACCCTAGGTACAATGGAGCGGTCGTATCGGTTAGTTCTGCCCGCCCGATACGGTTAGGATGGGAGGCCGGTCTGTCTGGCAGAAGAGAGCTAGGTCGCTTACAGCCTGCCAGTATGAAAGGGTCCCGAGATTGTCTGTTCGAGAAGAGTCATCAATCAGTCGGACAGCCCTCCTATGGACAGCATCGAGTATATATAATGTAGTCGGGGCGGCAGCACCCCAAACATGTGACCAAAATTTGAGGCTAGGTCTTATCTGGGTCTTGTATAGAGTGAGGAGGTCATGAGGAGAAAAGTACTTCTTAGCTCTAAACAAATACCCTAGCTTCTTTTCAGCAGCTGTTGGTATTGACGAGATGTGTTCGTGCCAGATCGAGTCCTCCATGATCTGGACTCCGACCACCCGAAATGAACGGCTCTTTGGCAGAACTCTATCGAAACCGGATGAGGTCTCCTGTCAGAGAGGAAGTCGTCGCTAGTCTTCTTTTTTCTAGCTCAGCGGCAAAGATCGGCTTGTCACTCTGAATTTCTATGTGTAGAGTGCTGTCATCAGCAAGCTGAGGATTCGATTGATCGTACAGGAAAGGTCGTTGATATGTAAGAAGAACAGTGTCGGGGCCAAGACCAAACCCTGGGGAATACCCGCGTTGACGTTGTGGGATGAAGACGAGAACCCGTCAAAAGCCTAGGATGGAAGTTTGCATAAGAGGGTACCGTGCCACAGCTGATCGAACGCTTTCGTGATATCAAAAATAATGACATGAGCCTCACCATAAGACTGGATAAGTCACAATTGCGTGACGTAAGCTAGAGGTCCCTTTGTGGATCACTGGTGCCGGAAACCATATTGCATGTCACTAATCAAGCTGTGGCATTCGAGGTAGTCCAGAAGCTCGCGATTCATGCACCTCTACATAACCTTACTTATAAGAAAGCAGAGCTAAAGGCCAGTAGTTGTAAGGGTCGGTCTTAGATCCCTTTTTGGGGATGGGTTGGACATGAACAAATTTCCAGTTTTCTGGGAAGGTGCCGGATTCGTAAGATATCTGGAAGACACGCGAATGAACTGGAGCAAGCTGCCCACCTCTTCAGTACAATGGCAGGAATCAAGTCGTGATCAGAAGCTTTGTTGATGAGAAGCGACAAAAGCATCCGTCTTACACGGTCTTATGCCTGAATGTTACTTCCCGCATAGTGTAGGGAACCCTCTGAATCGACGGCACTCGGGCGTTGGGGGGACGTCCACGGTGGAGTTGGCAGCAAAGATCTTGGCAAGTACTTCCGCCTTAGCCTTTGAGTCGATTTCAATCGTTCCGTCCTGACACATAAGTAGGTGGAAGTTCCTTTCAATCTGCTTGTCCAGCGTCTAGAAAGACCGACTGCCATTGCGCTGCGACATTATCCTGTGCCTAACTTTTATATCGTGCTGATCTTTGGCATTACGAACCGCTTAGTTATATTTGTTTCTGGACTCGACGTCGGCTTGTCTGTTCTCCACAGTGGGGTTTTGTAAGAAGGTTCTGTGTGCCTGGATCTTCTGCTGACAAGCAGTGTTGCACGATTTATTGAACCAACCGTTCGACCAAACTAACAGGTGGAGAAGCGGGGGTGATTGATGGTCAGGAAGTCGATCTTGACAGCGACATTCCCATAATGGATTGAATTTACGTCCGGAATTCTTAGAACTCGAGGGATCCATCAACATTAATTTCTTTGTTGGAGAAGATAACCGATTCCGTAGCTTTTAGGTGTGGAAGCATGTGGGCATTCATAAGACACCCTGGAAAAAGCTAGCGGGTGGTACCGCCTTGGTCGACTGGTATTTGTCTACCACATTCTTTTTGCGAGTTAATGATGTTAAATAGACCTAACACTGACCCGTTGGTGAACTTGTAACGCCACCCGGTAATCCGTACTGAGGTATTCCTTAATGGGTATATAATCACTTGAACGGGAAGAAGTTGTGTACCTAATACAACAACTTCCGGAACAAGCATTTGCCACGGCCCGCGATCAGTAGGGAACAAGTTACGTGACTTTGGGGAATAAAGAAATTGCGCTCTAGCTAGAACATGCAAAGGGTAAACAAATTATGGCCATTTATTCAAATAAATAATATAATAATAAATTCAATGGTCAGAAATAGATCACTTTTTAAAATAATTCAAAAACTAATTATAAAATGTGATTTCAATGGTAACCTTATGGCTTCCTTTGCCAACTATAAATAGCGAACAACGGAATAACATTTTTATACCAATATTTTAATTTACCGTCTAAAAAAATCACGAATGGGAGTTTTACTTGATAATAACATTATATTAAATATTTTAGTCCACTACTTTATACAATGGTGTTATAATAATAATATGGCCAAACAATAGATGCAATTAAAAAAAAAACTCTTATATGCATACCTATATATAGATCCGGAAATGTTTCCTTAGCAATAAAAGATGCAGAGCAGGGGGTTAACATTGAGAATGAAACGAGGAGAATCAATTTTTTTTCGAGTAAACGACAATAATTTCTCAAGAAAAACATCACAATCTCATGGAAAGACAAAAAAAACCAATATAGATAATTGAAAAAGTCAGTGACCAATGAAACATATTTCCTTTACATTTGACCCTTCTGTACAGGTCAAAATATCTCAGTTTATAAACCACTGAGTAGTTAGAGCCAGAATAATTTTTGTTTCTGAGGCTTATGCTGTTAATAATAAGTGTACAACATTTTAAGTAGATATCTTTACCTAGGTTCTGGTGAGACGTATTTTTCATGATTTTGGATTGATATCCTCAATGCACTGTATCTCCAGTAATGGGTCAATTTGTGATGCATATTTTCATAAGTATTGTTAGAGTTTTCTGAATCGCCCTATTTTACTCTCCGCCTAAATATTTCGAAAGCTAGGCATCCTATAAAAAGAAGTTTCAAACAAACCTTGTAGGTTTTTGAGATGACAAAACGAAGGTCAAGTGAACATTTTCACATCTGAATTGAAATTCGGAAATAAAGTTTCCTGCTCTTTCGAATTCCAATATAAAAATGAGAGGTTTCTTTCGGAAATGGTAACTTGACCTTGAAGGTTATGGTCAAGGTCATACTATGCTATCGAACATTCTTGCTAGAACAAATTCGTTTCGACGTCTTGATGTGATCTTGAAATGGTCTTGAAGGACAATGTGAATGTCAAGGCCAAGATAATACGCGAAATTTCCTACTCTTTTCAATTCCGATGTGATAAAGGGGTGGTTTGATTCGGAAATATTTTCTTGACCTTGATATGAAAGGTGTGGTCAAGGTCATTGTCAAGGTTACCATCATTTTGCCTCCTCAAAACCCTACAGTTTTTGTTTGAAACTTTTTTCTTTGGAATGCCCAATTTTAGACATATTTAGGTGGGGAGATACCCTGTATATAGAATCCAGAGTATCAGATCGCTTAAATATAGTGGATTCAAATCACATTTTATAGACAAAAAACACACAACTTCTCTCAATCAACGAGACGTCGTACTTTCCATGACATCACGAAGCAGGCATGGTCGTTCTATGCGAGTACTCCCACGAAGTGTCCTGTTGTGATGGAGGTGGAGGCGCCGTGGCTTGGAAGTACCGGTAACGCCTGTCTCTCAAGGTCTGCTTGCGTTGTCGTCTGCTCCTTCTTCTACGTACCTCAAGCAATGTCAGGGCTCCAGCACCTAGGATGCACAGGAGGCATATTAGGCATATCAGTATGATTCTGGACACTTGTTCGTCAAGGACGAAGCGGCATATCACTCCTGTTATCACTATCAGCAAGATTAGTGTTACTGTGGTTATCACAATGCATAGGCTCACTCTATCTGAAAATTAAAAATCTCTGTTAAGATACTGAACCTTATTCTTGAGTAAAAAGTGGCGACGAGTAGGTTGACTAAAGGATTATATTCGGCACAAGTTTGTCCCTCTTAGGAAAAAGTTGGCTACGAACGTATATAACAAAGGAATTAAATGTATCATGCCAGTCAGACAGTCAGCAATTAGCCCATAGTCCCCCAGATTTGGCAACATTGGGATCTAGCCTACCGCTATACTGCCAGTGCTGACCGCCCACCAACGTGACAACTCTGCCTGCCGAGGCACTCGCAAAACCCAGCACGGCGTTGCATACTCAGATACACGTATCATCGCTCAGTTATCACTCACAGCACCAAAAAATTGACATTATATCATCATATTTTTAAACTGTGCAATTTTTTTTTTCTGAAAATGATCAGGATCCCCTGAAACATCAAAAACAAAGTTTGGGAGGTTTTTACCTTTTGTTCGTTTTTTGCCTGTAACTTTACCGCCACCGGACCGATTTTCAAAAAGTATAAAGCTTTTTCGTTCTTGGCACAGTAGTTACCTTGTATGGAAATTTAATCAAAATCCGAGTTGTGCTTCCTAAGTTATAGACGGACCAAGGATTAGCCGACATACAGACTGACAGACATGGAAATGAGTAGAAAGTAAAGATAGATTGTAACTTATGAATATACGAACCCTGATTTTTAAAAAAATGGTGTCAAGCAGATTGTATGTACAGGGTGACTTTGAAGTTGAGTCATTAATTTTCAGATAATGATTGTAGAAGGAAGATAAACCAAAATATGTGTGTCAAAATAAAAAAAAATTAAAAAAAAATTTACCTTGTTTTATAAAGTATCCTCCCGACAAGTATTTCAGTGCGGACCTGTATTTGATCGTGAGGTCTTGGAGCACCGGCATGCCGTCCATATGTGAGGTCTTAAGTCAAATGATTCACGAACCCGTTGTACTACATTAACAAAGGCACGAGGGGTTGGTTGCACTCGATTGGGAAACCTATCCGCATAAACATGTGCCATTTTTTATTTCGTTTGAGCCACGCAACAGACACCACTATTCACTACCGACTGACACTGACTGTATACAACTGAATGAAATAATTGTAAAAACATCGTTCCAAATTCTTTCGCTTTTTTGTTTCCGATGCGATGAACCGATAAGGCGGATTATATCCGTTGTCGCCAAACACGAACACATAATATTATTATTGAGACAGGGCGGTACTCAAACTTCCAAAGGGCTATAACTTTGTTACTTTAATTTTACCAGAAAAATGGTAAAGGAAAAAACATTTCTTTTGATCAGATCTACTCACTGTTAAAATAAATGACTCAACTTCGAAGATTATGTATATACTTCCCACTTCTTTGTTAGGGCAATTTAGCATGTAGTAATTTAAACATTTCCGTTACAAAAAGAATGTGTCAAGAATATTCAAAAGACAAATGAGTAACATATGGTTTGGCGTGATGTAATTCGAAAAACATATACCATTTTCAAAATTTGTCGCGAGTGCAATACCTGATGTCAAGTAGATTGACTCTGTACTACTCGTGCAATTCTTGACAAATAGATTTTGAATACAATGTGTATATTAACTAACATCTAATTCAACTTTTGCTTACTTCTTTATCTTTATAATGGAATGGCTACGTATTTTGACATTGTTGGTTTGAAATTATGGACTTTACTATTCGACGACCATAGACACTCTTACAGCTGATGGTGATGTTATAGAATTGATATATATATATATATATACATTGAAATAATTGGTTGTATATTTTCAAAAACTATGTACGATGGTTTTTCATCCATGACATAATAGTGACCTTGTGTGAAAATTTTATTAAAATCCAATTGAAGCGTTCCAAGTTATAAAACGGCAAGGATATTATGTGAAAAACCTATAAAACGTCAAAAAAACATAAAATGTCATCTTGCAGACCAGATAATTTTAAGGGTGCAAACAGTCATTCTACGTTGGCTCACTAGGATCGTTGTAAGCGTCCATCTATGGAGCAATGGCTCAACTACACGCATAGTTTTGTGAAGCCGAGTAATCTATAGTTTTCATCTCTGAGAAGTAAGTTGGTTGAATAGCAAGATCGCATCTGGATGATTGTGTCTATTGGTCTGCATGTGTATGATATCAGAGATATTTGGTGTGGGAGAAAATCATTACTGAATATGCTGTCAATGAAGTATATCTATTAGCTGTGCTGCACGGGTTATTTATATGTTGCAAATTTGCTTATGTAATTTCCAGAATGGATAAGAAAAACTGGATGAGCAACTAATTTCTAGCTTTGAATCTCAAGTAAGTGTATTTGAGACCAGAATCCAATGGAATTACCATCAACACATATTATTAGCACACAAATCCTCACTATGGACCTATGCATTGCCGTAAAGCCATCTCTGAAGCATATTTTACATCACATCAGAACCAAACATTGATAACTGAAGCCTCATGACGTTTAGTCAACACGTACAACTACAAAACGAGTTCACAGCGTATCCATCAGCTAGTACATGTTAACATCTTGTGGAAAAACCTACATCACAAAAAAACAATATATTGTCAAAAAAATCGATAATGTCACTTATCAAAATATGCAATACCCGTGCCGGGCCAAGGATTAGCAGACAGACAGGCAGACAGTCCGAAAGAAATGAGTGATGTATCATTTTTAAATTTTTCCACAATTACGATGCTTCTTTGCCGACACTCAACAATCAACAGAAAAATGACTTTTATGCTGATGCTCTAAATTTCCATGTAAATGAGTATAGAATGCATACGTCAAAACAACGGTGGAACCTTGACTGTGACATGCAGTGTATACTAATAATCGCACTCACGTTTGCTCGTTGTACTTTGCGCAGGAATTTTCTACCGAACCGATTCACCGTGAATATGTAAAGATTAGAAAACACGACATAAAAACACAATGCATCTTACCAAGGCTTTCTAATTGTTCACTACTCGAGTTCCGCTTATTATTTACTCTGCTCATTTTCGTATTGCAAATTGTTACACCTCTCCGTGCACATTCTTCTCAAAATCGAATTTAGACTGACGGAAGATAACGCAGATATTTATAAATGTAAACAAATAATAATACAGATAAGGTAGATGACGGTTTATCACACCCGATGTACTGACGGTATTTCAAATTGGAAGCAAATGTGATTCAGCATTCAGCTGTATCGTGAAGGATTGTGACGAAGTGTTGGTATGCTTCGCCTATCAAGGATGCGTCATTTTTTACGGTGTATCCACATTTACTCATAAAGTAGGTATATCATTGATATGCATTCGCAACCTGTAAATAATTGAAGTTTTTATTGTGTGCAATTGTTGATAACAGCGTTATCATTTGGTCAATTCTCGATTGTCGGATTACTTACCTAAAATACAGGGTGGCCAAAAATGGTTATATATATATATAGCTTCCGCCTTTAGTTGGGTACTTCGACAAAATTCAAGCAATGAGGACTCCTTATACTTTATTAGTCTCCAGCTTTCAATGGACTTTGCCATCTTCATCAGGAGATTAGTATGTGAGATTGTTGCTAAATGTTATTAACGGTTAGGTTGAGGGAAACATTTAGTAGCCTGGTGAAAGCTGGATACATGGTACATTCGTTAAAATTAATATAAAATACACACAGCTGTATGTCAGGAATACATCAAAACGTATCAAAGAATATTCAAAACGAAAGTTAAAATTATATCGTGAACCACCACCTGATGCTGCACAAAATGGTGAGGTAAGCCACGGCGGCCGTCGGCGATCAAGTTCTCTTCTAGCGCTACACCAACGGACTTTGCTCCTCAGAGTTCTCTTCCATGATGCCGCCGCGGGATGTGCCTGCCATACAGACCTGGCTGCTTCGGTACAAAAATGATTACAATGGTTGCTTAACGTCAATCGAAAGTGAGCGTTTTTTATGTCTATTTTCTCTTTCTAAATTCTGTCTCGTTGCTTACGTTCTAACTTTTCTGACAATTGTTGCGACAAAGGTTTAAGAATTTGAGAATGCTCGGTCATGTAGGTGGAAATCTGTTCGTTTGTCATTGTCTCGAAAGGGTTCCTGAAATCTAGTTGCTCTTAAGCAATTTGGAAAGCGGTAAAATTGGTTGAGGAGTGGATATTGTTATTGTAGGATAGTATTGCCTAGTTCATGAGATCCCTAATATTTTAATGAGGTTTTTTTTCTCTTAGCTCTGATTGTCTCTATAATAGCGGAATGAAATCTCTCAACTGGACTATTACTATTCGGATTATAAACTGTAGTATAATGAAGAGTCATGTCATACATACTGCAGAGATCTGTTTTTCCATTCGGCTCCATTATCACAAGTGATTTTTTGTGGGATGCCAAAGTATGAGAAGAATTGAATCATTGCACTAGTGGTTTCAATTGCATTTAGTGAAGTAACGGGAAATGCTTGTGAAAATTTTGAAAAACTGTCAGTAACTGTATAGATGCTATATGGGTTGGCTTAAAAATTAACTTATTAGGATTCCTTTCGTATTTCGATTTTTGACGGATGTCGCAAGAATTGACATAATTCTGAACATCTATATATCTAAATTTAGCCAATAAAAATGTTTCTTAATTGCTAATATATTTTCGTTTATATTTCCATGACTCGTTTTTGTTTCATGGTATACCTTATTTTATTTTGTTGCTCATCTGTATCAATTATGTCTTCTGACATTTTCCTACTTATTATCACTGTAAAAGATTTGCTTTGAAAATATTTTTGAATACAATTAATGAATGTTTTTTCTAAATCTAAACTCTTAAATTATATGCAATAATGCTGGTTAGGCCTAATATATTCCTTAACTAACTTAGTAAAAATCTCTTCTAATTCGTCTAACTTATTCGATTCCGATAAATCTTTTCTAATTAGGCATGTATACCTTTTCTTTTTGAAAATTTTTTCGAAATGACATTGAAATAATTTACATGGTGAACTACCTAAAATAGCTTGGTTCTGGTGAATATTCAACATTTTATCTCTGAACTGGATTTCTACTACAGGATTTTCAAAAGTGTGTGTACGCGGTGTCTGAGGGAACTTTTTCTGGTGGATGAATAGGGATATTTTATAAGACTTTAATTTTTTGTTCAGGATTGGGTATAGATGTTGTAGGGTTACTTTTGTCATTCGACGGCTGGTGATTGTCAATGGTTTCTAAAATGTCGTCAAGCTCATTTGGTAGAGTCGGTAAAGTCTCGAGGTTACTTGGGAGAACATCGTTTGAATTTCATCTATGTCAAAAGTTTCTGAAGTGTCAAAATTTCCTAGTGTAGAAAAATTGTCTATTTGTACTTCAAGGGGGTGAATTTCAACTCGGGATAGGGCATCGGAATTAGTATTAATACTGCCTTGTTTGTAAATAATGTTATAATCGTACTGCTCTAGTTTCAAGCGCCATCTGAGGAGCATGGAACTAGGTTCTTTGATGGAAAACAGCCATTGTAGTGGTTTGTGGTCAGTAATTATGTCAAATTTAGTGTCAACAATATATGGATTGAAATACTGTACTGCCCAAACTATAGCTAATAGTTCCTTTTGGGTAGTAGAGTAATTGCATTCCGCTGGATTCAAAGTCCTGCTTACATATGCAATGGGCAGGTCTTTGCCTATTGGACCTTGCGAAAGAATAGCGCCAATAGCAATGTTCGAAGCATCGTTGTTATATTAAACAGCTTCGTGTAATCGGGATACTGCAAAATAGGGTCGTTCATCAAAATGTCTTTACAAGTCTCGAAACATTTGATGAATTCGGGGGTGTGCTGAGTTTGACGTTTTTCTTTAAGCGTAAGGGGCTTCGTTAAATGAGCAAATTTGTTAATACATTTTCTATAGTAGCCAATGAGTCCTACAAAAGATTTAATCACTTTGGCAGTTCTGGGAATATGGAATTTCTTTATTGCATCAATCTTTTTCGGGTTGGGCTTTATGCCTTCGGAAGTCACAAGGTGTCCCAGAAATTCAACAGATCAGCCCAAAAAATCGCATTATTTGTCTAATGGAATTTTGATTCCTGCTTCCTTAAAGTTCTGAAACACTTTTCTTATATTAGATATGTGTTCCTGGATGCTGCTGGAAAAGATAATTATGTTATCCATATAAACGAGACATACTTTTCCTTGTCTGTCAGTACATCGACCATTACTCTTTGGAATGAACTGGGGGTATCTTTTAAGCCAAATCTAACAAACTCGTAATGCCCATTTTCGACATTAAAAGCTGTTTTGGGGATTGAATCGGGATGAAGTTCAATTTGGTGGAAACCGGAGGTAGATCACGGGTTGTGATATAGTTGCAACGTCCAAGTTTGTCGAGAATGTCAGTGATGTTGGGATGGGGATAGCGGTCATCTATGATTTTTTCATTAAGTTTTCTGCGGTCGTCAGCAATTCTCTTGCCAGTAGAATCGATTTTCGTTGGGACAATCCATATGGGGGAGCTCCATGGACTTTGACTTAGTCGAATAATGCCACCATTAAGCAAGAATTTGACCTGTGAGTTTGGGCTGCATTGTATCTTCATCAAAATCCACATCCAACATCCAAATCCACAAATCCCATGAAGTCCTCGTAAATATGTTTTTGATAACAATAGCGCAATACGATTGGCATTTGTGATTTATGGCTAATGTCTGTAGTTTCGTCAAATATAATGCTGTAATACTGACTTTGCCTGAAGCAACTTAAAACTATATCCAAGATTTCTTCGCCACAAAATTCTATAATTTCATTTTTGATGCGGCTGCTTATGTACGTAGCATGCGCTTTTGAGTTCTCTAGGTTTTTTTCTCAATAAATTGTCGCCGCTCTCGACTCTAAACCGTATTAGTTCTCTAAAATTCCCTTCATTATTAAGGACATCCTCGTCATTAGTGCTGTCATTAGAAAAAAGTCGTCCCCTATCTCTATGCCCTCTAAGTGGTATATTTATTTGGCGTCCTAAAAAAATTATAGATTCTATTATAGGAGTCAATCTTTGCCGATTTTCAATTACTTGCTTAATTCGCTCTGAACCTATTATATTTCTTATATCATTCTCTGGATTTTCGTAAATCTTTAAAAACTTTCTAGCATCTGAAACTGCTTCTGTATGATATATTGAAATCTCATGTGTCTCACAATCACCGATTTTGCCATACAATTTCGAAAATTTCTTTACTGGTACTGCTGCAACAAGTTTTCCCAATTTAGTTGATTTATGTACTCCTCCTAATTTTGGAAAAACCACGCAATATCTATAGAATCTATAGAGTCAAGGAAATTTCTCAGTGTTTTTTTGATGAGTAACATTTCACTTCTTTATTATTTTTCAAGTGTGTGGACTAGGGATATTTGAAAGCGTCATTAGGGATCACTGCACCCCTCAATAAGGTATATGTTTCATGTGAAGACAAGTTGCCGCTGAATTTTACATATGGCGCAACATCAACAAAATTGGATCCTTCAGGTTTCGCAACCGATTGTTCAACACTTGGTTCAGCATACGGTGCAACATCAACAAATTTTGAAGAGGAAGGCTCAGGTTGAATTGTAGGATTATCATCAGTTTTTTTCCGGTAATTCTTGTGCCGGTGGATAAGACAGTTTGTTTTGTTTAGAAAGGAACCAATCGATGGTATTCTGTTTCCTTTTACTCATCCTGACAACAGCAGCCGTCAACCAGCACTAAAAGTCACACAAATATTGTCAAATAAACGGCATTATTGGTTTCCACGTATTCACGTATCTCATAACAAAGAACCTTTTCTGTTTGGAAAACAAGATTTCTTAAGTTCACGATATTTTCCAAAACTAAATATATAATTTGCCATCTCGGACGGACGAAATGTACTGAAGTGCTTATATACAGGGACTTCCGAGACAAAATAGACATAGATGATAATGATAGCTGGAGTATGGACCACTTCGTAATTTAAATTATATTAAATTTTCGTTTTTCCGTCTGTCATTTTTTAGACACGATTCTTTTATAGTATAAAAATTAAAAACAAACAAAAATTAATTTTCTGGCTTATGCGTGGAAAATAAAAAATCATTAGAACATAGAAAATAGCGTTAATACCAACCAGATCAACAAAACTCCGCTTGTTCACTTCTCAGCCAAATTTTGTTGCGGACTCCGGACTGGTACATAATTTAGACACTAAACTAGACCACAAAAGTTTAGACTATACCTGTTCTAACAGGAAGAAGCGCACACCGTTGCTGTTGGTGTGAGAGTAGTCGCTAGTCGCATGCGCACTGAGCGGGCTGGCAGTGTTGCCGCTATCCTTTCTTAAAGTTACAGATTTCTTTATAAGCCGTTTACTTTATACCACCTTTTCAAAGACTGCTCGTGTCATCTGGGGGGGGGGGGGTATAATTACCTCCTTTACCCCCCCCCCGTGTGGGTGGTTGGGAACTCGTGTTCTAAATAATCTGCATCGATGCACTATATTATCGAAGGACGCGCTAAGTTACACTGTTGCCATGTTATTCGAGTTTAAAAAGGGAAACTAAAAAACAGGCTATTATAGCTAACCGAACTAAAAAGTAGAAAATAACTTTTGATTACAAAGAGTTTATATTGCAGTCGTGGATGGTCGAACAATCAATGAGAATTAATGACCTCAAACCTCGAATTAAAATTACAATAAAATGTAAGTTATTGACAGAATAATTCAATTCAGAGTAAAAAGCGTACATACAGCCCAAGCTAATATAAGCGAGTTAAAAAACACCGTTTGATCTCGAATACGTTCCAGTCCTCCTGTTCCTGAAGTTCAATAACAGATTTAATTACAGGCCCCTTTGACTAAGAAATCGTATGTCGATGCTTGAGTATTACCTAAATAGTTAAGACATCAATTAAGAGATAGCGCCTGTTACTATATTATGTAAAATGATCAATATGTCATTCATTGCAAATGACACATGTCACTAAGATTGAGAATTGAGGAGTGGGTGATTGTTATCAATTATTGTTTTTTATTTTTTACATAATAAAATGTAAAATGCTTTTTAAATAAATAATTAGCTGTCGGAATTTGTGAATATCGTTATAATATAGTGCAAAATGGTCTGTAAAATGATCTCGATGCTTTATAAGTCAATGTTTATGTCAGGGTTCTGGAACTGGACTAGAAAACAAGAATAGCTCTGGAGATGTGATGTTTAGGCATTAAAGAAATGATGTTTTTGAATATTTGTTTGTTGTTATTGGCGGTTCCATCGTGTATGAGCATAGATGAATGTCCGACAAAATGTTTCTGTAAAAGAGGCACACAAAAAGATGGATATCTCAAAGTTAGTTGTGGAGAGGAAGAAAAGATATCCACTCTAGAAGAAATAGATTTGTTGAATGTAGCAGATGAGTTAGGGCAATTGTAAGTCTATCAGAGTATGTTTCAGAAAATAAAGAATATGTTCAAATTGTGTTTATTCATCAGTATGAATGTTCACCTATATACTTAAGAGACAATTATGTTTAGGAAATCATGTTTGCATTAAAATATACTGTAATCTTTTTATTTTCCAGGAATTTATCAGGAAACTACCTGAAAACATTTTCACTTCTAGCAGAATTACCTATACTTCAGAAGCTGTAAGTAATAATATACAGATTTTTATATTAATATACAGTTTCAATTGTAATAGATTAAGATTTCCACTGATGACTACCCAATTGTAATTTAGAAGTGCTGCTTAACTTAAAAATTATAATTCACTCCTCTATGGTGACTGTAATAGTCAGTAGTAGATTTTGGATTTATGGGGCTTGAAGCATAAATTTGGAAATTGGTCCCTCTATAATTGCTAGGGGTAGCTAAAACAACCCAATTTTTGAAGCCTATATTTCATCTACTCTCCAGCTGCTTTCTGCCCCCTCCCCCCTTTCCTTAATACCAGGGTCTCATGCACAGTGCATCATCTTAGATCAGTCCCTTGTTCCCTGGTTATAATAATAATAATAATATTTATTTTTACAGACATGCACCCAATCACAGGAATAACAATAAAGAATATAGTAACAGCTTGTCATTCTATAATAATAAATAGTTGCACAATACAAAGGGTACTATAAAAGTTTTGCAATACAGCTTCATTTATTGACTTCATTCAAAGTAGTTTCTACCACATTCAATACACTTCTCTATCCGGCAAAATCAGTCCTTTTACCAGCTCTGCTAAGTTTCACCCGGGAGTGCATCACACTCATCCCAAGCCGTCAGAAGGTCCTCATCGCTAGAAAACCATTTTACTTTTTGCACATGCAGAAACAGTGCAAAGTTGCAGGGAGCAAGATCTGGACTGTAAGGAGGGTGTCCAAGTATCCATTCTTGACTTTGGTTGCAGGTTTATCATAGACTCGACACTAGGCAGGTACTGTTCTGTGCATCACTTAGCTGTGACTGTCTTCTGTGTGTTCAAAATGACACGCTCCACAATCCCTCTCGATTCGAAAAATACAGCTATCATTTTTTTCTTAACAGATCAAGATTTTCTGACAGCTTACGGGTGTGTGCTCATCATCAAAGACCCAAACTTTATTTTGACCCTTGGTCGGCACATCGTAATAATAGAGCCAAGTCTCGTCACCTGTCACGATGCTGTTCACATACCTAGATTGCCCTTTATCAAACATTTTCAGCATCTTTTGGCACCAAGTAGTAGACGAGTCTTCTGCTTTTCCGTCAGAGTATGCGGTACTCAGAGAGAACAAAGTTTCCTCACGTGTAAATAATCATGCAAAATTGAATGAATTGCTGGGGTATGAAGATGTAAGGTCTCCTCTATCTGTTGGTATGTCACTCTCCAGTCTTCATCAAGTATTTTCCTCACAGCAGTAATGCTTTTCTCTGTTACTGACGTTCGCGGCATTCCTTCCCTCTCAGCATCCTCCAGAGTGAAATCGCCCCTTTGGAATCCCCTGTACCACCTGAATATACTCGCACGAAGAGGACAATCATTCTTTAATGCGTCATTTCTTCTATGCCCTGGTCTATGCTTAAACCACGCGTAAAGTTATATCGCAAAACTGTCTTCATCTCACTACGTGACCACGATGCCATAGTCCGCATTTTACACTCTCAATGCGATGAACAAATAAATCAACAAACATGGTGCTGGCGGCTACTATGCACTCATGGACATGTCCATTTATTAAGTCATATTGCATATATATATTTATATATATATATAACTTTGTATATATCAACCTAAGAGTAATAATTTAAACAAGAACACAAATTATTATTTAAAATACACATAAAATAAAAAGTTTGAAGATGAGTTACATTCTACTCATTATCATATATTTCATTTTAAAACTGTCTAAGACCACCTGTAAATTATCAAAGCTGTTGTTACATCGTTGACAATACTTATCAAAAGTATCACACATTCTGTTTATTGGAGACAGGTATGCTATTCAGGGTGTAAAGTTAGTAGTGGATCAATGGAAGTCAGGTGATAGAGGGCCTCAAAACCTATCCACTGAACGCTATATGTGTGGTCCAAAATTTTATAGTTCAGGAGATATATGCCTTTTTGTGAATTTTATAAAAAACGAATAATGAACTTTCAATCGCAATTACAACTAAACCATTAGGTTTAAGGCTGTGTTTTTTTTCTGATATGAGCTAAATGGTTAGTTTCATCAATGGTTATGTCAGTTTTTGACAGAGCTATTTAGAAATCACTGCAAAAAATCTCAAATTCATTTTTTTGTGAAAAATCTCTTCCATCCCTCAACTTTGGAGGGCAGTAAAAAAATTGAGGTTGTATTTCAGTCTTCATTTTATTGTAAAAACTATTTCAATCGATGTAGAATAAACCCTTAAAATTTCACATCCTGTATTTGTTCTACCAGTTGGAGTGTAAAAATTCAAGTTGAAGTGTGTCATTTTTGAGGGCCCAACAAAATTAATTTTGACTTGTAAGTCCGGACAGTTTAATCCATTACTGACTATTATACAGATTGTAATATCTCTAGTAATGCGACGCTAAATTACAGTGTCAAAATTCATCCTTCCAAGAATGGGGAAAACATCTTTCAGGATAAAAATTATAAACTTGTATTACACTGGACGAATTTAACTACTGAAATAGCATTCTGATAGCTTAGTCCTTAAAAAAGAAGTATACAGTGCTCTCACACTGTTCATGTCAACAAATATTATATTATACCCTATTTCACGAGTATCCATCACGCTTTGACGTCTACTGAGGTGAACAGCTGATCAGCAAGTGACATTTTTGTGTTCGTATGAAGCGTTGGCAATAATGAATCGGGTGTAAATCCCGTACAACTTGTTTGTAGCGTTTTGTTTTTTGTACGCATATCAACTTTTCTAAATAAGAGCTTTTAGAAATCACAAAATGAATGTGTAGCGTACAAAAAACAAAACAAAATATGGCTCTGTCTACCTCGCATTGACGGATTCGTCAGAATTAAGTGTTCTCTGCCGATATATGGAATTTTGAAATACTACTAGATAACCAGCTGTCATTGTACCGTGATGGATACTCGTGGAGTAAGGTATAGTTTTAGCTTAGATAACAATCAGCTATGAAACTCTCCTGTCAGTATCAAAAACGGCCGCCATTTGGGCGGAGAAAGTCGAACGTAAATTCCCCCAGTACAATGATGAAAGAGGTTTTAGTGCTCAGCAGCATCCGGTGTTGCCTCGTATCATGCCAGCGGCCGCAGATATTATTTGCAATCTTAAAATGATAATATTTCGATATGATATAGTGTCCCAGCTGCTGCTGAGAACTAAAAACTCTTTCATCGTTGTACTGGGGGAATTTACACTCGACTTTCTCTGCCTACATGGCGGCCGTTTTTGACACTGACGGATTGTTATTTGAGCTGTGGTGGTTATAGTTTGATTATGGGATATACAAATACGGTTAGGAAAATTTTAGATAACTAAAACCCTATGCTATAAGGAATGTCATGTTGAGGATGAAATTTTATAGAATCTCTACATTCTGAAGTTCTTTAATATCTACCTCTAATGGTGGGTTCATGTAAGACTTAACGTAACTTAACTTAAGAAAATGAGCATTTAATGAGCATGCGCGGCTAGGATTGCCAACGCAGCAATGGCGACAACATTAACATTAAACACACTAATAAAATCATATGTTTAACGTCAAGGTAGCAGATAAAATAGTGTTTTGTGCTACGTGGACTTGCGGACCAGCCTGGACTTTGACAAGTGGCATCTTCCCACACGCTTGCGCCAATGCACTGGTAATCAGTCACGGAACTCGGATAATAGTCCAGCTCATATTTCTGCATAATCTGATTCGAGGACCCGTGTTAAAGAATCTGCATGACACTAGGCCCAAAATTACTCCAAAAAATTTTTTTAAACAGATTCCAAAATTTATTTGTTCGCTTTTTTAAACTATTTTGCGGTTTTCAGAACGTTCTGAACAAAAAATGAGCTACAGAACTTTTCTCTGGACTTGATATACCTATATAAACAATGGAAAAGTTCAAAATATGCCATTTGCTACCCCAGAAACAGTATGAAAAATGAATATTTTGATGTTGCCAAATCTCACACATGCTCCAACCAACCAATAACAAAATCCCAGAGCATTTTAGGAAGTAGTTATTGTAAATATTTGCATCGCTCAATGTATAGTTTATGTCTATGTGAACGCAAGAGAGAGAGTGAGAGAGATTTTATATCTCTCATGCACGCTGAATATACATTGAGCGTGCGCTTGCTTAACAATTAAATACAAAGGTTTATAATAACAGTATATCGACAACGCATATCAGAAATGTCAGGAATGTGCCGGCGATTTCATTTGTTTACATTACGAAATCTGACTGATGATCTTCCCGATATTGAGGCAGTTCGGTGATCATAGAAGCATAACACATCCTGAATAAAGGAAGTATTTTTTCATCAGTTTGGCTAGTAATGAATTTCAGGATAATAAAAAAATGTATAGTTAAAAAAATATTTATTGGACCGTTCCAGCAATAATAGAACAAATTCTTCATTACAGTACATTGTACATACAAAGAAGTATTCTATCCATCTGGATTTTTCTCTATATTATGAACCTAATATCATGCAAGCACTATGTCTTGTTAATTGATCATGTATATTTATCGTGGAAAAATAAATGCTAAAATAACAAAAAATACATCTGTAGTTAAAGGACTGACTGGAATACAAATATAATCTCTCTAATCTCTAAATCAAAACCATTTTGCACACACTGTTGATGGGTGAAAGCAAAAAAATTGTCCTCAACAAAAAAAAAAAAAAAACAAATTCGCCAACTACTCAAAGAAAAACAACAGATTGATTCACCGCCTGGGTTGGTCCGTAAATCGTCCAGGAACACGAGCCACAGAATTATTATAATTTCGTCAATAGGAGCATAAAACCGTATGGAAAGAGCTATCTAAGGGAGACGACTTCCGAAATCACCTGAATCATGTAAAAAAAATGGGTGTGACGTCACCAACCGTTTGACCACCACTGGAAATCACTAGCTAGTTGTTCTCTGGCGGCGTAACATGTGGAGGACACTGGTGTAGAAACGGCTGATCCTTAAATTAGATTACGTTAAGTCCTGCATGAACCCGATATAAATGGTTTAAATTTACTAAATTCTCTGAAGTGACTAAAGCCTACAAATTCTCAAAATTTTCATGCTCTCTAGATTCTCCAGATTCTATTTAAATACTATTTTTTTTAAATTATTCACTCTTTAGATTGGCCAGATTCGTTAATTTCAGTATAAAAACTTTTTATAGTGATCTCAGCAAGAACCAAATAAGTGATCTGCTTCCATACCAGTTCAAACTAACACCAGCTCTTAGAAGATTAGACATATCATCTAATAATATCAAGCATATAGATCTGCTAGCATTTGAAGGTTTGCAACATCTGGAGAGGTTAAAATTAAACCAAAATCAAATTGCTACCATTGTGTATGGAACATTTGATCCATTGGTTAATTTTAAACAAGTGTAAGTATCCTCACAGTAGATGGGTTTTCAATCTAATCAAATCATTAACATAGTGCAAATTTCAGATTTATAAAATTATAGATGCTCTTATACTGGGTGTCGAGGAATAAATTTCCCATTTTAAAGGCTAATAAAAAATTGTCTTGAAGCTTTAAAATTAATTTACTAAAGTAAAAATACACACAATATAGGCGGATTTCACGTTGTAAAAATTATATTATCGAGGTGCCTGCAATGCCGTCTTCATGTGGTTTAAATCTGTTAAACATAATTCAGGTGTAATTGCTCTAATTTCTTCCCATGTTTTTTGTTTTAATTCTTGCAAAGTCCTAGGTAGATTAACATAAACTTTACTTTTCAGGTATCCCCACAAAAAAAAGTCAAATGGGGTGAGATCTGGAAACCTATCTGGCCAGTTTAGGCCTCCAAAGTGAGAGATCCTCTTTTCCAGGAATAATTCTCGAACGAATTCCATAGATGCTCACTTTGTATGTGCGGTAGCGCCGTTTTATTGAAACCATGTTTCTTGATCAAAGCCATCACATTCTTGTAGCTGAGGTATCAAAAACTCCCGAAGCACAATAACGATCACTAGTTACAGTCTGGGCTATGCCACGTTGCTTACAAAAAAGAACGGACCGATAATTCTTGAAGCCCACATTGCACACCACAGTTACTTTTGGGCTATGTAAAAGCCCTTCGTGTTTTTGTATTGGATTCTCTGGTGCCCCATAGCGACAATTTTGCTTATTAACTGCGCCTGAAAGGTGAAAGTGCGCCGCCTCGTCACTGAACAGAATGTTGTTAATTCGGTCCTTTGCAAAACACGTTTTCTCATTGATTCGGCGAAGGAACGACGGCTTATAAAGTCATTAGGGTTTAATTCTTGCACTATTTGGATCTTGTAGGGATGAAGCTTTAAATCTCTCCTTAAAATTGTATGAAAAGATGATTTACGCAATCGCACCATCTGTGATGTTTTACGAACAGATCCACTTGGATTTTGAATTACAGCGACGCGTACAGCTTCAACATTCTCAGGAGTAGTTACAGTCTTTGGACGACCAGCGCGTTTCACATTTAAAGCTGACGATGTTTCTCTAAACCTCCTCTCCCACGATTTCACTAAATTTTTACTTGGTACGTCCTCCATACGCCTAATATTAAAGTGAGCATAAAACCTTCTTGCAATTTTGTACGAGTCATTGTTCTTGAAATATGCCTCAATAATGAACGCTCGTTGCGCACCAGATCAACGCTCCATTTCTACTAAATATATCCGCATCGATCCACTATCGAAGGACACTACGCCGACCGCGCTAAGTAACACTGTTGCCAAGTTATTCGAGCTTGCAATGGAAAATTTATTTCTGGACACCTTGTATATCCATTAAAGTGTAACTAGTAAAATCTACTAAGAATTTTTAATGCTGTACCTCTATGCAGTTTGATTCTGCTCACCAGAAGTCTGATGGGAAATTTTTTCTATAACAAAAAGTATTTTTAGATTATCCTTACTTATTGCTGCTGGCAGTATTGAGAATTAATGAAACCATAATTTTTGTATTGTATCTTCATCTTGCACAATATTTTACAATTTCTGTGACATTTGGTTTTGTTTCTGACATAGTGACATATCCCAAAACCCACTGATATGTGACTGTGGACTACTATGGCTGCTAGACTGGAGCCAGAAAAAATCTGTAAAACTGCTGTCAAACCCTAAATGCAACTCACCAGCAGCCTTCAGAGGTCAACTTCTTAGGAAGCTCAAAATTGGAGATGACATACTGTGCAAGTCACCTGCAGAGAATGGTGACTTGCCTATTGTTGATCTTAGACCAGACAATGATCAGGTAATTTTAAAATTCACAGTAATATGAACTTATATTAAGGGTGTTTTGATAAAGGATTTCAAGTATTGCTCTGCCACCTGTTGCTTAGAAATACTCTTTAAGTTATCACCAATCTATTAAAAGACGCAAGGTGGTGAACTTCTTCTACAATCTACAATATTTGGGATTTGAGAATCTTACAAACGGACTTTGTGTGGCATAAACAAACCTACATAGAAACGACCAAGAAAAGGATCGAAAAACATCAGCACCATATTGAAGATACCAAAAACAACAAACACATCATATTAGGAAGTTTGTTATTGCTATACAAATATGCCATTTTCGGTTTTATTTACACTGAAGCAGCAGCGCAGGCAAAGCTTAATTGCCAGGGCACCACGGCTGCTATGAGCAGCTTAAAGAAACCTTGTTGATCCGATTTTTGAACTACCTAAGGTTAGTACAACTGGGAAAAACCTCCTCATGTAGATTGTTCTACAATCTCAATATCCTACGGATAAAAGAGCGGTCGCATCGGGCAGTTCTGGATGTACGAAGTTCGACACGTTTTATGGGTGGTCGAAGTCAGGCGTAGCGATAGAAGAGAGCTAGACCGGCGACGGCCTGTCCTTTTGCCTACACTCTGCCTGGATGCTGACACGTGGCGCAAATTTAAATTAGCGGGCACTGAAGTATTTTTAAACGTGAGTTTTTTTAATTTGATTCAATGATGTGTAAAGGAAGGTGCCATCTCTTATAGCTACAATCCTATGTATACTAAATGACATAGAAAATACATCACCGACTATGAGTGTTGTAATTTTGAGAATACATTGACAAGTTTTGGGTCTACTGATAAATAGAAAGTGATTAAAATTTTAACTGAAAATTTCGCAAAATAGCTGCGATATCCCACCTTAATGTTAATAATGTGTTAAAGCTCCTGTGTTCCCTACACATTCGTTAAGTCGTCGCGACATTGATTGGATTAGGTGATTGATGTCTTCTTGGAGTATTTTATCCTTCACGTATCCCGATTATCCCACCCCTCTCAAACTCAGAAAGTTGAGTGAAATTAGCGCGTCTGCGAACTCTAGGCATGATAATGCAATGAAACATCAATTAAACAAATGGAACAAACACAGAAAAATCACCGAATATCGAGTAAACAGGCCCATATTGTTCGGATCCTGATATGACAAAAAAGGCCTTTACAAAAAAGTACGGCTCGGAATGCCTTCAACATTTCATCAGCGTGTGCTTCTATGGTAGTAAATATGTTTACAACAACGAAAACTAGGATATATAAATCAACAATAAGACCGATAATGACGTACACAGCGGAAACAAGAGCAGATACGGCGAAAACACAAAGACTATTGGAAGCAGCAGAAATGGAAGTCTTACGAAAAATAACAAACCAAACTCTAAGTGACAGAGTAAGAAGTGAGGAAATACGAGTGAGATGTGGTATAGAGGAAATAAACCTGTGGACCAAAAGAAGAAAAATAGAATGGAATCAACAGATAGAAAGAATGACCGAAAATAGAACAGTACGAATAGCAAGAGACACATCGCCAAATGGAAGAAGATCAATGGGACGACCGAGGAAAAGATGGAGAGACAACATCAATTGAGGCAAAAACCGAAGTAAAACAGGCATGAGCCTATTAATAATTTAGGAAAAGGAAGAAGAAGTTTTTATCAAAATTCAATAAATAATTCTGGGTGTTGCATTTTATATATGACTTAGTATATAATGACTTCTTTGGTTTAATAGAAATATTATTGAAGTACTCGTACTTTTTTCACTCTATGATTTCTCTGTTTTTAGGTAGTTTTTGAGGGTGACACTCTAACGCTTCAATGCCATGCACCTACCATCTTGGACACATATGAAGAGGACTCAGTCACTGCTTCTGCGTCCAAACTTGAATGGAGTTGGTCTGGTGGCAATCCAACTGGACATTTTCCAGAGCTTTCTATTGAGGGCAGAGCCCTTCCGAGTGCTGGAAGGGTCTGGAGTACTCTTACCATTCCCAAACTAAACAGGCAACATGCTGGAATATGGAGCTGTTTTTTACTTTCTGTACATGGGAATTTTTCTAAAGGTACGTGTATATAGTTCTTTTCACGGATTTTAACGGTTACATATCAGTCATATGAAATAACTAAACCTATCCAAACTTCACAAACCAATACTCATAATATTTATGGTATCAATGGACAAACTGATTAAATATGAACGTAGCTGGTCCTCAAGGATCAGTACTGTGTTCAATCCTACTTTTAGTGGATATCAATTTTTTAATTAATTTAAACATGAACGGTAAATTTATAGTTTTTTTCTGACGATATCACAATATTTTGGTAAGAAACAGATACAAATGAAATTAAGACAATGATTGACAGTGATAAACAAGCAACCAAAAAATGGTTCAATAACAGTTACCTATCTTTTAATGTAAGTAATACAAAATGTACGACTTGATACATAAAACAAACAGCATTAAGTTTTTAGGACTGATCATTGATCACAAGCCAGATATTACCAATCATGTAGAGCAACTGATTGCTCAACTGACAGATATTACCTATATTATAAAAACAATTAGTTACAATGTAGGAAAAGGCATAGCACTGAACAATTATTTTGCCTTATTGGAAGTAGATCAATATACAGGATTCCCTTGTGGCATGTATGTTCTCAAAATTGCTTGAAAATGTGCTTATACTAGAGAAAAGTATTATTATTTCATTATTATATATGTACAAAGGGTACTATAAAAGTTTTGCAATACAGCTTTATTTATTGCCTTTGTTTAAAGTAATTTCCACCACATTCACTTATTCTCCATCCGCCAAAACCAGTCCTTAAACCAGGCTCTTCCCAGTTTCACCAGGGAGTGCGGCACACTCGTTGCCCCAAGCCCCCAGAAGGTCCTAATTGCTAGAAAACCGTTTTCCTTTTAGCTTTATTTTCACATGCCGAAACAGTGCAAATTCGCAGGGAGCAAGATCTAGACTGTAAGGGGGTTGATCAGTAAGTGTCAGTCCAGTAGTGGTCAAATACTCGGTGCAGGCTTTGGGGCGGTGAGCTGGAGCGTTGTCATGGTGGTACCAGTGTCCATTCTTGTCTTTGACCACAGGTTTTTCATAGACTCTTATGACTTTAGCAGGCACTGTTCCTAGTACCACTTGGATGTGACTGAATTGTGTGTGTCCAAAGCGCCACGCTCCACAATCCCGCTAGATTTGAAAAATACAGCTATCATTTCTTTCTTAACAGATCGAGATTTTCTGACAGCTACCGTTGTGTCATCATTATCAAAGACCCAAACTTTGTTTTGAGCCTTCGTCGGCACATCGTAATAATAGAGCCAAGTCTCGTCACATGTCACGAAGCTGTTCACATACCGAGATTGCCCATTTTCAGCATCAGCAAAGAGAACAAAGTTTTCTTACGTGTAAATGGTCATGCAGAATTGAATGAATTGCTAGTGCATGAAGGTGTAAGGTCTCCCCTATCTGTTGGTATGTTACTCTCCTGCCTTCGTCAAACATTGTCCTGACAACAGTAATGTTTTCCTCTGTTACGCACGTTCGCGGATTTCCTTCCCTCTCAGCGTCCTCCACAGTCAAATTGCCCCTTTAGAATTATCTGTACCACCTGAATATAGTCGTGCGATGAGGACAATCATTCTTTAATGCAAGCGTCATTTCTTCTAAGCAGTGGTCTATGCTTAAACCACGCGTTATACAGTAAAACTGCCCTTATCTCACTACGTGACCATGATGCCATAATCCGCACTTTACACATATTACAAAACTTTCATAGTACCCTTTGTATAACCAATTATTCCAGGTGGATCAATGGTATAACTAAAAGCAATCCTACAGCTACGGGCAAGCCTTTATTTATAAATCGTAAAATTATGACTGTAGTATCATTGTTAATTTTATAAATAGTAGCTCTTATTTTTTTTTTTAAATCTGAATTTGAAACACTAAAGGTACAATATTAGGAAAAGAACATTTTAAATTAACGCTACCTAAACCAACACTTACAAAAGATTTAATAATTCATAGTGATCTGAAAATTTACATTTGCCGTCCTGATGCTATCAAAAGAATCAACAATTCAAAAAAATTACGCTGTGCATTTGAAACATTTTCATAAACCATGTCTATTGTAGCTTTTGTAAGTTCTGTAATATATTCACTTAAGATCCATATTGTAATGTAATTTTGTTATATTTTAGTTTTAAGTTAGCTTACATATCAGTGTCTGACAAAATAAATAGATAATGCGCGGAGCATAACAAAAATAAATACTTATTATATTTTTATCAATTCACGTTATTCGTTACTATAATATACGTCTTCCAGTTTTTGTCGCAATAATTTTAATTTATTATATATCAGAAATCGCTCTGGTGGTGATCAGCGACGAAAGTCGTTACTGCCCAATGACAATGACTGTCACTAATAAAGGGTCGTACAGCTGGCCTCGGACCCTAGTCAACAACTCTGCAAAGATGCCCTGTCAATCCCTCAACTTGAATTACGACGCTGAACGCCAGAGAGCGTATCACACTTGTGATGCTGGTGGAAGGTGGGCAAACCTGAACACTAGTGCATGCTCATATATCTCTGAGCATACCAAAATATTGGAACAGTTCTCGAAGGTATTTAAAATCAATTGTTACGAACATATATTCCTAATAATTAATTAATAATATTAATGCGAACATTTCTATGTGAAGTAGTTCATAAATGGTAGAAATGATTTTGATTTAGTTTTTGTCAATGACAAAAGCATCAGTTTTCATTCAAAGTCAGATATCTTCGCGGCAGATGATCGTATCAAGATGTTGAACATGAATAAACTATCCATAATAATGTCTTAACAGTAAAAAGTTCGTGCACTAAAAAGAAGGTAAACATTTTGCAAAAAAAATTCCTTGCTCTATCTGTTAGAATTGCATTAGAATCATTGCTCCTAAAATTTTTCGACTAAAAAACCTAAAAAGTAGAAACTTGTATCTTTAAAATTCTTTTTTAAAGTCTAGATACGACCATTTTTGTTGGTCCCTTAATTTTTCAGAGTAGTGTAACATAATCAGGGGAATTTGGTTTTATCAGGAGTTTTACTAATTTTTAGACAGATTTTCGGACACACTTTCTGAATCACCCAATACAATCAAACAGGTGAACAGCAGTATAGAAGAAAGCGCAAAGCACTTTCGCAACTACACGTTGAACAAGAACGTGTTCGAGGATCCGGTGGATTTGGCCTTCGCCGTGGACACCATCTTGGGGTACCTGGGGCATTCACCACCCTCCGATTCCGGCACCGTTGCCGCTATTCTCATGGATGTGGCTGACGGACTCTTGGATCTGCCCGAGGCGTATTTGCGTCATGCCCAGCAGTTGTATAATACTTCGCTAAGGTTGCTTGAAGCTATGGAAACAATGGCTGTCATCACTACCGCCTCGTCGCCTTTCCATCAGGTTAGGTTTAGTTTGTTTGATTGTTGAAGATTTATTTAGCATTAATGCTACAATGTCAATTTAGTATAATTATTCCTCTACACATTTTGTGTATACAGTTTTTGGAATTTTACATTCTTAGTGAGTAAAATCACATCATTATGCATTTTGAGTATTAATAAAGTGATTTTTTAATTTCTCGTTAAACATTTTTGAATTCGAACACTGTTTAATATCATTATAATTTTATTAAAATGTATACTGCCTCTAATTTCGTAGTTATGATAATGGCTATTTAATTTTGTGAAGTTTTTTAAAAGTGGTGGAATTAATAAATGAAGGTACTGTCACTTTGAGGGTGACAACTCCGCGCTGCGAATATCGGATATCTTTAAAAAGTCCTGTTTACTTTGCGACATACCTTGTAGTATATAAATACGTATCAAGAGCTACTATAATCAGTTACCAAACATGACAAATAGCTCCAAAGAAATAATAATGTATGGACATGGTCATTGCCGCAATCTGAAGATTTTTTCCATGAAAAGTCCAATTAGTGCATTATTAGTTCTGACAAAACCTACGTCTATTTGATGCCACTGTGTAGAGATGAAATTGCACTGTATGGCGAATTGTAGTAGAAGCCGCTTCGAAGGCGTGGGAAAGTATCGGTCCGCTTGGCACCATGATTTTTTCTCAAAGTCTTAAAAGTACGTTTTAGGTTCTTTTATCATATATTTTCAGACAAACCTGGCATTAGAATCATTCACGGTCAAGAAAGAAGCATTCGAGGAGCTCCGTTGCACCTGGTATCTGAACACCTCCAACCCAAAAAGCTCGATGTTCTCCTGTTCTTCCGTAGGAAACAGCCAGTCAGATATCATCTCTCTACCCGGTAAAACTGCCGAAGCTTCAATTACTGTTCCAGGGGATTTGTTCGAGCAACTGAGGGACCAAAGTGAGATGACCCTGGTTGATAGGAGGGATTTTAGACTCTTGGTGGCCATGCATAGAACTGCAAAGCTGTTCAAAGGAAAAGACGCGGATAAAAAAGATGTTACATCGGCAGTGGTTGGGGTAAATTTGGGTAAGTTTATTATCTAGATTCTTGTCTGAGTTCTATAAATTCTCTGAATAGTCTAAGTTCTCTGAATTCTCTAAATGCTCTGAAATCTTTAAATTTATGTAAATTCTATAAAAACTGTAGATGCTCTATTTTTTAAAAAATTCCCTTGATTCTCCAAGTTCCCTGAATATCCAAATTCTCTAAATTAATGATTTCACTCACATTCTATAAATTATCTTAATTTCGTTTAATTTTTCATATGTTATGTGTCTCAGCATCCTGAATTTCGCCGAATTTTTCATATGTTATGTGTCTCTTCGTCCTGAACAAATGCCTTAATGGGCCCAGGTCCAAAAGTCAACGGGTCCCAAGATATAGGCCACTAAATTCAGCAAAATTGACTGAAACCACTCTTTAACTTGAAGCAGATATTCGAGTAGAACCGTAACCCCATTTACTGACATGGATGGCCTATATCTTGGGATCCGTTGGGTTTTGGAGCCAGTGCCCATCAAGGAATTTGTTCAGGACGCTGAGACACACAAAATATAAAAAATTCAGCTAAATTAACCGAAACCACTCTTCCAATTAAAGCAGATATATTCGAGAAGGGCCGATACCCCATTATACCGACTTGGACAGTTGAGGTTGGGATCCGTTGAAGTTGGGGTCCTATGCCCATTGAAAATTGTTCGGGATACCGAGACGCATAACTCATAAAAAAATCAGCGATATTAACCAAAACCACGTTTCCCATAGGCGTGTTGCCATGTCCTTTAATAAAGTTTCCAAATTCTGTGAATTCTTCAAGTGCCGAGAAGTCCTTAATGTTCCGAGTTCCGTGATTTCTATCTCATGAACTTCGGTTGGTATTTATTTGTATGACTTATATGTCACGCTTTTGCTGACAACTGTGATAAAATTTGAATGAAGATTTTGCGTGTACTGAAAAAAAAATCTTCCTACAGGGGACATCAAAGTGACGAACCTAACAACCCCTGTGTACGCGATGGTCCGTCGACCTCCTAGTACGGACCTGATGGAAGTACGCCCTTTTGCACCTGTTCGTTGGGACCCTTCTGCCAATGACGGAACTGGTGAATGGACCTCAGAGGGTTGCAGTTTCTCACACCAACTTCAGGACCATCTTGTATTTTCCTGTGATCAGTTCGGGTTCTATGGACTCCTACAGGTAAGTTTCTCAACTTGAAGCATTCATCTGAAGTGTTTTTAGGACGCTATGATATTAAAAATTCATTTTGCTTCATAACTGTATCTGAAAGTTGTATTTTTTTGCAGGACGTTTCTCGTCTTCGTAAGCAGTTGGAAAGTGAGAAGTTGACAGCAAAATTTAAATTTTCTCATCCCGCCATCTACGTTGGAGCTTTTATACTTTTTATTTCGTTTTTAGTCGCCATCATGACATATTTGCTGTGTTATTTTGATATTCAGGTGAGTTAAAAATATCCTTTGTCATTTTTTTTTCGTTTTACCGTGTAACACATTTATGCAATAAGGGCGCCGCTATATAAATATACGTCATGAAGCTCAAATTCTATTCTGGTAATATAAATATACGTCGTCATGAAGCTCAAATTCTATTCTGGTAATATTTTTTTTGTTTTATCTAGATGCCAAAGAAAGCAAAACACTCCCTGGTAAACACTTGGATGTCGATCGTGCTCCTCTGTTACGTTTACATATTTGGTATCCATCAAACTGAAGACGTACGCCTATGCCAAGGAGTGGGCATGACTTTACACTATCTTACCTTATGTTCTTTACTCTGGATGTGCGTTGCTCTGAACTGCATGTATAAGAGGCTCAGCAAGCACAGGCACCTACACGATCAGGCGATTTGCAATCTGCAGGATGATGATCTTCCATCGAGTTCTGACAGGCCGGTACAGAAGCCTATTTTGGGATTGTATCTAGTTGGTGAGTTTTCTCATTGACTTTATCTGTTTAATTAAATTTGTTCAATGTGTATATGCAATTTTCTCAATTTGCTCAATAGGCTAGCTAGTTGATACTTTTTGTAAGTATGCCTTAAATAGTTAATATTTGTTCTATTAGACCAAAAAAATTAATGCTATATTTTTCAGATCTAAAAGACCGTAAAACCTAAATTTAAAAATATATTCATCTACCATTTGTTAACAGCAGCTGACAGCAATCTACTAGTTTACATGAACAATATAGTAATTATCGTTATTGTATCGTCCGAAAATGTGAAACACATCGATATCAACCCCAAAAAAGCTGTGGATTAGAGTGCCCAGGGAAATAAATATATAAGATTTTCTTGCAGATGTGGCGGAAATACAATATTAGATAAAATTATTTAGAGGTTATGATGCATGAGCTTAGTTTTGAATGGCTTCTGAAAAAGAATATTATTTAAGAAAAAGAGAGAAAGATTCTATAGGAAATACTCATTTATTCCATGAAATTATTGAATTCTCTGAGCTATCGAAGTTCTGCAAGTTATCGAAATTCCCTAATTTAAGTCTGTAAACTCTCTAAATTCTCTAATTTCTGTGAATTCTCCAAATTTGTTAAAGTCTCTGTTCTCTTAGTTTCCAAATTCCGTCAATTCTCTACACTTTTTAAATTATATGAATTCTCTGAATTACCTAGACTTTACAATAAGTGTGCCACCTGTTGCATTGTGGAAGTAGAAATATGAATCTTTCAATAACAATTATGTCGAAAATGGCAACGAGCTTTGACAAATTGACAGCAAAATTTGAACTCTCATTCCCCGTCATCTATGTAGGAGCGTTTATACTTTTTACTTCGTTTTTAGTCGCCATCATGACATGTTTGATGTGTTATTTTGATATTTAGGTTGGGGCATCGGCCTGATAGTATGTGGCCTATCGGCCGCGATCAATGTTAACGAATACGCCACCTTGGGTGAAGAAGATGATGGTGGCCAATGTTTCCTACGACCAGGACCTGCTTTAAGCGCACTCTATGCCCCAGTAGCCATCTTGTTACTCTTCCTGATGGTTATGTTCTTGTTGGTGAGGTGTGCAGCTAAAGACCTTGATGGGAACGGACATCTCAGTGAAGGCACACAGGTAATATACGAGTAGTAATAGTAATATTTATTTACACTAAAATACAGGAAACATGAACGAGTAATACATATAATTTATCCATAGAAGTACAATGCCTGTGCATGGATCATATGTATGTTGAATTGCATTAAATAAAAAAAGAATAGAGAGAAAAAAGCATAATGACTTGTCAGAATGATAGTATTTACTGTGTAATATTTGAGATTATTCTATTAATGTTATTTCTCCCAAGCGTGATAATACATGTTTTAATTTTTTTTTGAAACTTAATGTATTCCGTAACTGTTTCAAATTATTTGGTAAATATTCATGGAGCTAAATACAGGTGAGATCGTTTTATTAAAGATTTGTTTGGTTTAGGAACATTTTTTGCGCGTAATTTATATCTGGTGTTATGACTATGTTTAATTGTGTCGCGTTCACTAATAATTTTGTCATAATGGGTGATGGTATGTAAGAAGTAAAATTGTTTAGTGTCATATACTTGTACATCATTATACAAGTCATCAATTGGGTATAATTTGGTTTGCCAAACATTGATTTTAAAATTGTTCTTGAATCACAATCTAAATCGTTGAAGCAAGTCGTTCATCCAGCACCCCATGCTACTATACCATATGTTATGTGCGGCTCGATTAAAGCTTGATATATGATTCGTAGATAATATTCAGTTGACATACCAATTAAACATTTTATTTTATATGCTATGCATCTAATCTTCTGTAGTATATAAGAAATATGTACGACCCATCTCAAATGGGGATCTAGATAAATTCCTAAATATTTTGTATCATTAATTAACTCTATTGATTTTTAGATTTTTATCATTTACCTTAAATAGAAGGTGGTTATAACTTGGTAGATGATTAGATAGTGCTGAAATGGTAAAACATGAGTTTTAGCAATGTTAATGTTAATTTTCGGCTATTAAAAGCTGAATAATTTTACAAAAGTCATTTTGGATGACATCTTTCAAGTCGTTCCAATCCTCACATTTATAAAAACTGACTATTTTACCAGTACTACTAATTTTGAATATTTCGTTTAAATAAATTTTGATTAACAGAGGACCCAAAATTGAACCTTGTGGTATTAACAAACATTTCTTTACTATATGTATTTAATCATTTTACTGATTGCGGTGTATTTGATAAATAATTTTACATTAAAGCATACATCCTTCCTCGAAAACCTATTCGTTCTAAAATTTTCAAAAGTATATTGTGTCAAACGCTTTTTGTAAAGCGACAAATACGCATATCGATGGTACCTTTTCATTCATATTTTGGGTAATTTTATCTACTATACTTAATACCCTATCTGTTGTAGATTTTCCTGCTATAAAACCATATTGATTAGAATTTAAAATTTCGAATTTTTCAAGAAAGTTAATCACTTTATTAAGGAGTAATTTCTCAAAAACTTTAGCTAACTAGATATAAGTGAAATAGGCCGATAGGTAGTCCGTATCATTATCTTTATAGATAGGTATGACAAAAATGAAGTAAACAAAGGGATTCTTTAAATAAATAAAAAACAGAGTCGTTAGGAGATTTGCGAAAACATTCTGCTTTTTTTAGTAGGGGTGGGGGTAGTTTTCACCCTTCTCGAATCGTTTCGAGTTTTTTTGTAAAAATCAAATATTAGAACATCTCGTAAAACACATGTGGTCTAAACTTCATTCAAATCGGACTACCGTTTCCAAAAGTGTCTGAAAAAATGTGTTTTGAAACGAAAACTTTGACGCTCTGTAACGGACAAACGAAGCACTTTTGCATAGAGGTAAGTCATGTCCAAACGACCCATTTTGACTCTAAAAATAAGTGGCACTTCTATGTCCACGGAATATTGGGACACCCTGTATACATCACACACTGCTTGCAATTATCTTTAATATCTTGTGAACATAGCCTGATAGTACCAGTAATTGACTTGTGTCTACATAATATAGTTATTTCCTATTTATGAGCAGAATTCTTGCCATTTGCGAAAGGTGCTTAGTTATTCCTTTAATATTAAAAAATACGCGGCACCGAATGTTCTCAGAGGTTTATGGTGAGGCTGCTATAAGTAAAAGAACATGTCGTGAGTGACTTCAGCGCCTCAAGAGCGGCGATTTTTACGTAGAAAACCGGCATAATAGTGGAAGGTCAAAAGTTATTGAAGATGTCAAAGTCAATAGCAGTTGGCGAGATCATTGGGCGTGAGCCAAAAGGCAGTTTCAAAACGCCTAAACAATCTTTAAATGATCCAAAAGCAAGAAGGAGATGTTGAACGGCGTTTGTGCTTTTCTGAACAGCTGCTTGAAAAGCAATTGGAAAGGATTTTTGCATCGCATTGAGTCTCGTGACGAAAAGTGTTTCTTTTACGATAACCTCAAGCGCCGAAAATCATAGGGATATCGCAGCCACGCAGACTGCTAAACCGGATATTCACGGCTCTGTATGTGGTGGGACTAGTTCGGTGTAATATACAGCGTATCCAAGAAGAAGTCAAAAACTGGGGATAGGCCAAGTCATACTAATTATCAGAAAAAATATTGAAAAAAACTAAATCGTGTACTTTTTAAATTATATGCTTAAAAATAATAGATGGATAGGGCGGGCTGGTACAATTTCGTGGCCAGTCCGTTCACCTGACTTGAATCCACTCGAGTTTTTTACTAGTAGTAGTAGAAAGATTTATTTAGCACATTTGGTTACATAAACAGAATAATTGTAAACAACTTAGAACTAGTAAATTCAAGCCATATGGTGTATGATGTAAATGCTGGGCAACCTATAATTGTAGATTTAACAAGTGATTTCTCAATTTTACTTTAAATTTTGTCAAAGTTTTCTGGTCTTTTATCTCCGAGTATAATTTATTATATTCAATCAACCCTTCATGGAATACAGATTTGTAGCATATGTTAAAATTTTTTACATTGCGCCATTTTAATTTGCTAAGCATTTGCCTAATTGGAGTATATTTATCTTTATTTAGTATTATTCTCATGCACTTATTTTGTAAAATTTGCAGTCTTTCAAAAATGGAATTATTTGCTAAATATAGAATAGTCGAACAGTACAAGAAATTTGGAAGAATGATGGTATAGATCATTTTTCTGCTATATGAACTCAGACATCCAGAAACTCTCGATAAATATCCCACTTTACTACTAATCTTATTTATAACTTTTTCATAATGAATATCAAAAATTAATCGAGAGTCAACAAAAACCCCCAGGTATTTAAAATTTTCTACGAATTCAATATCTTCACCATCAATATTCAGTTGAACATTTGTACATTGTTTTTTTCCGATTAACAAGGCTCTCGTTTTACTTGCATTTAATTTCAAACTGTTAGATGCTAACCATTTTGAGACAAGCTTCAAGTCTTCATTTATATGAGAGATACCAGACTGAATATTTTTAGTACTTATATAAATCATAGTGTCATCGGCGAAAATCTGAATTTTGCATTTTTTGACTATGGCAGGTAAATCATTGATGTATAAAATAAAAAGAAGTGGTCCCAGGATACTGCCCTGTGGAACACCCAACGTATTTTCAATTTTTGATGAAATAGTGTCATTAACTTTTGTAACTTGCATCCTTTTAGAAAAATAATTTCTAAACCAATCTAAAACACATCCTGTTATACCATATGCCTTCAATTTACCTAACAAAATATCTCTATCAATCGTTTCAAATGCCCTCTTCAAATCCAAAAATACTGCTATGGCAACTTCTTCTGAGTCTATGGCTCTTCTCCAATTCTCAGTTACCAACTGGAAAGCTGTTTCTGTGGAATATTTTTTTCGAAAGCCTGCTTGCGCCTCCACTAAAATTTTGTTTTCTTCTATAAACTGCATTAATTGGTCATGCACTATGGACTCTAATAATTTTTCAATGTCTGGTAACACATTTACTGGTCTCATATCGCTGCATCTTTTAGAATTTTTAATTTTGGGAACTGGTGTTTTTGTAGACCATTTCAAATTTTCAGGAAAAGAACTGCTTCTCAGTGAACAATTGATCCAATTTAATACAGGATATCCCAAAATTTCGAAACAGTTTTTCAGCACGTTTTTAGTAGTGATTTCGGCACAGTTGTTATTTGATTTTAAACTGTTTACTTTTTTTCTTAGATAATTCAATGATACGCTGTGAAATTTTGAAACTGTATGCAACATTTTCCCCTGGAAACTGATTTTCATATAGTCAGGTGCAGCATTGGCAGTACCCACAATATCAACAATACTTTCCACAAAATATTCATTTAGTTTGTTTGCAATCACCAAAGAATTTGTTTCCGTACCGTTTTCGAATTGAACTTGATTTACACAATCATGCGGCTTCGAATTGATCAGTCTTTTTAAAGTCTTCCACATCTTTACACTGTCGCACTTGTTATTATCGATTTGTTTATCGTAGAATTTCCTTTTTTCTTCTCTAATTACATATACACATTTATTCCTAAGAGTTTTATATACCTCCCAGTCATCATTTGATTTTGTGAATATACATTTATTGTATTGTTTGTCTCTCAAATTTTGAGCTGCCTTAATATTCTTGTTATACCAGGGTGTATTTTTTGTAGAGCAAATTACTTTTTTATCAGTTGCAAGATCTAAACAAGTTGGGTGAAAGAAAAAGTTTACTCAAAGCCAATCGAATATTTATCTGAGCTACGGAACAGAATAACGGAAGCAGCTGAATTTGTTAATAACGGATGATTCGAAGGTCTGCTTGCATTGCTGCAGTTTTTACATTTATTGTGAATTTAATATATTTAGTAATTAATAAAAGAGGCGTTACTATCTGTCTCTCCGCCTAAGAAAAATTGCAATTTGTAGTAATGGGAACTAAAAAATCATCACAGGGTATTGATTTTTCCGATTTATTTAAAGCCTATAATTGGAAAAGTACACGAATTACACTTTTTTTATATTTGTCTGATAACTAATATGACTTGGAATATCCCCCGTCGACTTCTGGGACACTATGTATGGGTTTCTGTATCCCAGTTGTTTCATGTTATGTATTAGTTATCCACATCTTCGATTGTTTTTTACGTTTTGTATCCTGTTCACAGTCTCACACAAATAAAGCATTATTCTATTCTAATACGTTTTTCTAGGCCACCGAGCACGTAGACCTGGAGCTCCTCGAACCCAACTTCCCTAGCAGTACCGCAGGCGGTACAACCGGCGGCGGCAACAACGCAACCGGAAACGTAGAAGCGCGCAGCGTCTCCTCGAAGACCGCGAGTAGCAGTGAGATGGAAGACCCCGAACACGCGCCCACCGCGCAGCTGAACGCGCACGCCATCTTCCTGACGTTCTACGTACTGACGTGGTTGTGCGCCGCGTTCGCTACCGCTTCGCCCTTCCGCATGGTGGCGTTCGAGGAACAACTGTTTAGTATCGCGTTTGCGGTGCTTGCGACGATGCTGAGCGCATTTACGTTGTTTTTCTATTGTGTGGCCAGGAGCGATGTACGAACAAGGTAAAAACTTTTTATACAGGGTATTCAAAATGTTAACGAGTAATCCACCACGTTTGTCTGGCCAATGAAACAACATATGGGTATTTCTCAACAAATTTAGAAATTTCATTTTGCATTTCTTAAAAAAAAATAATGAAAATATAACCTTTTTTTTTGCAGAAATATAAAGTTTTACTTTAGTGATGTTCATTGATAATGAAGGTTCTCCATATTTTTGTGTATAACATGTAGAAAAATGACTTTTATAAAACTATGAAATGAGGGAATGACTTATAGGATGGGGGAATGATTTTTACAACAATTTGATGCTGAATTTCAATAAAAAACATAAGTTAATTTATTAATAGATGTATTGAGATTTGTTTTATACTTTAGAGAGCTTAGATAGTCCATCTTCCCTGGGCACATCCTCGTATTTTCATCCTTCTCTAAGAAATGAACAACATTACCCTTAACTTTCAGCAATTTGAGCTAACTTTACGAGTACAGTTCTTTTTGTACGTATCGTTTTTGAAAAAATGTTTCGGTCTATACAACAATTTGTATCTTTTGTACTAATTGCAGCTTTTGTAATACTTTTTCTTTTCTCCTTGTTTACTTCCAAGATCTTCATAGATATTCGTGAGGTCCGTTGACAGTGCTTCTCCGAAAATGAGTCTTTTTCTTACAACGTCAGGTACTTGTATATTCTTTAAAAGCGAAGACATTTTAGTTGCTGGAGAGTTTGAGTCACCATTTTTAGTTTTCAATCTCAAACACTCTTCTTATATTTTTCGCTAAGCTTGACTGCGTTCCTTACTTTATTTTCCAAACTTTTAATCTTCGCCTACAGAATAGTTCGCCGCTTGCGCATTCTACATCTATTGAGAGCAGACAAATTATCTGCGCTGTGCTGTAAAGATGGTGCAGGACGTGTTGGGGGTGTCTTTAACTATTCTCTGTAAATTTGTTTGTAATGTAACTCGCTTTACTCTAGGAACTTTAGTATTCTTTTTCCATTTTCGTTTTTGGCTAGTTTCTCTTGCACTCATAGAACTTATTGACTTAACTTGACTTCTTCTTTAAATACTTTAATCATTCTTTTTCACGCAAAGCTTCTTAAGACTCAGCTTTAATTTTCTGTCGAACTTTCTAATCTAGTGAGGGAATGGCCGTGAGGGAATGACGGATTTGCATAAACGACACCGTAACCTCACATCACCTCAAACTGATTTAGCATTTTGTGAATGCATTTCACTCCCCAAAACAAGAAAAAAATCAGTAAAACATTCAAACAGTATAATGACTTACCTTTTAATATAGACAGTGAGGTAATGACACGGAGAAATGTGATGTTCTAATTATTGAAATCCAATACTTTTTTGCAGCAACTCTTTTCATTATTAAGAAATTCCGCCATGTTGACATTATTAGCAGTATTGCCAAGTTTTAAAAACATAACAGCTGCGTTAAAAATATCAAATGGGGTGACCACAAATCAAATATTTATAATTTCATTTCAAGGGACATAGTTTAAATAGATTTTTTTATATGCATATTTATTTTTTAGCAATGAAAGCTTGACTATACAATCCATACTTATTACCAAATATTTTAGTAATATTCTATTTATAAGAATGAACAGATTTGATTGTATACATTTTTTTATTATTAATTTTAACTAACTAATAAATTAATCGTATTTTTTTGTGTCAATCTATTATCTAAATTTTTTTTTGAAATATTAGTGTAGATACTTATTGATATAATAAAAATGTTAAATTGATGATAAATCCATGCAACTTAGCATCAATGGCTCAGGACATGAATTTCGAAATTTGCTGAGCAATACCCATAAACTTCTGTAACCACCAACAGAAAAACAAAAACCAATAAAAAAATAGTTATCAAACCTAAAACCAAACAGAATTGAATAGAAACATCTTAATGAACACATAAATCTGTCCAAATTACAGTGAAAATTGAAACCATATCAAATATTAGAGATTGAGGGGTGAGTATAAAGTTGCATGAAAAACACAGAAAAATTGGTGCCAGCCCAGTATGAAGTCCATGAAGAAAAAATGTTACAACCAAAGATCAAAATTGTGGACACAGAACAAGCGAAAAATCTACAGAAAAAGACCTGGACAAAGATCATTAAAGAAAACATATTTTATAGAAAATGATATCAAAATTGCATCTATGAGGGTGGCCTGAAAAACATCCGGCCTAACAAAGATATAGTACAAGACCTTTTTTCAGATTTTTTTTATTTCTCAACATAGTCTTCTTGTAAGTCTACACACTTTTCCCAGCGATGCTCCCATCTCTGTAACCCGTCCAAATAGTACTCGGCGTTTTTCTCTGCAACATAATTGTTAACGAAGGTGATGGCCTCTTCATTTGACGAACATCTCTGTCCTCCGAGCACAGTTCTTAGATGAGGGAACACATAGAAGTCACTTGGGGCTAGATCTGGTAAGTAAGGCGGATGGTTAAGCAGTTCAAACCGTAATTCTTGGATTTTCGCCATGGCAGTTCACTGTTTGGACTGTATTTTTGTTTCGGAAGTATAATGGTGTATCCAAGTTTCATCTACAGTAATTAATCGGCGCCAAAACTCGGATTTATTGCGCCTAAACTGCGCCAGCAGAGCGTTGGAAATGTTCATTCGAAGACGTTTTTGGTATAACATGAGCAAACGCGGCAGTCAACGCCCGGACAGCTTTCTCATACCTAAAGGTTGATTTAATATATGACAGACACAGTCTTTTGACATGTTCATAACCTCGGCTATCTCTCTCACTTTAATTCGGCGGTCGACTAGCACCATTTGTTGAACTTTGGCGATGTTTTCGTCGTTAGTTGCAGTTTTTGGACGTCCCGAACGTTCATCGTCTCCCAAGCTCTTACGGCCACGTTTAAATTCAGCTGCCCAAAATTTCACTGTGGTAAATGATGGTGCAGAGTCCTCATACCCAGAATCTTCATTTTTGATTTGCGTAGGCGTATTGCTTTTCAAAAGTAAATATTTAATGACAGCTCGATACTCGATTTGGTCGTTGATGTGTTTACGATTTTTGTAAAGAACAATATCATTTATGAGATGATAGATGATAATTGATAACAAATTTATAGCATTTAGAGGGAATACTTCGCTGAGCCTTATTTACTAAATGACAACACCGACTAGGAGTGCTGTAATTTTAAGCATACATATACAGGGTGACGGAAAAATAGATGCGGAGCCGGTGGGGGGAGATAGTATACGTACAAGCCAACCTGAGTCGATTTTACTATAGGAACTACTGTCCGAAAATTAGCTGTTTTCGTATTATACTAATTTTTTAGATTTTATAAAATTAACCACCTTTATACGTTAACCAAGTCATAAAACTTGAAAATTGGGTGTTTCATTTGATTTTTTTTTGGTTCTACAATAAAAATATTCTTAAATACGAAAGTCAAGAATGGGCACTTGGCCACCTGCACCAAGTATTTAACCACTACTGGACTGAATCTTATTGAGCACTCTCCTTACAGTCCGGATCTTGCTACCTGCGACTTTGCACTGTTTCCGCATGTGAAACTGAAGCTTAAATTAAAACGGTTTTCTAGAGATGAGGACCTTCTGAGGACTTGGGACAACTCCCTGGTGAAACTTCTCAGAGCTGGTTTAAGGACTGGTTTTAGCGGATGGAGGAGTGTATTGAATGTGTTGGAAATTACTTTGAACGAAGCCAATGAATCATGCTATATTGCAAGACTTTTATAGTACCCTTTGTACCTTGCTTAATTCTGCTATGGCAGAGCGTTTTCTCGTCTTTGGACGCAACACAAGACATGCATAAGTTATCATGGTTCTTACCACCATTATGTACGTCCAGTGCTTCATGGGAGGGAAAGAGCGATAAATTGTACATTTGAAAATGACCTTGACCATATTTTGAAGGTGACATTTAGAGGTAAACTTGGAAATTTTAAATGGAATCTTAATTTAAGGCCCATAGGTGGGAAAGACGAAAACGTCTGTGTTTGACCTTGAGATTAGCTAACCCCTAAAATGCGTTGGTGTCAAGGCCATGGTAAGGTTTTTCGTTTTTTTCCATTGGTAAGGTCAAAAAGACATTCGTTTAAAATGTTCACACCATTGTGAAAATCATTTTCTTCTGATAATATGTTCATCAATGGTCATACTCACTGTAAGGTCAGTGTTTGTTGTCAGTCTGTCAGGGTAGACGGCCCAGAAAGCAGATGAGTTGTAGGGGAAATGAGATAGGGAGAAAAAAGGAAAGGAACATTATTTGATCGAGCTTTCATATTTTCCACAGATGGATGATCTTCCTGCGCTGGCTGACACCTAGTGGTAACAACAGGAAACAACAGCGACCTCCCTTCTGTCTATTTCGCTCTCGTAACGTGTCCGACCGTGGCGCAGGGCTGCCGCCCCACATCCAGATACAGCCTTTGCCCCCACTGCCCCCTGGTGAACAGCAAGTTGTTGGTACGTTGGTGTCCAGGAGTACCAGCAGAAGTTCAACGCATACGAAATCTAATGGGAGTCATGTGCTCAAGGGAGCTGTTGATTTGAACGGTAAGTAAACCATATTAAAACCTCCTTTAAGTGCCGTCAAAACAATCACAAGCAATCGACAGATTTCATTCTACTATGGCAGGGGTATTACGTGAGAAGAGTGCGCAAGTAGGTTGACTCTGCACTTCCCAGGCAACGCCCTTATCAGTACATAAACCACAAACTAGACCGTCTGACAAATAAGTCAGTCAAACAGGTCCATACAGTTAGCCCATAGATACTCCTTCCCTATCCAATAGGGATAGAATTACCAATGTTGGAAGTGTATAAATGTACCAGCATCAAAAAATTGAGATATACTCTCCCTACCCCTTTACACCTCCAATTTTTTACCTCATCAACAAATTTTTTTCTAAAATGAGCAGGATCCTCTAAAAACGTCACAGCTTTTGTGTTCTTGACATAGTATTAGGAACATTATGTACAAAGTTCATCGAAATCCGAGCGGTACTTCTCAGGTTATGGGCGGGTATAAGATTAGCGGATAGACCGACAGACAGACAAATCGGTCGAAATAATGTTCCTACCTCATTCACTGTTAAAAGAATAAACAAAAATTTTTAAGTACTGGTTCAGTTAATGTTGTGAAACATAGACGAGCTCGTAGCGGTCGTTCAGAAGAAAATGTTAGAGCAGTTCGCGAGAGTGTAGTCGAGAGTCCAGGGACGTCGATTCGTCATCGCGCTCAAGAATTGATTTTAAAACAGCCTCTTTCCAGCGTATTCTAATGAAAGATTTACACCTGCATGCCTACAAAGTCCAATTGACTCAACAGCTTATGCCAACAGACAATGCGCAGCGAAGAGAGTTTAGTAATTGGACTCTTGACCAACAGGATGTAAATGCTGATTTTGCGGACAAAATCATTGTTAGCGATGAGCCCCATTTTCATCTCGATGGCTTCGTCATTAGACAACACAGAATCCAAGAGTAATTCATAAGAAATCTATGCATCCAAAACGTGTTACTGTTTGGTGTGCACTATGTTCTGTAGGAATTATTGGACCGTTTCTCTTTGAGGACGAGGCAGGTAATCCACTAACAGTGAATGGCGAACGTTATCGTGCAATGATTACTCAGTTTTTTGTGGAACAATTAGAAGCCATGGCTCGTAATGACATATGGTTTCAGTAGGATGGTGCCGCATGCCATACTGCTCGCGAAACATTGGCAGTTTTGCACGAGCTGCTCCTGGTCGAGTTATCTCCCGGTTTGGTGACCAGAATTACCCGCCACGCTCTTGAGATTTAACACCTTTGGACTTTTGGCTTTAGGGTTATCTGAAGTCACACGTTTATGCCAACAAGCCTGCAACCACCGAAGCATTGAAAGCTGAAATCAGACGCTATATCAACGAGAAGAGACTCTGTTCGCACAGGGTAATGTCGCAGCGCAGCGGTTTTTTTGGACGCTGGCCAAGCAGATTTAAAGCAACTCCTCACGCAGTAGCCTTCCACGACTTACGTGTCAGGATGGAACGATTGTAACAGACTCAAAGGCCAAGGCGGAAGTCCTTGCCAAAATCTTTGCTGCCAACTCCACCATGGACCAAGTGCGGTCGATTCAAATGGACCGCTGTACACTATTCGGGAAGTAACATTCATGCTTAAGATCGTGAGACGGGTGCTCTTGTCGCTAGACATCAACATAGCTTCTGGTCCGGTTCTGATTCCTTTCTTTGTACTGAAGAGGTGTGCAGCGGAGCTTGCTCCTGTTCTTTCGAGTCTCTTCCAGATATCTTATGAATCTGGCACCTTCCCAGAGAACTGTAAATTTGCTCATGTCCAGCCCATCACAAAAAAGGATCTAAGACCGACCCTTACAACTACAGGCCTATAGCTCTGCTTTCTGTTATAAGTAAGGTGATGGAGAGGTGCATAAACCGCGAGCTTCTGGACTACCTCGAACGCCACGGCTTGATTAGCGACAATCAGTATGGTTTCCCACACATGCGATCCACAGGGGACCTCCTAGCTTACTCACGCAATTGTGGAGTAAACCCAACCAGTCTTATGCAGAGGCTCATGTCGTTGCTCTTGATATCACGAAACCGTTCGATCAGCTGTGGCACGCTGCCCTCTTATGCAAACTTCCATCCTATGGCCTCTCAGAAAAGCTATGCAGATGGGTAGCTGACTTTCTCTCAGGCCGCAAGATATCCGTCGTAATTGGCAGGTTCTCCTCTTCATCCCACAACGTCAACGCGAGTGTTCCGCAGGGATCGATCTTGGCTCCGACACTGTTCCTCTTACATATCAACGACCTCCTTTTCTGTAAGATCAACCCAATCCACAGTTTAGCTGATGACAGCACTCTACATGCAGGAATTCAGAGTGACAAGCCGATCTCTACCGCTGAGCTGGAAAAAAGAAGACTTCCTCTCTGACGAGAGACCTTCTGTACGTTCATCCCGCTATATTATAGAATCTTGAAATATTGCGTGCTATTTGAAATACCCTTTACCATTAGTACACTAATCATCACTACACTGCAGTGTTTCCTTCCAGCTTTAGTGTAAGCCTTACAGCTCAGGCCATATGAGCTATAAATCGCCTACTATAGTGCCATCTCTGGAGCAAATGTTATGTTAAATCACATCAGAACCAAATCATATAGCTCAAGTGTCATGACGTTTAGACAACACGCATAGCTAACATGAAGTGAGTGACAGCTTGTTTCAAGGTGACATTTTTCAGGAGAAACCTACATAATGTCATAAAAAATGGAAATAATGTCTTGAAATATTCTTTGTAGTACGATGAAGGAAGTAAAACATTTTCAAAAGCTCGACATAAACAAAGAACAATCTCTTTTCTGGTTTACATTTCTTCATTGTCGATGCAATCTCGAGAGTTTGTACTTTTTAGCATTTTGTATGTTGGTATTCAACCAAAACTTAATATTCCTTAGGTGGCAACTTCAGTGACAGTCAGCACCATCAGCAACCACACCAAGGCGCAAAGATCAACAACGTGAACCTTGTGGTACTGCATCGCCAGCAATACCGTACAAATGTCATCCCAAACATAATTGAGAACCCCACAAACGCTGCTCAAGTATTCTATAACCCCCATCAGAGCACTGTGGCAAGGAAATTCTTCAAGCGTCAGAAACGGAACATGCTGAAGAAAAACAACCTGACGAAGCCACCTTTACCACAACCTAGAGACTTAAATAGTGACTCGGCGTCTGTTTTTTCGGATCATCAACACCATCACCACCATAGGCCCAAGGTCAAGAATGCTGCTGATCAGCCGCAAAACATATTTGGCACAAATTCCAAGGTGAGTTCTAAAATTGAAAATGACACAACTTGAAAGACCAAAGGATCATTTGGTTTGAAAATAATATCTTCGTTTAGTTTAAATCTACTGCGAATTTATAAAATATTTCTCAGTCATCAACAGTTCGCCGCTGTGCGTCCGAGATTCCGCAAAGAGCTGTTATTAGTGGGAGGTATTATTATGAGTGAATTCGACATCCTTCACATATTCTAAAAACAGAACAAAATTGAAGCGTATCTTGCAGTATAACACTGTTCAGCACGAAAATCCTCTCCGCCAAACATATACATTATTTCGGCAAGTTCTACAATATTTAACCCTTACACTGACCTTCAAATTTTCGTATCACGTAACGGAGTCCAGACAAAGTCTCAACCCCTTAGGGTTTCAAATAAAGTTGATACCCATTGAACCCTATGTAATTCCAGATTTCACCGTACCCTATAGTCGTCGGACATTTGCTTATTGAATGGCCCCTGTATACAAAAATCGTTTCCGATGTCTTGATTCCCGCTATTTCTAGAAAATACCAGATGTTCGAAATGGGTATATAAGCAGCCAGCCGCTTGTCGGAGGATCAGCATTACAGTATTCAGCAGTGGATATATGAGCGAAGCAATGCCGTAGCGATCCCGTGTGAACCATCCGAACAGTTTCTGTTTCTGTTCGAGATATATATTGGGTTCAAAGTTGCCGATCGAGACAAAACTTGGGCTCCGAAAACATGATGCCGCATTTGCTGAAGAACCTTAGCAGGATGGCCATGGGGTACTCACACTTCTATGAAATTTGGAGTGCCAATAATTTGGCGGGAACCGAAGAATCATGTTGATGATTGTTACATTTGCTAAACAAAAATTCTGGGATTTTCTAGTAAAAGCAAGCATAAAATAGTGTATCCTAATATCCCCTCAGCCAGTGGACCTGTACCTCATGACTCTTCTAGCATACCGTGTTCCCAATAAGCCTCCGAAGAAATATGATGAACCAGATAATTCTCACAAAGAGGAGCCAGAAGGCGGACCAAGTTTTGAAGAGGAAGTCGTTTTCGAATGTAGTAGCAATAAACGGCCGCTTTTTATGTCTCATGAAGAGATCAATGATCTAGTTCGTGATTTAGATCTTTCCAAAAGAAAAGCACAACTACTTGGATCTCGTTTACAGCAATGGAACCTTTCACAAACAGATGTAAAAATTTCCATGTGTCGGAGCAGGTAGTCTATGCTGGCCGTATTTTTCTCGATGGAAAATGACTCAGTTTACTGTCATGATATTTACGGCTTACTGAATGAACTTGGCATCTCCTTTATACCTACCGAGTGGAGATTATTTTTTGACGGCCATCAGTTCCCGTTGGTCATGCTGGAAATATGAAAGAAACATACCAGAACATGCTCATATTCCAAAGCATAAACTACGAAGATCATAAGTGGAATATCTGTGCCGATCTAAAAGTTATTGCACTGCTCACAAGACTGCATAGTGGCTTCACAAAATATTGTTGTTTTTTTTATGTGAAACCAATATTATTTTGTTACGAGAGAACGTTGTACCCGGCCAGAAAAATGTCCTTAATGAGCCCTTAGTAGATCAGCAGAAAGTTTATTTACCTCCTCTGCCCATAAAACTGGGGCTTATAAAAATTTTTGTGAAAGCCTTAGAGAAGGAAATGCATTCCTTTATTTGAGACGGAAATTCCCGTGTGTAAGTGAAGCAAAGCTTAAAGAAGGAATTTTCGTTGGACCTCAAATACGAGAACTTTTTAAGAAAAAAATTTTAAAACTACACTTTCGAGAAAGGAAAAAACGCCAAGGCATGCCTTCAAAAATGTATGTAGCAACTTCCTAGGCAACAAAAAGTCGGTCAACTACAAAGATCTAGTTTAAGCGCTTATCCAACCTTATAAGGCCTTAGGTTGCAATGTGCCACTCAAGCTGCATTTTCTTCACTCCCATTTGGAATTCTTCCCTAACCATTTGGGTGTAGTTTCAGACCGGGACGGCGAAATATTTCACCAGCAAATTGCTCAGATGCAGATGCGCTATAGAGGAAAATGTGTGAATTTCTTCCAAACACACTATCTGCGTCGACGCAACGTCGACGTTGCGTTACCGCACCGTCAATATACGTCCATGTGCACCGGCTATACACGTGAAACCGCTCCTGGCGAATACAAGCGAAACAACCAAATAAATTGTTTGATTGTTTTTTATAAAATACATTTTCTAAAAAAGTGGATTTGTTATTTTTTTAATTTCTAAAAATTCACCATTAGATCGCTTATAATTTGGGATTTTCATATTTTATATTTTCCCTTCTCAAATAACTTCTGGGTGATGGGGAGAAACTGACTGCATATTAGATTTCAGTAAAATAGTAGATATAAAAAACCCGAAAAAATCAGAAATTTTCAGAATGCCGAACAGTGTAATGTTTTGAACGCGCGAATATAGACTTTATGATACTATGATACTACTTACGACCCCCCCCCCTGAATGTAGTTGGCTGTCGTTTGATGGTCGTACGGTGGTGACTCCAGACTTTTTAAACGCTTATAGTCTCCAACTTATTTTTGAATTACCTTAGGTGAACAACACGAATATCCACGTAGAACAAGTCAGACGCGTCCAACAAAAAAACCCAAACATCTTTTCTGATAGCGCCGAAGATCTTGATTCAGTCAGCAACGTGCCAGTGGACAACATTGTGATCAACGCTGAAAGGTTGAGGAAAAGGGAGATGTCCAAACAGCAACAACAGCAAAAGTCGCCTGCTGTCCAACCTCCGACAAGAAAGAAACAGCAGAATCATGGAAATGGTACCATGAAGTCTGCGTCGGACAAAAATATGAGATCTGTTTCACAGCAGTGTACGCTTGACTACAGGTACTTTCTTTTACTTCCCACGCCTACTGGCGAAAAAACGAAAAATTTCGAAAATGTTATATGTTTTTGATGTTACGTGACATGTACAACACGTAAACCATGTCACTTATTTCCTTCCGTCTGACTAACCGTCAAACTTTGACGGCTTGTATCTAGTAAACCAGACTTTTTGCGCCCTTGTAATTATGGTCTATCATTAAGTAACACCCTGTACATCGTGTGAATTATCAAGAATATTACGTTAATTGCAGTCCGTCTCTGGTGCATAAAATGAGTTGATTGTCATGCATAGATGCCATCAAGTTTTTCACTGATGACGATGCCGTGTACTATTAAAAAAATCGCATGTTACAGTTCTGAAACCATATCCGACTCGATCCTCGACAAGCCTTGTAGCCCAGACAAATCCATGGACGTTCATCACCCGATGCTAGATGGAGGTAGCAGCCTGGTGGTGCTCGAGAACGACCCACACTACTGTCGGATTAACGATGCGCGGGGCGCGGGCGTTTTGCCGGCTGATGCGACGTGCGTCTATGCACACCCTTATGATGAAGAAGCTAAGCGCGGAGAAGGCAGTAGTGTCAGTGTGAGTGATTTGGATGAGTTGTATCAGCAGATTAGGAGTGGTGGAGCAACTGGACAAAGGCATAATAGGTAAGTTAGATACTTCTCATATTACCCTTTAGTGATAATAATAAAATAATATTGACGTTCATTAACAAAGGTAGCGATATACAATAATATCTGCAGACGGTAATACCCTGTTTGTGGGTGGTTGAATATTATTAGTCAATCATATCTGATGATGTAAGGGTTTTTATAACTTTACACAAATGGGGAATGCTAATTCAAAAATATAAAAACGATGTAATGTTTAGGTATGATGAATCTATATTAGTCTGGAATTGACGGGTTATAAAATTTATAGTAAAATATGAGTGAATTCCTAATTTAGGTAAATCGTATAAATACTATTTCATTGTCCAATTGTTAATGTATTACAGTCATGGAGACACAATTTATCCAGTGATTTAATTCTTTCTTGAATGCGAATTCCTGTGTATTTTTCAGTGTGCTAGGTATATAGTTATACAATTTGGGAGCCAGATATTAAAATATAATTGTGCATATCAAGTATTTATATCTTCATATAAATCTGTCTGTTGAGCTGCACCCTACGCTGTTATACCATACAGTATATGACTTGCAACCAGAGCTTGGTACTAAACTTTCATGTAACTACGTGGACGGATATCAGAAAGGCGCTTAAGTTTGTATAACTCAAACCTAATCTCTTTCACATCATAATTTATATGAACATTTTATTTTAAGTTCTCAACTAGATATATTCCTATTTGAGGTTCTCTTGCTTTCTATAGTTCTTCCTTCGATTATCCAAGATATTGTATATTCAGGTAAGTCTCTTTTATATGAAGTGAATGTAATAAAGAAGGTTTTATTGTAATTTATAGCTAACAATCTTTCGGTAAACCATCTTATTAGTATATCAAAATCCCCATGTATGATGATTTCAGCGACCGCCAGTCCTTTGCTTTATGTAAGACAGTGTCGTCAGCATAACTGACAATTCTACCAATGCATCTAACATGGTGGCGTCGATGTCATGTGAAACGCATGTTGACTTCCCTTGTGTACAGGGTGGCCAACCAACAATGCAAGGTACTGGATCTGGCAACCTATCCATCGTAGAGGTTTGCGGCAATTCTTACTAAAAAGGTCAAGAGAAAAACCTGGAAAATATTTTCAAGTTTTTGAAATGGCCGCAAAGGGGCGTAACTGCAATCTTGAATCTGAAAAAGTGATGTTTCTTTGAATTCCGCTATATTAACCTAACAAGAAAATACCTGATCTTTAAAGTCGAGGATAATGTGAACTATTTTTGTTTGACAATGTTTGCTGTATCTCTAAAAATAAAGTGGTGGGGGGTATTCAAAGATTTCTGTAAAAACACTCTGTATCTTCGAAACGGCTGACCCAATTTCAACAAACTTGGGCTAGTTAAAAATAGCTATTCTTGGGCTACTAATAATATAATATTTGAAGTTTCGTTAGTTTCACATGTAGCCGCTAGAGGGCTGTTTTCGAAATTCCGACAGAAAGGGCTAGTTTTCTCAAAAAATGCATTGGTATGATTTTTGTCATGAAAAACCAGCTAAAGGATGTCTAAACGAGCTCGCGAAAACCGTATCTCGATATCTTGTCCTTAACCTAAAATTTGAGCCAAAGAACATTTTATACGGAAATCCTTTAAATTTTTATTTTTTTAAACTAATCTTTCTGGAATTATTTTTTATTAATCAGAATAAAATCACCCTTTTTGAAACCATTACAAAATAACGCTTAAAGTAATGCTAATAACAAAAGGCATATTTTTTGTTTAAATGCATATTCACTATAGTCTAATCATATTAGCAAATTTCCACGAAATAATTTTATAGTGCTTTTAATGGTGCGTTTAAAACATTGACGCATAAAATGGGTACACCAATTTTTGTGAGAAAACCTTTTATTTGACAACAAAGAATGAGAAAACGTGTTTTTGGGGATTCAATCGAATGTATTGACAGGAACGAAAAAGCTTTCCAAATAGGATTTTTAGGTATTTATCAGACCTACAAAATGAGACCACACGTAAAAAGAACCGACTGATAGCAAAAATGTTATGGCCGAAAAACGAGGCAAAATGCAGGTTTTGGCACTTGTTAGTAACGTGTCGATAATTTCAAGCAATTACTTGAAATTCTTCAAATCTGTATGATTCATACTTCTAAATAACAACAAAATTGGAGCATATTGGTAAAGTAGTTTTTGAGAATTTCTAATTGTTTATCTCAAAACACCTGTTTTCCGGCCATCACTACTAGTTTATTGAGCAATATACAGGGTTCGTTTAAAGAGCATTTAATAGCAAAATGCACCTGTTTACCTTGCCGATATAAATCACAAACCATTCCGAAAGATAAATGTAATTTTTATGCGAAAAACAAAGGTTACGTTTTTTTCTTCTAAACAAATTTAAACATTTCGCATTTGTGAGTAATTGTGCGCTACAATATTCCAAAACATTCGTTACTATACACATTTTAAAACAAAGCGGATGTGTTATCATCTTTTGTTGCGAATTATTCACACATACGAAATGTTTGAATTTGTTTAGAAGAAAAAACGTAACCCATCCTTTTTTGCATAAAAATAACATTTACCTTCCGGAATGGTTTGCGATTCATATTGGTCAGGTAAGCTAGTGTATTGCTAAATGCCCTTTGAACTTACCCTATGTTGGGAAATCTCGGAACCCAAAATATATGAATTGACCTAAACACACCTTAGTCCAAAGTTGATAGTTTGCGAGATTACAGGCGTCAAAGTTACAATTTTATTTCTATTTTTCCTTATTGCTTGAGAAGTATTTCGAATTTTGCCGCGTAAGTTGAAGACCGGCCAACTTTACTCGCTACTAGCTGACTTTTTCTATCGGATAGTAAAAAAGGCATCGTGTACTTATATCAGCCCGATAAACTAGCTACTCGTTAGAGCTTTACCAAACCAAACTAATTTGGGTTTATAGATATCATCAGTTCCCATACCGCTTTTTTTTACGCCAATTTTTGGCGGTAGGCATCTTTTATACTTTTTATTTTTGCTTTCACTTGCTTTGTTGTCATATCTTCCACTAGACCTTCGGCTTTTAATTCATCCCAAACTTGTTGAACGCAGAATCCCTCAATTTTGCATCCATATAAATTCTTTTGTTTTATATTCCATAATATGGGATAGTTTTCATAGATTTACAAAAACTTATTTATCAATATTATTTACATTCCACTTCATATTGACGCTTTGAGAAACACGAAACAAGTACACGCCAACTATTTCACTTGCCGGTTAGTAAAAAAGCGCACTAGCGGCGAGTAGACTAGCTCCGTGTCATCGAGCGTTTACCGAAGCACAGATAGCTTCTGTTTACTACGCTCAAGTCGAGACACGACGAGGTATGCACTGTGCTTCTGAGGTTTGTCTACAAATGCCCAGCAAGTATTTTTCGCTCAGAAAAGAGTGGTTAGATGCATGATGAGAGTCAGTAGTAGGCATTCTTGTAAGGATATTTTTAAGCGCCTTAAGATTTTAACTTTAGCATCTTTATTTTTATGCTAAATGGTTGTGTATACTTTTATTCACAAAAATAGGTATTTAAATAATTTTAACTCGTACTTGACCAAGCAAGCTGGAGACTTAAATGTGTGTTTTGCCAAGTACAAGATCGGCATCAGATCTCCGGAAATAATTGGTCCAAGAATTTTTAATAGGCTATCAAACCATATTAAAGAGTGTGGTGATATACATAATTTTAAGGCTAAACTGACAGAATTTCTTGTAATTAAATGTTATTATGCCGTCTCCGAGTCTGTTATTTTATGATTTATTTGTGTGTTTGTTTTTATACATATATGCATTTTGTGTTGTTTTATTAGTTTTTATTCTGACGAATCCTGTACATAAATTGTAATGACTCTTAGGATAATAAAAAAATTAGAATTTGAATTTATCCCTAATTTAATTGCATTTATATTTGTTATACACAAGTAACACGGGCCATTTGTTGCTTTTGTATTACCTGCAACCAAAGGAGCTCCTGATCCATCTAATCCTTATTCAGGAGACTTGAACATGTTTCCTACATCTAATAATAATAATAATAATGACTTTATTCAAAAGATGATCATAGTATGTAGTGGATTTCCTTCGTTGATCGCTTAATAATATTTTACTGTAAGGTGATTTGAAAAAAATTACACCAGGAATGCAGTAGTCTTACTCCTCGCATGTTATTTGAGCATGTACATTTATTTGTTCCTCGGATCTTGTGGGATATGATATTTGATGGCTGAAATCGTCTTGGGGCACCGGATCTGATTTCGTTTAAGGCATTTTTAATTGTGACCTCAGAATAGTTGTATTGATGTCGCTTAACTTTTTTCATTGGTGATATTTGGAAGCAAAATTACATACACTAATCAAAATTAGATCCAATCTAATAATGCATCTATAGGTGGGTCTTACTTTCTCATGTTTTCTCAAGTACCAACAAATGGAGGGGCTGGAATTTTGATGCACCATTAATTGGCAAATAGTATTTCGGTTGAGAACCGGTAGTTGTATGTCTCTTGAATTGTTGTCTATATTTGATAATCTGAATAAACGCCTAACATGTGCAAAAATCAATTTTTAAGCCGATGCCATTGTTGGCGACAGATGTAAGGTCCACTAATGCTATTGGGACCACAAATTCGCATCTAAAATGAATGTTGTACACCATTCATGGTCGGTTGCATCAGTTATAAATATTTTTTTAACTAGTATTACTATGACTTTATTTATTTCTGTATATCGAAGGGGCAACAAAAACAAAAATTTGAAAAGTGCCAATATTAGAAGCGCTCATTTTTTTCAGGTACCACTCGATGGCAGAGGTGCCAATAAATAGCTTAGTGTACAGATTGACATACCAGTCATTGGCGCCCTATTTTTTGCAAAAGAAATATACTATACTAACTATAAAACAGAAATGGTGAACAAACAATTGTTTTTTGGGTAACTTTAAAGTTGGAATATAGTTATTTTTCCAACCCTCTTACCCTTTTTACTTAGCAGACGATTTTTAAATATGTTTTGACTATTATAGTTTGCACCTACTATGTAATGTTATCTTGTTTGCTTTTTACACTGTACGAGCGAAATGCTGGTTGCACTGTTTTAGGCAAATATCCGCAAAATGGTAGTTGCGCTATTTCCCCGTAGGTGGCGCTCAATGAGTTGGCTAAATGAACAGCATAATGTGAATCTTGCAATTGTCTGTCAGATTGATATTTTCATGGAAAAATAATAATTATAATAATAATAATAATGTTTATTGTCACAAAATACAAGTAAATATCAAATATCGTGCACAATAAACATAAAGCACCCAAAAAAAGTTTGCACTTGTGTTTGGGTTTATACAAAATAAAAACTAATAGTACAGTCAGTGTATGAAAAAAAAAGAAAAAACCCGTTAATACTGTATAATTTGGTGAATTATTATGGTAATGTCAGGAAAAATATCCAGACAATTAGAACTGAAGTAAAAGTATGGATGTTAGTGTAAGTAAAATATTATTGATTTTGATAATGATTTTTCAGATCTACAATTTCGTGGATGGAGTACCTTGGTTGTTGTAAAATCCATTCTTTTAGTTGTTTTTTAAATGATTTATTTGATTTAATTACTTTTAATGACTCTGGTATGAAGTTATAGAATTTTGGTCCCAAGAAAAACAGAGATCCTTGTGTAATGGTTTTTGATGTTTGTGGAATACACATTGAATTTTGATTGAATCTTGTGGGGTAGTTATGAATGGTACGATTAAAGTATTTTGAATATTTGAAATAATGTATTAGACCACAATAAAAATAAATTTGTCTGCAATCTAATAGCTGAGCCTCCACATATAGAAAATCACTTGAATAAGTAATCTCCCTATGGAGGATCAATTTTAGAATTAATTTTTGGATTACCTCAACCTTTTTGTAATTATTATTCATAACTCCCCCCCAAGCCAAAATGCCGTAAAGTAATAGAGGATAAACAAGAGCATAATATAGATTATATGGATATTTCTTATCTAGAATATCTCTGAAGTACCTGAATTTTGGAATAATACATCTAGTCTCTTCACAAGGTACTCTGTATGGGTATCCCATTTTAAGTGTTTGTCCAAAATCACGCCTAAGTATTTTATTTTATCGGCTGACTGAATCTCTTTGAGACCACTGCTTGTATGAATTTCAAGTTTTTTAAATTGCGGTGAGAGCCTGTCGTTACAAGAAAATGCTATATAGTGTGTTTTGTTGTAATTAATTGTCAAAGTTCTTTCCGAAAAGAAATTTATAAATGTTTTGAAATCATGTTCGATTGTGGTTTTTAGTGTAGGCCACTGGTTGCTTTCATAGAGAATAGCTGTATCATCCGCAAAACCGATAACTTTACCTGTACAATTTATTTTGAACAAATCGTTGATAAATAGATTAAATAAAATGGGTCCTAATGTTGATATTCTTTCAGTTTCTAAATTTGCCATCAGCTTTTCATGTATTACATTCGAACTGTTTTCGATTCCAGATATAGGGGAGCTAGACATGCAGCCGTCAGTCCATACCTCAGCGATTCTGAGGTCAACTCATTCGTTAGCGATAGAAGGCACCGAAGAAATCGTACCGCTTCTTACAGTCACTTGCACTTTGACAGGTACAGCGATGATGTAGAAACCACTGTTTGAAGCGAATCGGATACGCGTCTTACAATACCCTATGCAAATATATTTTTCAATGATGTACGATAATTGCTCCGCCTCTAACCTCTTTGCTAATGATAGTTATTGACAGTAAAGCAAGTGATCTTAGTAGGCTGACAGTTATGTTAACAAAATAAGTTTTTTATATCAAACTATGTACTACTTGGTACGTATATATGACAAGGATTTTATAGAAATATATACCGTTGAGCAGAGCCGCAATTTTCAAATATTATGGCGACGGTTGGAGGGTGTGCATTTTCTTATGATATAGCCAAACAAGATTTTACAGAGAAGCATTGGGGCAGTTCGCAAGTATCGCTAAACATGATGGTTCGTCCGTCCGACCATAGCAAAGGCTAAGATAGAAAGCTTTCGTCGTCTTAGAGATGAGTGACCAAGCCCAGAACATGCTGATTCCAAGAAGCACGAAACCGCTGTCCATGTTTGGCTGCCTTTTGGTCGGACGGACGAAAGAATCATGTTTAGTTTATTTATTGGCAACTAGACCACATCTACTTTACAGCTAGAATCATCAGCAATCTAGCGATCACGTGGTGATTGGGCTATTAAACGTGAACTGAGATCCCTAACAGTTCCAACTTATAGAAGTATGAGCTTTCCGCCGTGGTCGATTCTGGTTTTATTTACATATCGCTTTATCACGATAATGGTCTCAGGCATACCTTCTGCATTGCTATGGCTGTTCTACAACAACCAGTCTTTGAATTGGTAGATTACTGTTTTTCTCCCAGTAATTTCATACTATTTCCATAATTATAAGAAAAAATAATCAGTGTGAACAACAGGCGATGTATATGTCGTAGGAGACCGGTTTTCAGCAGTATGAAAAAATTTTCACTGTGCAGGTATTAGCAGGGATCATGTTGAACAGTAAAAAACTGTAATCAAATATAGCTTTATTACAAGTAGATTAGGGGCGAAGCTTAATGATTAACCCTCGTTCGTTTCAATATCCCATCTATAAATCGTTCCAATATTGATATGGTCGATAAGTCTTGTCAATTGTATGACATTTTAGATTATTCCGCAAGCTTCAGTAACCATCCTGGTTCTAAATAGCTTTAAGTGTGAGATTTTAACAGAAATATTATCTCTATAGGGCGTTGTTGTGCGGTATATTCAATGTAACATATATTTTTAAAGTCTAAAAGCCATTAAGTAATTCGGTTTCCTGTGCTAAGCATTGCGAAAATGTTGATGTGCTTGGTATTAAACGTGATAGAAATATGTGCCAAAATGTTGTTCAAGCTTTTCATGTGACAAATATGGGAAAACATCACAGTTGTCTTGTGATTGGAAAACATCCTGATCTCTTCCTCCAGATTTTCAAAACTATTCTAATCTTCGTGGATCTGTGACCTCTTTCCTTTTGACTGAATTTCTTAGTGAAAAGATTTCCTTTGAATTTACAGCGGACAAAAAAACCGCGATCTCGAAAAACTTAATTTTTCTCTTGGAATCTTTTCGGTCTTTTTGGCATGTAGACAAAAAGCTAATATTATATTTTTACTTGAACCAAGACTATTTCGAGTACAAGGTTCATGATGTTTTGTACTACTAAATACGTAAATTGACTGAGTAATAAAATAAAGTAGCACATGCTTTTATAAAAAATATATAGACACCAAGGGCAAGAAATGTCTATTTAAAAAAAGGACAAAACGATACCCAGTGTAACAAATGTTATTATTCGTCGAAATATCGGTATACATACATATATATTTTTTGTAAGCCGTTTTATAGGAACAAAGATAGCATGCGTTGATGTGATGTAGCTTATAGTGTTGTATATTATAGTGTGTATCATTATTTCTTGGAAACAAATTGAAATAGGCATTCACGAAATGGTTTTTTAGTGTGAAAAATTTCACTGATAAATGCAATAAAAATGAGTTTGTTGTGAGATGTATTTAAAAATAAGCGGAGTTATATTCATTTGATAAAAAATACGCGTCTTTTTTTTCAAAAAATTCTTAGGTAAGATTTATTTTCAAGAAATATCGAGGGTCTCACGCCATATAGGCGTATGCGCCACAAGTGAAATTTTACACGAGAGACAAAAAACGGCTCAGGAATGAATGGTTTGAGAAAATTAAAAAATAGATGCGGCAAAAAATAATTTACAGTTTTTGATATTCTTTTCAAAATTAAAAATATTAGCTATTTTGACCAAAACTTGGCTGATACCTCTATATGCCAGGATGAAACTATTGGTTATTTTGGGGCATATGAATCATTTATATGAAATAATAATCAATAAATAGCCAAATAAGGAACGAATCAAATTTGTTATTACTACTACAACAATTTAAGGAAAAAATATAATGCTTTAGGATGTACAGAGTTTTCTCATAAAATATTAAAAAAATGTAAATACAATGTTTCTCAGTTTTAAGTAAATTTTTAAATTATACAGTTTTTATATTTGCACAGGATTTTTTAAAAGTGCTGCTCGGATTTCAACTTCCAAAGTTTATATGCGACACGATGTGAAAATAATTTCAAACATTACTTGAAACCAAAAAAATTTATTTTTTAGACACTTTAGTATACCATAGTGAAAAACCTTTTACCTTCTAATTTCTTTATTGTGCCCCTAATTTTTTTTTAACTAAGATACAACAAAAATTTTACTAAAATAAGGCAATATTGTTACTTCTCGAATATACATGTACCCCAGTATTAATTCCTCTTCCTTTTTCTCTTCAACATCTTTGCTCTTAAAGCTGATAGTGGTAGTTCATCTTCATATCCATTGGAATGAACATGAGGTAACAATCGTAAAAGTTGTGGTAAATTGAAGGTACAGTATGATCTTTTCCATGACAAAGATACTGCAAATCCGAATATTTTAATTCGCCAATTGGGAGTTTGGAGTCATACAGTGGCTTAAGCTGAATATCTAAATTTCTTCTGCGTCGTTGCATAATGTTCACAGCTTCAAATTGCTCCTCCCAAAACTCATTTTTGAAGAAAAGTGGATCCGGATTGGACTTTTGAAAACGCAACCAACGTACTTCTTTCCAGTTTAGAACCTCCCCATTCTCTGACATATTTTGAAAAGGGTTTTATTAAATAATATTAACGTCGTAGGGATGTCCGCTTTTCTTAGCCAATCTAATAACATTTACCCAGTCATTAGGTATGAATATCTTCGCATACTCGGAAGCAGTTCCAATTGTAGCGTGCATGGAGTCACACTCCTTGTGTTTGTGACCACGCTCTAAGAATTTTAACTCAATAACCTCTATATTGGTCTTTAAACTCACTTGATGTAACATGCTTGCAACAATAGTATTTCTATTCTGACCAGCGCAGCAATCTGAAAACATCGATAGATGTGTAACTGTGATTTCAGCAAATTTCATTAGGCACGAGGCGATTTCATTTGAACCCCGTTTTCCTTCAGTCTCAGACCAAATATAACATCGTCCATGTTTTTTTTGCAACTTCGTAGACTGTAAAATTGAAATTAGCTAATTTTCTTTTATAAAAAATCGGTTTGGCATGATAAAGTGGGCAGTATAAAACTGCCTCTAAATCAAAGTTAGCTGAACAGTATTCTGGATTACTTTAGGCCAAGTCAGCGTCTCTCTTTTTTCCTTGATTTGCCGCATTTTTACGTTTAATGTGTAGGTCGTATCGTTCTTTCTCATGCCGGTCATCATCCGGTTGTAGTTCGTACTTATAACATCAGCACTGGTCCTTTCTGTGCATGTGAAAACCAATATTTTTTTCCAGCAATAATTTCTATAAGTAGTCTCAGATATTGCAGTAAAGTTGTTTTCAGCACAGTACTGTTTGTACAGCTCAAACATTTTTCTTTTATTTAGAATGGGTTCCAAATATTCTTTCTTTGAATCCTTTCGGCACCAATGAGCGGGAACCCTTGGAAAAGAGTCAATATGGCACTTAGCGATGTTATTACTACTTCATTAAGCATTAAATATATTTATGGGAAAAACCTCTCCTAGAATTGTCTGTTCTCGTTCTTTTAATAGCAAACCGTTGAACATATTTTATTATAACGTCTCTTTGCCTTTCAAGGTTGCCCAAATCCCAAAATGCTTTGAATATTGCAGATTTTATGCCGTCATTAACTTTTAGATGACATTTAAAAGTACAATCACAATATTTGACGTATATTTTTTGGAAACCTTGGCAGTCGAATCTTTCCAGTTGTTGCTACATGTTCTAACCCTTTGTTTCTTTTTTATTTTCTCTGGCTGGCTTTTCATACTTTAGGATCACTTTTTTCTTCTGATCTTTTTTCTTGTGTGTTTAGTGCTAAATTATAATGATTCTCAGTCTGTTGTGTAGACGTAGCATTTATACTAGGTATCGTATTTTCTTCAGGCGCGTTTATTCTGTTGTTGTTTTGTCCGGCCAAGGTATCTTCAGCCATCTCTTCGTTTTCAGCCAATTCTTCGTTGCCAGTATATTTCTCTGCAAAAAAATAATAATGACAGTATTCAATCTCTGCAATTAAAATATTTTAAAGTTACCGTGAATTTCCAAAGGATCGTATTCAACGTATCCATTGTGTTCAAAAGTTGCACTAGATTCGCAATCACTATCATCAGAACTGATTCCTGGAATAGAAATATTAGGTTTCTTCGGGTTTTTATTATTACTGTTCTAGAACTATCAGGAGCATGCGCGGAAGAAACGGACCTGTTCGGGTTTTTGTTGGATTATTAAGTTTAAGGGTCCTCTCTCTCGTGAAAAAACATTCTAGGGCCTTGTCTTCGGATGATTTATCAGGTACCGGTATGAAATCATTCATATTCAGTTCTAAAATAGATAATTCTACATTTTACTCAACATTCTTTTACTAGCGAAAAAGCGTATTAAATTACCTTCGCTTCCCATTTCTAAATCTAAGTAAAAATTAACAAACAAAATATACTAAAACAAACAAAACAAACTGCGTACAAAACTTTTGTGAAAACTTCATAAGAAAGAAGTGTAGTTATGGTTACTGACAAATGACAAATAATTTTCTGTTCTGTGTTGCCGTAGTCCTGGGTTCAGGCTGTTCGGGGTTTGGCAAAATTCTGATAGTTCACGGACTATTCCTAACCGCTTCCGAGATCTTCCCCTTTACGCATTCAGTCTTGCGCAGTTCCAGAGCCGTTCCGTTACAGTACTGAATTTTGAACCCGAAAATACCTATTGTTCGTCTAAAAAAACTCAAAAATAAGGTGTAAAAATAGCACTAGTGCGATAAAAATTTTGTCGTACTACTTTTGCATTCGTATTCCAAGAGAGCGTAAAAGAAAATAGTGATTTTTGCATCACGATATAATAAATAACTTGCCTATTTATAATAATGAATAATTTTTTACTTGCTAATCTGCAATATGAAGTTCAAAATATAATATAATAAATATTGATGTTATGTATAGTTACGATTAAAATAATGGAAATTAATGAATTTACCTACCTTCATCATGAGATTTTCTTGGATTGTATGAGGTATCACTGCCTTGTTTTGCTAACTCAATTATATTTTAGCACGAGAAGACATTTTCATATATAATATTTGTAATATAAATACACTACTTCATTGCCGAACTGGACTGGTGGCAGTGTTGCCAGATGCAAAAAAGTGGTTCATAAGCCTTTATCGTAAAATTCCATGATAGGCGCTTACGTCTTTAAGATTTTGCATTTTCTACCCAAAATATTTTACAACTGATAATTCCCAACAATTTTGCAAAATTTACCTAAAAATGGTTTATACGCCTTCATGGCGTAATGCCATGATTGGTGTTTACGCCTAAATAATTGTACGTTCCTTAGAAAATACATTACAAACTGTTACTCTACTTATTTAGTCAAATGATTAAAAGGTTGCAACCGATAATTACTAGACATTTTACATGTTTACCTAGAAGTGGTTCATACGCCTTTGCATAATAATACCATGATTGGCGTTTACGCCTAGACAATTTTGCATCCTTTGGCATAATATATTAGAAACTGTTATTCTACACAATTAATTAACTAATTTACTATTGCCAGCTGATGATTAATTGAAATTTTACATATTTACCTAAAAATGGTTCATACACCTCTATGGCATGCTGCCACTTGTAGGATTGGCGTATATGCCTATATAATTTTGCGTTTTTTGACCAAAATATACTACAAATCCGCAAGCCGTTTGGTCAGATTATGCGCCATACTATTAGGTATCGATTCACGAAAAAAGTGATTTTGGCCAGAAGTGGCGTATACGCCCCTATGACGTGAGACCCTCGATATAGTTTGCCTTTCAGAAGTTCCAAGTTATATTCTTGGGTGCAAGTTTAGTTTTATATTGAAAACATTTGCCTATTGGACATCTTTACGGTTAGTTGATGTTTATTTAACTGAAATGCGTATGCTGCCTTAATATTTGTACATATGATGGTAAAAATATACTATGATTATATACTTATAGGAAGTTGAAATTTAAAAAGATTTCCCTCATTTTATTATATAAAAGGGGACTCACATAAAGATATTTACTGTTTATCATATAAAGCGTACAATTTTTAAGACTGTTGAAATTGAAGTATTACTATCTCCGAGTAGCTATACATAGATAGATAATGATTGTACACCAGTTTGCAATGAAACTTGTGACAAAATATAAGCGAATATAACCGCAAAAGTGTTTTATTAAAATTCCAACCATGATGCAAACCAGAACTCTTTGAGTCCAGAGTGTCTCTGGATTCGACGTAGTGACAACTATACTAAAAAGCACATGAGTCTTTAAAACCAAGCAGGCTAACAGATATAGTTAATGCTACAATGTCAATTTTGTATAGTTATTCGTTTACACATTTCTTTTTTGAATCATTTTTTTGCAATTTTACATTCTTGTCTATTGAAATTACATTATTATGCATTTTGAGTTTTGATATTTTTATTTCACCTTAAACATTTTTAAATTCGAACACTGTATAATATCGTTATTCAATTTATTAAATTTAAATACACTTCTTGAAAGAGAGATTTGATAGTTATGTTACTATCACAATTTTGCAGATGAAAGTCTGTACTGCCTTTAGTTTCGTAGTTATGATAATGACCATTTAATTTTGTGAAGTTTTCTAAACGTGGTGGTAATAAATGATTTTTTAATTTGAATAAGAGAATCGGAACTAAATAACATATGAAACTCTTTACATTCAACCACTGCAGTTTTTCTCACATAGACTTAATCCTAACATATCTGGTTTTATTGAAAATGATTCTCATAGCTTTGTTATGTAGAATTTGTAGTTTTGAAAGTATGTTTTTAATTGCTGTAAAGAAGATGGTTGAGCAATATAAAAAATGGGGAAGAATTATAGTGTTATACACATTTTTTTTGGAATACATACTGATATTTTGGCAAACTAGAAGTAATATATATTTTTTGATATTTTTGAAATAATGTATTCATAATGCTCTTGAAACAGAAGTTTACCATCGACATATATACCCAGATATTTGAATGATTCGACTACTTCAATTTTCCTCAATATTGACATACATTTTGTTTTATTAGTGCTTAATTTATGTTTATTCACATTTAACCAATTTTTTAATATCACTATTTAACAGTTCTAGAACAGTGTTCAAATGTGTATGTGATATATATATTTATATATATATATATACGAGCAGTAGTCATTGCCATTGCCAACGACCAGTTGGGCAAAAATACAATCAATTGTTAATTGGCAAATGTTTTTTAGGCTTTAGTAAACTCCTTTAACGGTAATCTCGATCTTGGAAAGATGGGTTTTATAAAAAATATTAAAATAGTATTACCGTGAGGGCAATGTTTCAAATAACAGGATAAATAGTTGGAATTGTGTTTTAATTTTGGGAAGACGTTAGATCAACTGGAATATGTAGACGTTCTAACTTTTCGCAATTCAACAAGTAAGAATAAATGACACTAAGCTGCTTAACATCAGCCGTTTTGTTCATGCGATGATCTGTCATGAAATTGTGGGATATGGTTCAGTTGCTTGATTCAACCAACACTGTCTATCGCATTAATTGTAACAACTGTAATTTAGTTTGCATAGGCCAAACATCGAGCTCACAGAAAGGCAGGATAACCTCACACAAAAGTGACACCAGATTACATCCAGAGAGATGTGCTTTGGCATCACTTGTTAACGCCATAGGTTATTCTATGAGTTATGGCAGTATTAAGGTTCTTGACAAGGAACAACAACTCTCAAAACGTCTATTTTTAGAAACGAGGCAAAAATTAGTTGGTTCTAAGCTTGGCCGCAAGCCCCTCTTGGGCGACAAATTAGAAAATATTTTGATTTCTTATTGCCTGGAAATGGAGAAGCGTTTTTGTGACCTAAGAACCGAATACCTCAAGAGGATGGCATTTCTTCTGGCAAAACTAAATGACCTTCCACACCCATTCGCTGAAAAGGGCAAGTCTGCAGGATGGAGGTTGCATGAGAAGGTATCCTAATTTAATCTTCCGGAGACCAGAAATAACCTCAATGTCAAGAATAAGGGTTTTTTGACATATACTAAGTGACATATAAATCCGAACACCCAGTTTAAATGGTTTTATTTTAATAAAAGTTGGTGAATGTATTTATCTTACTGTAAATAACAAGTGAAAAAATTTTCAGCCTTATCAGTTGGACATTCCGGTTTTTATACTGCTTTTTTTTTAATTCACTAACGCTCTAAAAATGAATATTTCAGCCGCAGTAAAGAATCAACGTTCGCGGATTTTGGTTCTTGACATCCTTTACGATCGGTTACGATGCCTAGAGTACGGAGACCTGAACGATTTCGTCAACTTAGTGAGTTTGATAGGGGCCGTATAGTGGGACTTCGGGAAGCTGGACTTTCTTTTCGGGCAATTGCAGTTAGAGTGCAAAGAAGTGTAGACACTGTGGTTAGGTGTTGTCAGGCATGGCTTCGAGAAGGCCGTACGCAAAGAGCAAGGGGCACTGGACGCCGCCGTAGAACAACAGACCGTGAAGATCGCCGCCTAAGATTATTGGCCTTAAGGGACCGTTTCTCCACTACTAGGTCCATTGCAAATGAATGGTTTGCAGAACACGGAAGACCTATTGGCATGCGAAGTGTTTACCGACGAATGAGAAGTTTTGGCTTGTTTTCATACCGGCCACACTGGGTCCTCCCTTTAACTCGAGAACACCGACGTAATCGCCTTGAGTGGTGCAGACATCGGTCAGTCTGGGATCAGGAATGGAACAGTATTGTCTTTAGTGACGATTCTCGATTTTGTTTAGGCATGCACGATGGTCGTGCTAGGGTTAGAAGGCGACGTGGTGGAAGCAGGAATCCACAGTTTTTTGTTGAAAGACATGTTCATCACACTGTTGGAGTTATGGTTTGGGGTGCTATAGCTTATGGTTCCAGGTCACCTTTAATCTTCATCAGAGGTAACATGAACGCGCAGCGTTATATCCACGAAGTTCTAGAACCCCATCTTTTACCCTATCTTGACACCCTGGCAGATCCAACTTTCCAACAAGATAATGCCCGACCACATGTTGCAAGAGTCACAATAGACTTCTTTCAACATAATGATGTCACATTGTTACCATGGCCACCAAGATCTCCCGACTTATCCCCAATTGAGCACGTGTGGGATATGATGGGTAGGAGATTGCTCAATTTGCAACGTCCTCCTCAGACTCTAGAAGCACTTCGAGAGGAGTTGGTGGTTGCCTGGAATGAGATGCCACAGAAGGACATTGACCACCTGATCAGAAGCATGCCTAGGCGCGTTGGAGAATGCGTAGCACATCAGGGTGCATCCACACATTATTAAAGGTTAAAGGGCTTTAAATCAGTGCAATCATTTTGAAATTTTTATCATTTACTTATTATGCTTCATTAAGTACTTATACAAAATTTTATTAAAATAAAACCATTTAAACTGGGTGTTCGGATTTATATGTCACTTAGTATATTTGAGCATTTAATGAACATCATTGAATATTTGCCAAATAAGCTGTACTATTGCGATGAAACGGGGCTCACCATCGTGCAACACAAAACAAGTAAAGTCTCAGCCTTAAAGGAAAGAGACAAGTTGGCGCACTTTCATCGGCCCAAAGAGGCTCACTTGTAACTGTAGTGATATGTATGATTCCACCGCTGTTTGTATTTCCCAGGGTCAATATGAGGCTGAATTGCTAGATGGAACCCCGAATGGATCCATCGCTGTATGCCATAAATCCGGTTGTACAGCTTCCTGCAGTGGTTTAGAGAACAGTTTTTCCCTAACGTGAAGCCTAGCAAAGATGACCCTGTCGTACTGGTTTTGGATGAGCACTACTCACATACCAGGAATTTAGAACTGCTTGAAGTTGCGCGAGAAAAAGGAGTGCATATGATTTCCCTACCTCCGCATTGTACCCATTAAATGCAGAAGCTTGTCAAAGTCTTTATGTCGCTGGAAACGTACTAGGCGCAGGCCATCGAAAATTGGTTGAGACAAAACAGTGCTAAAGTTGTTACACATTACCAAGTTGGAAGACTTTTTGAATAAGCCTACAATCAAGCAGCAACGGGTGCAACAGTAACAAATCGATTTAGAATCACAGGCTTATTTTCTTTGAATCGGAACGTTTTCCAGCCTCATGAATTCGTTTCTGATGCGAATGGTAGCGATTTTGTTCTACATGATCAAAATACTTCCATAATCCAAATATAAAATAGAGTCTCAACCGAGCTGCAGCATAATTCAAAACAATTTAGAGGGATATTTAGTCTTACCAACAGATATCAGCCCTTTGCCTTCTACGTCAAAGGCACCTATTAACCCTACGCAAGGCAGAAAAGCAAGTACAGCTGCTCTGCTAACCAGTTCACCTTAGGATAGCCTGGCTAATGATTGAGCAAAGCCCAAAAAAAAAACAAATGGAAAAGGAGCTAAAACACTGCAAAGGAAATGTGTCGGAAATGTGGCTAGGAAATGCTTCGAAAATCAGGAAAATGAAGCTCCAGTTGAAAAAGAAAGTGAAAGCCGTACAATGAAGTCAAAAGGGACGAAGAAGCGACTAGAAAAAATAAAAAAGCAACCGGTAAGCTCTTCAGATTCAGATATTGATATAGCTGAAGATTTAACAGTTTCCACAGATGATGAAGACAGTGCGTACTTCAATCAAACCTATTTGAGCGACAGAGCGGGCGAAAAGTGGATTGCCTGTGTCAAATGTAAAGTCTGGTGTCATGAAGAGTGCTCCGGAACTGATGATCATCAAAAATTTGTTTGTGACTTTTGCTTGTAGATTGAATTTTCTTTCAAAGTCTGACTTGTGCAGTGTCTGTTTTAAAGAATACGGTTTTATTTTATGTATTTATTTAGACTGATATTCAAATAAATGGTTTTAGCATACTTTGTTCCACTAACACTATCCCACAAAAAAAGTACATATTCCTAATATCGCATACCAGTGCGATGGAATTTGATTGGAATACATTCACTGTTCACTAAGACCATACAATTTCCAAACTTACTGAACAAGAATCACATTTATTCCATCGCAATTAACGATTTTATACGTATATAGCTATTTCCAAATGGGTGCGATATTCGGCACATTTCCCCTAAGTAAATGGGAGAAGTTATGGTCAAGAAAACAGTACATGAAGGAGTGAACTTGGTTTTCACAGATATTCAAGTAGTCAAAATTAATACGCGATGATGACTATAGAAAATTTTTGATAAATAAAGTGATAACGTTTGGAAACAATGTTCAAAATCAAGAAATGACAGTGTAACAGTTCTCAGGACGGAAAAGAAAAAAATAAGAGTAATTCTGAAATGATGTG